CATGCAGATTTGTGTCAGGGACTACAGGGTGATTAAGTGTCTGAATCAAGCTGATAAATCAATGATGAAGAATCTAGCCAGCCTCAGACTGGAACCAAAGAGCTCAGTCTTATCGCAAGTGAATAAATTGAAAATGGAATGACTGCACAGAAAAATAGAAAAATAGTACATCCACACAGAAAAATGATGCAATGACAACCACAACATTTGTTTTGATTTTGTGTCACCTGTAATGCTAAACTGAAAAACTTTGCCAATGTGGAGGCTGTTGCTCCACAAACACAACATTTCCAAAGACTGTACCAGACTTCTTCTGCTATCAGTTTATAAATACTATCCAGCAACACTCAAAAACTCGTGCTACTATTTTTACAGGCTACAGTCCCTGTGTTATAGTCTGATGACAGGTATTTTTCCTTTGGTGCTCACTTTTTTGGCAACTTCCCAGGTAAACACTTCCATAGGAGCTCTGGTATGACTCAAGTTTGAACATGTACATGCAGAATTGTAAGGTTGGCATTTCTGAGTAATAAATTATTCCCCTCAAGTCATTTTATCTTTACAGTTGTTTTTCTAAGCAGCAGTCAGTACAAGGCTCCTGATCAGTCAAAACAAAGTGGGTTTAGAGAAGATCCAATTAAGAGATAGTGGCGAAAACAGGCCAGTAAATGATTATTGGCTCATTGAAGGCCGAGCACTTTGAATAGCCTCTGCCGGTGTATGAATTGTGCAATACAAATAAAGCTGTGTTATCTTGTGTACTCATCTATGCCTCATAATGAAAATAAAGATAAAAAGAAACATTTTAGAGAGGTTCAATTATCGAAAAGTCACTGTGTGTGTCATAAAATACAAACACCAGTAATGCTGAAGAAAGAAATCAGGATGGAGGAGATACAGACAAGAAAACCAGATGGAGAACATTGCTGTTTATCTGTGATGATCTTTTAATACAGGGCTTTATCTGATTGGTAGTTAAGGACTCAAAAGCACCGATGTCATTGCTGGACATCTTTGACTAAATAAATCATAAGACATTTAAAATGATCACATAACCAGTGAATTTTGTAATGCATGTTGAGTCTATTTAGTCTAATGTTACAAAAGGAACACATACTGACTATTTAAGCATCCAAAGATAGTTCAAACTGCATTTTAACCCAGAAAAGTTCAGTTATGAATATGAAGAAATATATTTTCTGCTATTAAGAATGCTATTGTGATTATCTCGAGCTACAATTCTCATCCCTAAAGGTTTACTAAATCCTAACAAAAATCCTGTATGAGTTTCAAAGTGTTATGTTATTAAATGTTGCCTTAGACAATTGAAGCAACTCCCGCACCAACGTATTCCTATATTACTATGGAAACAGGTACACACAATCGCCGCAGGGCACGAGCTACCTATTAGCTGTAGCTAATGTTAGCCCGAGTTTCATAACTCATAACAAGAAAAACTTCATAAGCACAACTCTTAGTCATATTTTGAACGCAGCTTGTTCAGACACCCACCTTCATCCTGTCAATCTTCGTCCTTGTCCTCCATGTTTCGAGGTTATCCCTGGCAAAAACATCCAAATGCTAAAGTTAGCGGCCTCCTGCCCTGCCACCAGTATCGACCACACTCACTCGTTCATTAAAATAACTGAAGCAAAGTAATTGAAAATGAGTTAATGCGCTTGAAAACACGCAAATAAGAAGGTAAATTTGTTAGTAACACATAAATATGCAAGCACTGGGGTGACTGCGTAGGTCACAAGTAGTCAGAATAGCAGCTTCAGGATATCAACAGTCAACCTCTTGAACTGTAGGCCTAGCCTGGCTGGGCTATCATGTTGCGGGGCTACTGTAGGCCATCTTAACACTACTCTGATACTATGACAGGGATTTTTAATTTTTTATTTTTTTATTTTTTTTTTAAGCAGAATGAAATGACTAATATTAAGCTTTTGTCAAACATATAATCCATATCAATGTTTCCATATTAATTTAGTGTTACATTTTAATCCTGTTTTATTTCAGTTAAAATTACTGATAGGAGGGGTGCTTAAAGGGATATTCTGGCATAAAATTAATTTAGGGTCAAACACTCCGTAACACAGAGTTAGACACCCTCTTGACAGATGACTGTTGCCGAACCATTTGCTTCCCTAGTTGTATCAACTTTAGTGACGACCGCACGATAGCAATACACAGCGGTCTGAGGAGCCATAAACAAACCTCAACCAAAACGCCACTCTATAGCCACAAATAATGCTCAGAACAGCACCTAACTTCATCAACAGTACATACAGGGTCCTAATCACAGCACTAGCCACCAAACATCTTTTTAACTTTGCCTATTTTCTTTAGCAAAGAGACCAAACACAACTCACCTACTCTCTTCCAGCAGCCGCTTGTTTGTAGCGAGACCTCAGGCCAGTCCATAACTGACAGCTGCGGGGTGACGCAGCTCAAGGAGGAACATTTATGATCATTTCTTTATCATTTCCTTGACGTAATGATTACCAAATTAATCGTTTTGTGGGTATAGAGTAGCGTATTGGCAACATTAATCTCTTGAGGGGGTGTCTAACTCAGTGTTACAGTGTGTTTGACTCCATCTTTTGCAGATGGCCCAGTCCTTATTTCTGGTGGTTTTAATAAATTCACAAAAATGCACATAAGTAACTTAAGTGTGGGTCATTAGTGTTCTAAGTTTCATGATAATCCATAAAAGGCCTCTGGTGACAGAAAATAACTACAGTGAACTGCAGCATATTCCAATCGAAACCACAAGCGAGAAATAAATTGGCCTGACTTCCAGGAGGGTCAACAAGAGGTAGATGAGTAGGCCTATTGGTATTTATGAGAGCTTTAAGTGGACATGCATATAACATTTTATTGATGCAATTTTCTCATAATCAATTGATAAAATGAGTCATGCTCTCAAGAACTCTTTATATCTCAAGAGCTGCATAAGCACAAACATAGAAATAGGTTTAATTAACCTAATTTTTGTGGGAAATGGTAGCATGTACAGGTCTGGCCTGTCACAATGACCAGTCAATTGTTCTTTTTTCCATATTGCCAAAAAAAATAATCCTTTTATAATGGGAAAACAAGCCTTTTGTAATGACATTAGATGAATTATTTCTATTTCTAACACTGAGCCGCTGAGAAATTTATAATAAAGACTTTGTTTGATGTCTGGTGTAATAAGGTTTAAAGAACAGATTATTGATGATAAAGATAAAAACAAGTATATCTTGTTATGTGCAAAATGAAAGACAAAGAAACACACCAAAAAATCAATACAGAGCAGTGATTGGATCACTCATCCTCTCATATAAAGCCCTGACTGCGATGATGTCAAGGCAACCATCTATGATGAACAATCTGTAAGGGGATCTTTCATATGGAGGGGAAATTGGTCCTTTGAAATGAACTCCATTGTTAATATCTGGGACATGGTTGCACAGCTATCCTATATTTGTTAACTGTTTAAAGGATGTTGTTTGTCATGTTTAGTGTGCTGAAGGATTCGTTTTCAGATATTTTCCTTTTTTATGAAAATAAAATTATCTGACAAATAATGTACAGCAAGTATTAAAGGTGTATCAACTATGGAATCTGAAAAGTTTTATTATGTTATAAAAAAAAAAATTACGATAATTTAAATTTGATGGTGGCAAAGCGTTTCCTAAAAACTTGTGACCGGGTAATGATTACTATTTTGTCACATCTCTTCGTCTTTTAACAACACTAAGTTGAGATTTGGAGACTAAGAAGACCACTGAGTTTTCAAAATAAAAATGTCACACTCTATCTTGCCTGATAGGGTTTCAGCTGCTCAACTGTTCAGGGTCTACTTTATAGTCCTTTTTTTAAATGTCATGATGCACCAAAGGTTTTAATTGGGTGGCAATTAGGACCCACAGGTAGAGCAGTCAAGCACTGGGACTCTTCTATGACCAAACCATGCTGTTGTACAACATGCAGAGTGTGGTCTTAGTGCATATGCAAAGTCTAACCAAAAGAAGATATTGTTGTATGGTCCTACCTATGCCAGGAAAAAATAAAATAAACAATAGCACTGAGATGCAAAAGTTAGTCTCCCTGGCTGAACTTTAGCTAGACTGCATGTGAAAAATAATTTTGTGCAAGGTTCATCAAATACAATTATTAGAAACACTGTAATGATACATATCATTCAGTCCGCATAATTGTACATTTAACTCTTTGTAAAGTTATACTTGATGCCTACCACTGTTTTAAAAGATGAGTGCAGGGCTTTTACTTGTAACGCTGTTCACTGCTCATTCTACGTAAAGGACCTGGGTCATTTTTTTCCAACAAAATTTCAATGGCTTTCAACTGCAGCTAATTATTATCATTCCAAGGACAACCTCTGGTGCTTTTTGTAGAATTTTACAAGGGGGATTTCCTTGGCATCCTTGAAATAACCTACTGAAAGAATCATATCACTCATTAGGGATATAGTGAAAAAAAAAATCAGTCCTAGTAAACCTAGATTATAGTGTTAATGAATAAAACATTTCACACAACCTCTTTTGTTGTTCTCTTGGTATTTCTATATTATTAATGACATTTTTTTAACCCTGAAGGGCTGAGCTTTTGTATGCTTTGACAATGGCCATGAAAACGAGTCTGTGCCTGAGATGCTGCTTCAGTTTAATGAATTACAGCGATGTATGGAAAACATGCAGGTTTACTGAAGTCGTTTGTCTTTCAATTAATTATGCATAAGTGCACCTGCACTGAATGTAAAACATTTATTGATTCTAGTGTTCATTATTAGTCAAGCCAACTTCATTTATACATGAAAGCCTATTGAGATTTTATGGAGTAATGCTGCACAGAAGGATTAAATTTTAATCTTGACAAATGAAGAGCTTTAATTCTAAGTAATATATGATACTGTCAAAATGCAGACAGTTTATCCACTTATTAGCTCTGTAACTGGTGAATAATTTATTTTGTAGTATCAGCCTTTCATTTTGTTGCTCATTATGCTTTGAGTTGGGCTGAAGGGAGACCTTGGTCCGCTGTCTCACAGGTTGCTCCGATACAATATAGTAGAATAGGATACAGTATGAGAGAATAGGATACGACATAACACCATATGATGTGATACAGCATGATACAATACAATATGATATGGTACAATTAAAAACAATAAAACATCTGTTTTTTTGCCACATCAAATACCTTTAATTGACTTAATTAGATAAAATGATATAAACAGGAAAATGCAAAAAGCTGGTAGTGAGTATCGTGGAGTTGATAATGCTTTTATAACTTAAATGATGTCTCTGACTCCAAAAACAACATAGTCACAAATGTTTTTCAAAATCCAATTATTTTACTAATATCCACTTGACAACTTAAGGGCCAACCAACCCCGTGGTGGGACATCTGATTGAACCTATTCGTGAACTCTAACTCCATTATCTGGGTATCTAAGTCCAACTTTGAGTGGTTTCATTCTATGTGATTTCAATCAGACCTTTGTGTTTACATTTAAAACTCCAGTGTCACTTGGATGAATGCAGTAAAATTAGGGTGACCATGTGTCCTCTTTTACCCGGACATCTCCTGTTTTGGGGGGCTGTCTGGGATGTCCAGCCTTGTCTGGGGAAGTTTATTAAACCCTCCAAATGCCCGGGTTTGTATGGAAGTTTCAAGTTTGTGTCATATGGATTTCCTGAGTTAGAAGCACGTAAAAGACACTCGCTCTGACCCAAAAGTGTAAAAAAAAAAAAGGTCAAATACTATTTACAAAATGTAGAAGGCAAAAAAAAGTGCCAACTAGGCAGGGGCTCCACTATGACTCAAGATTCTCATTTAAGAGAAAAAAAAAAAAAAAACAGAAACAGCAGCACTACAGAAGTCAGTTTGGCAGTTACTGTTCATGCAACAAACCCCAGTCTCAAAAAAGAAGCCTTCTTTCAACCCCCTCTAGCCCCTCCCACTGGGCGTTATCAATTACATAAGTTTAGAAAAAACTAATTTATTCACATGTAACCCATTTTTTATTCTTCAGACCTTATTCTGTAAGTTTTTACACAAGTCAATGGAGCTTTAATTTTTAGGGATTCATGGCAAACAACAAATGATTTAATTTTTCTTGCATCATGTGACCACTTTGACCTTCCATACCTAACTATTTTACACCCGGAAATCATGCGCTCTGTTTCCTCATGTGGAAACATGAGCCGGCATGACGCCGTGAATGGACACCCGGAAAGTTCGTGGAGGGATGAATATTTATGAATGTATGTTTAAGTTAACTGAAAAAGCTCAAAGTGTGCAAACTTGGTTACCCTATCCAAAAGGGAGAAGGAGAAGTAGCGCTGTTTGGTGCGTAATTAGCGACGCTGGCAGGGAGGGAAATGTTTGGCGTGTGTGTAGGTGTGTGTGTGGCTCCATGCGCTGCCCACAGTCAGCGAGCACACAGCTCCTTCACACCTATTTCTAAAGTTTAAAAAGTTGTTATATTGACAAAATATATGTTGCTCAAGAGATGGAAAGTTGGGATGACCGTTTTGGAAGGGGGATGATTTTGACCATTTTCGTTTCCCGAGTTGGACTGTGTGTGTGTGTGTGTGTGTGTGTGTGTGTGTGTGTGTGTGTGTGTGTGTGTGTGTGAGAGAGAATGACCCTGCTCAGGGTAGGGGCAGGGATAAGCGTCACAATGACGACGCCCGTGAAGCGCGTTACTCCCGGTGCCTTGCGCGTCTTCACTAACAGTCTGCTCACTAAGCTGCGGTCACTGCTGCAGACACTTCCACTCAGTCCACAGCGCAAACACAACAGTCACAGCAACACCTGTGAAGGATGTCTGATGACACGGGGAATGGGGACTGCGACGAGCTGCACTCCTCTGTGGATGATGACGATGAACTTCTGAGATACATCTGGAGGGAATATTTACACCCCAAACAGTATGAATGGGTCCTCATCGTGGCTTATATCATTGTTTTCTTCGTTTCTCTCATCGGAAACTCACTCGGTAAGTTCTATTTTTCTCTTTTAAGTTTTTCCTCTTGGTGCGTAATGCGTCCGGCAAAAAAAGTGCAGCGATAAAACACTTGGAAGAACTTCTTTAGGAATGCGCACATCTCCAACAAGGGGAATTAAAGTAAATGTAGCATCAATGAACAAATACATGCAGAGCGTTTTCGATGCGCAAACCACAGTGGTGCATGAGGAGCTGAAGGAGATGAATGGAGGAGGATAAAATCATGGAGCCAGTTTTATCTTTGCAGCTGTAAACGTTTCAGATCGGCTCCCTGCTGTTCGTCAGTGTTTGAAGATACAAATTATACATTTATCTCACACTGTGAGCGCGAAAAGGCAAGAAAGGGAAAGCTTTTTTCATGACTGACAGGGTGAATCACAGTCATTTTTGACATTTTTCACCTCAATTTCATCCAATGCTCTCCTCATCATTCTGCTTTGTTGGGTTGTTTTATTGCTACTAAGAGCTTTCTTATGTGGATGAAAGGACATTTGACTCATAGGTCAACTCTCAAGATATGATAAATGATCAGGAGAAGGTTTTCCAACATTCAATCTAACAAATCAGCTGCTTTTCTTGAAATGCATTTGTACTTTTTACAATCAGCTTGTAGATAGACCATTATTAAATATTCATGCATCTCTGTTCATCTCAGCCTCAGTCCAACAGCTTTTTTTCTTGTAAATCTGTGTCTCCAGCCTCCCTGCAGGAATCCACTTTAATTTATCACGACAGGATATCTTTCTTCATCTAAACCATTTTGCAACACTGATAACAACATGTTTTCAATTTGGCATTTCAGCAGGAAGTACAATCTCAGTTCCAAAATGGTTTGGACATCATGTAAAAACATGATCAAGACAGATTTGGATGATATACAAATTACACAAATATGATATTTAAAGCTCCCGAGGTAGACTGACATTCATACTAATGCCTTTTTTATGGTATATTAGAGCAAACAAGTCCAACAGCAGCAAGATTAACTATTTTAATTTCCTAATTCTTAATGTCTGAATCTGGTGCACAACTGAGCAGCTGGAAAAAAAGCTTAGTTTCAAAGTTTTCCTCATAAAATACATCTGACAAGATCAATCAATCAAATTCAATCAAATTTTATTTATATAGCACCAATTCACAACAGTCGTCATCCCAAGATGCTTTCCAAAGAACAAGAGCAGGTCTAGACCACGCACATTGTTTGATGAATTATCAGGACCCAACCTAAGATGGGATTTGGCCCATCTCATCTAACATGAGTGACAGTGGTGAGGAAAAACTTCCTTTTAACAGGCAGAAACCTTGAGCAGGACCAGACTCATGTTAGACAGCCACCAGATGAGATGAGATTTTTTTTGTCAAAAGTCATAACTGAAGCATGGAGAAGACAAAGAGTGCTCTGTCCACTGGGGGGCGCCAAGATTGACACAAATCAAAAGTTTCTCACGGGTGCTTTAATTCAAAACAGCACATTATCATCATATTAAATGCTGAAGCTGGAAAATTTTATTATAGGGAAAAGGAAAAGCGTCAGAGAGGGTGAGTGGCTCAAAAGCAAAGAGTGAGCAAATAGTTCAACAATTTCAGAATGAACAACCACATAGCATAAAACTGCAAAGACTTTGGTGATTCCATCATCTACAGTGTAAAATATCATTAAAAGATTCAGACCATTTGAAGACTGCACCAAAGGGACAAAGTTTAAAACCCATACTGAATGCAGAGACATGACTCTGTAGTGGAAATCACCGCATGGTATCATAATCTTCTCCAAAATAACAATACTTGCAAATAAAATTAATTTGTGTATGTACTAATGCAGGTTAAAACAAACTGTGCATAGAGAAAATCATGAATGGACACAACCTAGAACTGCCAATGGCTTCTCTGAGCCTGAGCCTGTTAAAACAGACTGAAGCACAGTGGGAGACTCCTGTCGTGTGTCTGGTGGTCTGATGGATCAAAATTTGATCTTCTCTTTGGAAATAATTGATGAGTGCCCTCCACTGTCAAGAGAAGAGGGACCACCTGGCTCGACATCAGCACATAGTTCAAAAGCCAACATCCATGGTAGCCATTGATGCGGGATGATGGATACAGGTAATATATACAGCAACACGCTGCCATCCAGATCAAAGCTACTATAGGGAAGACTTTTAATGTTCTAGCAAAACAATGGGAAACCAAAGTGTCCACATATTACAACAGTATGGTTCTGTGGAAGTAGAGTCTAGGCAATAGAAACATTTGGCTTATCTTGAAATACAAATAAGAAATACAACAAATTAAATCCTGAACTGTTTAGCAGATGAAATCCCATATTAGTCAAGATTTTTACTTAAGGGTGGAGCAGGCAGGAATCCGTTAAAGTAGATCTTTTTCTGGGGTGTATTTACAAAAAAGCTTTTAATATCAGTCAATAGCAATTAGTTATTGATGACATTTGGTAATATAACAATATCGCTGTGTTTTGTTATGTCTGTGTAGTCAACATTTAAAGATTTTGAGCACTCCACTCTTTCTGACTGTAAACAAAGCCATTCCCCACCTCCCCCATCCTGATTGGTTGTGAGGTGGACGCTGCTCCCCCATGTCGTCCACAAGCCCAAACAAAGTTAGCGTGCTCCAATATCGGACAGTAGAAACCAACCAGAAAGTACAAAAAATTGTCTGAATCCTCCTTTGGCCACGACTGCCGACACAAGCAAGAAAACAAAGTACTGGAGACTCTGGCGGAATTACGGGCGCTTAAAATGGCGGTAGACCGAACAAAAGCTAAAAAGCCGGGTCAACAATGATGGGGGACGCTTCGGGATCTTGGTGACCCTGTAACCTTTCTGCTGGACAGGTAAACCGCTTTAACAAAGTAAGCCAAGTGTAACATAAGTGTTTCTTGTCAAACGGACCTGCTGCATGTTGTAGCCCTGCTAAACTGTTGACCTCGGGTCCTGGACTATGTCACTTTATCCTAGTTGTAGAAGTCCTACAAACATTGTGTTTGCTGATAGTCTGTTGGCATCTACAGTAGCACCAATGCTTTTTACTTTTACATTGACTGGGCCCCATTTGTAATTATTAATCTGCATTATATTTGAATTTATTTGGAACGATACGAGCGAGCAGGAGCGTCTGTTTGTGGGCGGGGCTTGCTGGAGCAGAGAGGGAGGGGAGATGAGGAGCTGAGGGGAAAACTGGTTGGGAGGGGTAGTTTACGTTCAAGATTTCTCCCCAAAACTGGCACCTCCTCAGATCCTGACTACCTCACCTTTAACAACTTTCAAAAATCTTGAAACTGCTCTCTTTGGCCACCTAAGTTTCAGCAAAGTGGTTAACAGTGTCTCCTCTCAGATGACGAAACCTTGGGGGAGTAATACATTCTTAAGGTGCTTGAAAACTTAATGAAACAAGGCCCAAAGAGGTACATTAATTTGCCATTTTACCACACAGTGAAGCCTAGAACTTCAGATTAATCATCACACTGCCAGTTTCAGCCATAAAAACCAACAACTCAGCCCGTAGGCTCCTATATTTCATGAACAGAAGTTTTTTCTGCAGTTATCAGACCTCATCAGGACTCACCCAAACTTTTCCAAAGTAACCAAACAGTTTCATGTCAACTCTATAAAGTCTGCAGGAGATGGTGTCTGCATTAGGTCGAAGCATCACAAAGAGGCAGGGAACATGGTGTGTCTGTTCTTCCCCTCAGAGAAAAACTTAATCAAACACACCTACCAGGGTTCTAACCGGGCCTGCATGTTCTGATGAAGGTCAGTTAAACTGCTGCCTCTGAGTTTACACTTTGATCTATGCAGCCAGTTGACCAAAAGATAGCCCAGAGTTTCAAAAACCATCTCATCAAGTTTGGGAAATAGTTCTGATTCGATGTGTTTTAAACTAATGACTAAAACCCCAAAGCAGTGAGTCGGTCAGCAGATAAACCAGACCAATTTAGGAGATTTTGAAGCAAAGTGATGAAATATAAGAATAATGATGTATCTGGTGCTGTGAGATGGAAGAATAAGACCGGATGAAGTTTGTCAAATGTTGGTGAGACATAGCAGATGATGTCAACAGCCCTGTGAGTAACTGCAGAAAAGATCTGACACACGCTGCTTTCCACACGGCAGTCTGGTCTGGTCTGGTTCAGTACAGTTGGGGGGGGGGGGGGGTATACCCTGATCTTGCTTGCGATTCTGTCAACTCTACTGCGGCACCTCAACTGCCAACCCAGTTGACCCTGTGGCTCTGTGATCTAATGCTGCATTCCAGTTACCTCAGAAGTCGGATGTCAGAGCTGGGAATGAGGTCACACCCGAGTTGACGGCATTTAAGTTAACAAGTCGGAAAACCAAGATGGACGCCTACAGTTACCCGTCGTTAGCTGTTGTTTACAATCGTCAGCTCATTGGCCGTCGTCAGTTGTTGTTAGTGGTTGTTAGCCGTTGTCAGTTGCTGTTTGCCGTTGTAAATTGTTGTTAGTTGTTATTTGCGATACCAGTTGTAAACGACGCATAACGCAGTATTTTACACTTACAAACAACACAGCACCGTGTTTACAGTTAGACGCTGGGCAGTACAACATAAACCACTTATTTAATTTTACAAAAACAAAACAGAAGTGCTAATAAATAATACATTACGAGAGCTCTCACTGTTACTTGTTGTCGTTGACATTGTCGTCAAGTTAGGGTTTTCTGAATTCAGAAATTCCAACTTCCGAGTACAACTGGAACGCAGCATAAGTCGCTTCAATTCACCAGACTCTGCACACAAGATTGTATCTATTTACACACATCTGAATGTCATAACTAACAAACTATTTCCTAAATCTGCCTGTTGTATATTATAAATAACAAACAGCTGACAATTCACAACAAGCTAATTAATCATGCAAGTAAGGCACAAATTACCACTGAGCTCTGGAGTTACCACACAAAACCATCTTTTAGCTCTCTGGCAGTCAGCCTCCTGGCGTCACATTGTTGCCTCTCACAGGGCAGACTTTGTTTCACCTGAAAGGGTTTCCAATTTAAAAAGGTAATCCTACTGCAGGTAACAAGTCTGGGACTGCTTTCAAAACCCCTGACTGGTTTTATGGAGAGATATGCAGATGTCTCACTGTTACTTTTTCAGTTTTTAATACACAACAACACAGTCCCAAACCTGATTTAGCTGAACAACCCTGCCTTGTTAATTATTTATCTGGAAAATCAAAATGTTTAAGATTTTCATACTTTTTTAGGCCAATATAAGTGGGTCCAATATGAATAAAACTTTCTGTTTGACTCAACTTTTGATATGATAGATTACAGTGTTTTCATTACAAGTGGCTCAAATACTATATATGAAAGGATTTATGTTTTTGTTTCCACAGTTCTCCCTGTTTTAACTTTATGCAGCTGTTTTTTAGTTTTTACTGTGTGGGGAACTTTGTGCTATTTAAATGTAGTCTGATTGATATATTGAGTTAAGGATGGCTCTGCATGAACAGTCCTATACAAACAGCTTTAAAATCATTGAATCCTTTCATGCTTGGTGCTTTGTTCCCCAGACTTCGTTTTTTATCGATCACAACTTCAGCTTTACCTGCTGTTAGCAGCAGTGCAGGAAATCGAATAGAACAAAATCCAAACTGAACACAGATATTATAAAAACAGGCCTTGATAGAATCTCCTTGTGGTAGTGGTCTTACTCCAAGACTCAGACTGATTCATTGCAAAGAGAGTTTCCTCCTGAGCTAACTGAAACATGAAGGATCTTCACAGTTTCTGTCTCAGTAAATGGTGGAGACGTAAAGTGAACAACAAATTAACAGATATTTGACTTAAATTAGCAGAGTGGCCCAGAATTGATCTCTAAACTTGGTGTCTGACATTTCATAAGTAAACTATTTCGAATATATTTATTTTGTCAGCCTTAAGATAAATCGAGAGTCTCGTCGGTCGATCTACGTGTCGATCCTCACCTATGGTCATGAACTTTGGGTAATGACTGAAAGAACAAGATCGCGGATACAAGCAGCCGAAATGGGTTCCCTTGGCAGGGTGGTCAGGATCAGCCTTAGACAACATATAAAACATAAACATTTCATTTATCGTTATTAAAAAACTACTTTTCAACAAATCTTGAGTCTATGGATTGTGAGTGAGGGGGACTCCGTTGCGTTCTGCTGCCTGTTAATCATTCGCCAAACCCGTGAACCTTCTGACGTCATCATTTTTTTTCTAAATAGTGTGCCATAGATGGTGAAATCCACAGATTTTTTTTCTCAATTGAATGATTCGTAGCATTATTTTGAACACGTTGAACTACTTGCTTACAGTGGTGTACCTCTTCCCTTCTTTGCTTCCAGAAACTCTGCCTGTCATGAGTGCTCTTAATTTGCTTTCTTACCTCTTTGCTCTACACATTTATACATTTATTTTGTGTATTGTTGTTTCTGTCCCAGCTTTTTTGAAAGTTGTTGCTGGTAAAAGTTTTGAAATAAGCATAAGTTATTAGTATTACCAAGTAAATTTAGGCTTTAAATGATTTGCAGACCACCAGCATCTGTTGTGTGGGATTTCCCTGTGAGCGGCCTCTGAAGGAGCTGCTGTGTTTTTGGCGCATCTGTGTTTGCTTTATTCCTCTGCCCTGGAGGCTGAAGATAATTGAAAATAAATCAATTTTGTTTATACCTCTCCTTTCTAAAATGAGTCATAAATCTGTTTGATTCTGTTTGATAATGAGAAACTGTATTTTAAGAATCTGGCAGGGGGTACTTGGATTGCCAATCAGACGTCGGTGGGGGATTCTCCCCATACTGTCTCGTGTCTTTCCTGAGAAGGTTGGAGATGCTCTTCTTGGCATCTAATTGGCCTTTCTCTGCTTGGCTCTTATCTAAATCCCAGCAGGGTACTGTAGGTAATTTATTATTTGGAAGGTTGTAGCATGGGGGTCAGAGAGAACCTGATAAGCTTTATAGAGGATCTGAGTCTGACTGATCTCTGTGGGCCCTCTTGTTAAATTTTGAATGTAATAGTGAGGCCACACGAACTGTTTTACATCACAGGCTGAAGATGACCTCCTGATGTTGTTTGGCAAACACACCGTCTTAGTCAGCGCTACATTTCTCTGAGTTTGAGCTCAATTACATTAATTGCGCTTCAGCTTTAATGAGAGAATATCAAAGATGGGTTTTCTGTCTGAGGCAATTCAGTTACCGTGGGAGCCACCCACAGGCGACGGCACAGCTTCCAGTCTCTTTAGTGGGTAGACCACAGTTACTTTTAAGATAGTTTGGCGCTCTTTGCAAAAAAATTTGGTTTGGACCTCAAGAGTTTTTCTATGTGTTTGTGTGTGTGACTGCATCTCCAGAGTCCCCCAAGAAGCAACAAGTGACAAAACATGATCTTTGGAACACGTAATTATCTTGTGAACTCAAAATTTTATCTTGAGCACAAAAGATGTTATTTTTTCAACACACTATAATCATTATATGCACGCTAGTTGGAGACACAGGGAATTACCTTATGCTCACAACCTTTTATGCACCTATTAGAAGTATGTTGTGCGCACAAGTTCACGTTTTGGGCCCAGGGTAATTATCTCTTGTGCACAAATTAATATCTTGTGCATACAAGTTATGATCTTGTGAGCACAATATAATCATCATGTGCACAGTAGTTGCATGCACAGGGTAATTTTTGGTACACACAAGTTATAATCTTGTGCACGCATGCTATCTTATGACTACAATATAATTTCATGTGCACAGGATGATTATCTTGTGCTCACAATATGACAAACATAATTTCTTGGTTTGCTTACCTACAACACATACTCATTTAACATTGAACAATAATTTGTTGTTATGTAGTCAATTGCTGTGATCGACCTGTAGGATAACAATATATTCAATAGTCGTTTTTCAAAACAGAAACATAATTATAACTGATAATTATGCTCAGGCAAACCCACTGTTTCTAAACACCCAAGCTGTGAAATTTGATTTGATTTTCAAAGCAAAATCAAAGTCACTCTGGCGCTCAAAACGAAAGTCAATATGATCTGAGAGATGTTTTTAAGTTCATACTACAAACAGCTAAATAGAAATATAAAGGGAGATATATTTTTGTTGTTGGAGTTAAATAATGAACTGATGGTTTAATAAATTCAGGACTATGAAAGCTATTGTATGGTGACTCGTTAAAATACCACTGTTGCTGTAATGGTGAGTGCAAACGCCATCTTCATCCCACACCAAATAAGGAAATTTCTCAGGGTTCATTTCTTTCATGAAAAAGTTGTAAACTCTCATTCTGAGCTGGTTGGAATGACTTTGAAATACTTCAAAGATGCTCAACATTTTTTAGAAAAATCCTCTCTGTGATTTTCACACTCAGTCACTCCCTGTCTCATACAGAATCAGTCTTTGCGGTGCTGTTTTGTGGCTTTGTGCACTGGTGTGAAGACAAACTTGTATTATGCACAGCCTAGCGAGCATAGTCGAGGATGAACCAAAACAGCCAATTAAATCTGTCAAGAGTGGAAGGAGCAGAAGTAATGTCAGCGGGACGGAGTTGGTCTGTAGAGGAATCCTGTGGTTGATAATATATGTAATGTTGTAAAAGATATAAGCTCGGAAACAAGAAGAGTAAAATAACTAATGGATTCATAAAGAAAAGCTCTAGAGGAATAAATAATACATCATACTGGCTTAGTCCTATTGCTATCCTCCTGAACACCTCTTTATTGTAAGGACTCAGCAGGACTGTGAATGATCTGTGGTGAGCGGTTCAGGCGTGTCCGAGATAAGCTGCACAGGATCGAACTCATGATCCCCTGCTGGCTTATGTCAGGTGAAGATAACAAATACCGTGTCAGGTCTCAGGCAAAATCAATAAAAATGGGTCATTACAGATCACATGGAGGAATATCATGAACACTTAGGATGGTGTCTTTAAAGGGCACCTTCAGAGACTAGAAGATACAGTTTCAGACCATTGGAAAATACAGATGGATGGCAGATAATGCAAACTCTTCCATCAGTGTGTTTATGTGACACTCGAGAAAACCAAATTATTGCCTCACTCCGAATAAGACCAGACGACTGATATGCATTAAAACTCAGATTAAGACAACCAGATAATGGGATTGGAATTCGGTTTTCTCTATCATGTAACCGGCATAGTCGGAGTATGATCGGACACTGCATGTGTGTGTGTGTCACGCCCCCGTAACCCCAGAACAAAAACACCAGAGAAGAGGTGGCACAGAAGAAGTAGCGCGTACATCATGTACGACAAAAACAACACTGTACGATGCTCCATCTTTTCGCTCGAAAATGCCCAGCAGCAGTTGTAGCCATTTCTGATGTCTGACACGGACCTGTTTTTGATGTTGACAGTTGTATGGGGTCGGAAACAGCGCTGCTTAAAGGCCCATACCGCCCCCCAGTTTTGGGGAGGAGGACACGTTCACGTCAATAATCCCATTTTCTCAGCTGCTTGTATACGCGGAGAAAGAGAGAAGTCGGATTCAGTGAAAAAACGAATTATGATTAAGCTGTGCATGTAAACGCACTGACTGTGTAGTAATATCCGTACCAGTGAGCCAATACATTAGTGAGTGGAATGAAGCCGTCAAGCGATGAACCGACATCTTGAAATCTTCTGTATGAAACGTTAAGTTTCTACGATCAGAAAGTAAAAACCAAAGAAAGGCCGAGCATACATACTTTCTAAAGTCATATGGAACAAAATGATAGCTAATCAGGAAAAAAGCTGCCTGATGAAAGAAGCAACATAAATGCAGCCATGGCAACGACGGTAAATCTGAGGCATGCCTGTTTGAGAAAAAAGAGCCCACCTGTTGATACACGGCAACAACTCAAGTGTTTACACATAGTGTTCGGGGAAACATAGCATGACTGAAATAACAAAGGGGGGTTCTGAAAAGATAATTTCACTGAAATGGATATACCATACCATACCATACCATACATCTCATTTTAAACGCAGAACTTCTTACTCTGTTTTGTCAGCTGGTTGCTGTTGCTCGCAGTTTTGTATCATTATCTCAACATGTGATGATCGCCTGTTGTGATAACAAGGCGTTCAAAATGCAGGGTTGTTATTTGGAGTCCTGCTGAGGAATTTTTTTAGAGATCGGACTTACACGAGCATAAAGAAACTGTAGGAAGGAGGCAGGTCACAGAGCTGATAAACAGAGAGATGTCAGTGTTAGTCGATGTTGGCCACGGGGGCAAACGCACCAAGGACCCCCTACGATAGAGATGCTATATACTTTGTGCCATTATTGTATAGGATCAGTGTACTGTTACTCTTCTTTATTGTAGATGAATTTTTATATATATTGTCTTTTGTATATGAAGTTTTCATATTTTCAAGTCATAAAATGCAGTTATCTAGTTTCATTATTGACTTGAAGGTAGGGTTGGTAATCACGGCAAACTAGCATGACTTTGAATGTAGCATCTCCTCAGGATTTAGCCTGTCCCCCCTCCCCTTGGAGCTCCTCCAAAACAACCCCCCACTCACATACACGAGCACTGCTGTCTGCTGATTCAGAACCACAGACTCAAAACTTTGGGGCTTTAGATCGGGAAGTCTTTGCACTAACTAGTAACATGGCTAAATACTTAGGATTAAAAATCGCCCTAAAACAAACCCTCAACGTACCTTTTTAAAGCCCTTAACCTTTTTCAGTTCTCTTCATCTCTGAAAAGCTGTCCAGATGTTGACTTTCGTTGTCGCCCTTGCTTTCTCCAAACTCTGTCTCGCTTCAGCCGTCCCTGCCTCCATCTTTCTTTTCTTGCTCGTTTTTTGCAGGACAAGCGGTCACCATTAATCTGGGTGTAGGTAGTTTGATTGGTTTAAAAATGTGGGACTCACACGATGTGATTAGTCGGTGTTTTCCCAGTTTTACTCCTGCTATAGATAACGGCTGTTTTGCTCCTTTTGAAGAGCACATCATGTATTGATTACCATTGGAACAAAAAGATAATTTCAACCAGAATACCAAAAAGTGTATCTAAATCAGATTACCAACCCCACTTTTAAGTTAAGTTTGACATATCTCTCACTCTGTCGATTAAAATCCTTCCTGAGTTTTGTGCTTTAAACTCCATGGAGTGATAGCAGGCGACACCAGGAGGCAGCCTCTGTTGTTGAGCAATGAATGAAACTATAACTCCACATGTGTCCACTCGGGGCTTAGGAAAACAATTTCTGAGGAATATTAATTAGAAATGGTTTGTTTTATCATTCAAAGTGAAAACTGTATAAACATTTTACAAAACAGAAAACAGAAAGAAAGGAGAACTCCAGAGACAGGACATCATTTATGTGTCTCATTAGCCATCTTTATATACAGTCAATATGGGCCGCTGTGCCCCCTTTTGCTTACATTTATGTGAATTCAACCATCCACCAGGAATAAACCGTATTTATTATCTTTTTAATGTGTGTAAGATGAGACACATCCTTTGGTGTCTGTCTCCTTGTGATAGCGCCTTCAGCGGCCTGCTCCCTGTTGATGTGTGGGGATCTGTAGGGGGAAAATAAAGCTTGCCTGTGTCTTTATGCCAGATTAAAAAACATTTATGACTAACTGCAGCAGCTGGCCATGACTGTTAAAGCACTAAATCCAGTGCAAACAGATTAAATATCCGTAAAAAGAGGTTTTATTTCTGGTGATCTCGTTAGAGTACACCAAATACGCATACATTACCCACGTTTGCGGAGGAGTTGACAGTTTCCTCAGATTTTAAACAAATTAAAATTGCAGAAAGGCATAAATATTGAATGATTAAAGCACGAGTTTGCTTTGTATTCATAACAAGGTGGTTCACACTCTTACAGAGCTGGTTAAATATGCACAAACGGATCGTGTTTGATGTGGTTCCTATAGCCGCAGTGACAGACTTTATACACTGCAGGTTTACCGTATCACATTGTCATTCTTACACAGTTAAACCCCCCCACAGGATTTAAGGAGCTGATGATAAATGAAACTTCAGAGGAGACTTCATATGCTCCAATTTAACGGCAGTCAATTGGAAGCCAATTTTAGAATACTAAGAGGAAAGTCCAAATGAAGCAGACTGACAAAGAAAAAGTTCTGCATCGACCCATAAATCAGCTAAATAAGGTTGTTTGGATCAATGTTCGAGCCGCTCAGGCATGCAAAACTCAAAATGTACCAATACATTGTGGGGAGCCAATGATCTGATCTGGCGTGACGAATCAGTTCAATGCTGTGCAGCAAAAAAATCAATCAGTGTTTAGATTTCCTCACCTCCTGGAGGAAACAAACTTTTTTAAAACAAAGGAACTTTTTATAAATGTTTTTTTTTTCGCTCTCCTCTGAAGGGCGGCCAAAACTTTCATTTTTTTACTTTCATCAAATCTGCTGCAAGCTGTTGTTATTTTGGCCAACTTAAAAACAACTTTTTTTAACTTAATCACAGAAAAATTACAGCAATGCTCAGTTGAAAGTAAATCATGCATCTTCTTCAGAATCTGGAGGACAATCAGAGAGGCCCAAAATCCAGGGGCCTGAAGTCCAGTGTGAAGTTTTCACAGTCTGGGATGATTTTGGGTGCCATGTTGAAAATGTTTTCCCATTTGAGACTTGTTTGATGTAATTCGTTTTCTCCATAAACTGCCACTCAAACTTGGGGTTAACCCTTTAATGCTTTTGGTATCATATTTGATACATTCTTTTTTTATACTTCTATCAAATCAATATGATCAACAAATTACCAAAAGAAAAATAAAATAAAAAACACCTGAATACAGTCCGATAAATGATAAAAATGTCCACTTACAGTTTATCAGTTTCCAAAAACATCCAATGTATCAAACTAGATAAATAGATATATTTGTTAAATTTTAAGGACATTTTGATTTTTTTTTTTTTTGGTTTTTAGTACTAAGTGAAATAAACATTTCAGCTCCAAAAAATTTGAATTTTCTGACCATAATTTGTGGTTTCAGGCATTAAAGGGTTACGTATCTTATTGGACGACTCCAACTGATGTTCTCAAGACAAAATGAATCAAAAATATAGATTCATCAGGACTTTTATCTTTATCACCAGAATGTCAAATCTTATTGTGCTAAATTTTCAGCCCATATCGCCCATCCCTACTGGTCGAGTACATAAAAAGGTTTCTTCGCTCCTCTTCCAACTCTCAGAAACTTCCCCCTGACTTTTAATGTGATTGGCCCGACCAGCTCAGTGACAGCAGCATGACAACAACAGATGAGACACTCAACCTTTTGCTGCAGCAGAGGCAGCTGCTGCACGGTTTTTCCTCGTTTCTCAAAGGAGAGAGGACTGGTGGACTTGTTAGATTAAATTGCTTTTTACTCAGCATCTCAAGTGTGCTCTGATACAGGAGTGTAGAGAAGTACTTGAAGCAAAGATAGTAGGCCTTTCCCTCTCTCGCCTGTCACATCCTGGTGTACATCCTCAATCTTCTCCAGATCTCAGGTAAGGAGGAGAGTGTCTCATCACTTTGTAAAAAAAAAAGAAAAACTAGAAACAGACCAAGCTGTGGTGAACAATGGCGCAGATGGGATTTAAAAGCAGTTCCTGGTGGTAATTTTTTCTGCAAAATGTTTCTTGAAACGCTTTTCAGCTGCTTTTTGAGCATAAGCATGGAGGAAATGTCTTCAAAAACTTACGCCAGATTACACATACTGTTCTGCAGGTGGCAGACGAAAGAAATGCGCTTAATTACCTCGAGAAATGACGCAAGTCAGACTCTGTCAAAGTCCGCTACTGAAGAGAACAAAGAGAATTAAAATAGCTTTAACAAACACAACTTTGTCTGTTAGTGTTCTTGGAAAAGTACCCAGTTAATGAAGATTTATGACAACTCGGATCTCACTGTGCTCACAGAATCAGGCAAACTGCTGAGACTCAATTGGAGGCAGAAAGACAAACTAAATTTGAAACATAAATTAGACACACTTACTAACCGAAATTAAGCTGCAAAGGGGCAGAGGGTTTTTACTAATAATGTTTGTTTTCAAATAAAGTACACCAGCACATGGAAACCTCTGGTCTTAAGGAATGGAGACAAAGATTAAGGGCGCATTCATACTAAGACTGTTTGGTTTGTTCTGAATAGACCATGGTCCATTTACTCCTTTGGTCTGGATGATATAAACTCACAAGTGAACTGTGGTCCGGATCAAACAAAAGGACCATGGTCTTCTTCCAAACAAATCATGGTCCGGTCCTCGGCGGATGTGAACGCAGCTAGACTTTTTACAAGTCAATATAAACCAATAAAACATTCATACTGTAATTAAGCTGGGACATTGTGCAAGGACGGAGGTTGCAGCAGAACAGCTGGTCAAAACACCAGACTGTCCATAAAACTGGATGACTGGCAGAGGGTTTGTGTTCTGATACAATAGTTGGGTGATATAAAATACGTAGGTGTTCTACTGTTCAACAAACACGCTGACAATGTGTTATCTGGACATTCCTTTGCATTAATGCCCGGCGTCTCCTCACACAACGTCTTTGCCACCTCTGGTGAACATTGTGCCCTGAACTAGTAGGTGACAGACAGTGATTTTCCCTCGTAATTTTCCCTCTTTGCTAACCATTTGGTCTGCTTAGCAAGAGTCCAATGTGAACGCTAACCGGACCAAATGCAAAACGCAACAATGTAAACATTTGGTCCCTGAACCAGACCTTCTAAAAGGACTTTGAGTGAGAAAGGCCCCTATGTACTAAAAGTTGCAGTTCCTGGAGTGCCCACTTGAGGCACTGGAAACTACGCACACACTGAACCAAAAGACAGTTTTTACAGCAACAGTAAACACATTTAAAGCCTGGCTTTTTAGCCACACATGCTTTTGAAGACATTAATTTGGTGAACCAGAGGCATGGCTGACTTCACTGACTGGTAGGCACACTGTTACTACGCCAAAGGCCTGCCTCTAAATTGTCGACCAAAAGTTCATTTAAGTAACCACTTCCAATATGGCGAGGGTTAGGGCTATTCATTTATTTAGTTATAATAAAGTCTATGAGATAAAATAACTCTTCTTGTCTCACTGCTGAGCTAGTTCTGTACGATTGCAGTTGTGTTTTATTAGGCATAAAATCTAGTCCTGTTGGAAAAAGTTCAAACCCCATTTCCAGAGAAGTTGGAACATTGTGTAAAACATAAATCAAATCAGAATACAATAACTTTTGTAATAATTTTTGACCAATAATCAATTAAATGCATAACAAAGACAAGATATTCAATGTTAGAAAAGATAGAATAAATTGTTTTCACGTATATTTGCTCATTTTGAATTTTACGCCTGTAAAACATTTGAAGCTTTAAGTTTTAGGAGTTTTCTAGATTTTAAGAGAAATCTAATATGATAATATCTAATATAATATCTAATATAATAGAGCTGCATTAGATCCTCAATGACGCTTGATTTTGCATGAATAATGTGAATTGTTCAATTAACATGAACAAATCTCTTCATCTGTGTATGCCTGCGTGAAGCTTTTACCATTTATTCACGGCTAAACTGTTTCTTTTTTTTTTTTTCTTGCTTTTATTCGAGCTCTGAAAAGATGTCAAACACGGTGACACCTGAAGATTGCTGTGTTTACCTGTTTTGCCTTCTGAAGCTCGGGATCAGATTCAGACCTTCAGGCTTTGCGGTTTCAAATAAAAAAAGGCAGAAACAGAAAAAAAATGTCAATGTTTGCAAAGAAAATTGAAGAAATAAGGAAAGATAATCTTATATTTGAAATGCTGAGCAGTTTGCAAATGAATTGTTTACATTGTGCATCTCTTTCAGTTTGTTTTGCAGTTTGGAAAAATCGTCACATGCGCACCGTCACCAACTACTTCATCGTGAATCTGTCCCTCGCTGACGTGCTGGTCACCATCATCTGCCTGCCCGCCAGCCTGGTGGTGGACATCACAGAGACGTGGTTCTTCGGGAAAACACTCTGCAAAATCGTGCCTTACCTGCAGGTGAGAGAACAACAAACCACTAAACCACTCAGCTTGATGAAGGCGTATGATTGCTGTTTCTGTAATTCTGACATTTTTCTCAGTCTGTATTCATGAGGAGAAACACTAACACGTAATATCCCGTGAGATGTGCACAGAGTGAGATCTTTGATGCTTGTTCAGGTCCTTTTGTTTTTTGCAGCTTTAAATTTTAACCTGCACATCTGCCAAACAGAAGTGGAACATTACTTTGTCCGACTTTCGCCCACTTTTGTTTGGTGAATCAGCATTTCCTTCTGGTGAGATGCAAATGAACAATCCCTGAGATGTAAACCTATAGAAAACCCTGCTGCATACTGATTTTCTGTCCAATGCATCACAAGGTTTTTTTTACGTATAACATGAAATGTACTTTTGAGGATATGGATGACTGTGTGCAGCAAGACGCCACAGATTGATGGTTGGTATTCATGAGCACGGATGAATCAGTATGGGGTTTCTCTTACCTCCAAACCTCTTGGCTTTGAATTGGAGGTGTGTTCGACAGCCTTCATGTTCACATCCTCTCTGCTTCCTGCTGTGTGATCTGACTGTTCCGGTACGTGCTACAGCAAACCTCCAGTCGTTTCTGCAATCCTTGGGAGATCCTCTTACTCAAAAAAACTAATAATCCCCAGTTGGGAAATTTTCTTACTTCAGTTTATGTCACATTCTGCTCATTTTTAAGTGCTGTGTAGCCTCGGAGAGAATTGATCTCAGTGTGTCTCTGAGTTACAGTAAGAGGATTTATTCCTGAAATATATTGAGGAGGAAATACATTCAGATATGAGCAGCACAGTTTTAACCTTCCGTTTGTCATAGGAGTAAATTCACAGGAGGTCCTGGATGAAAGTTAATAGGGATATTCCGGCGTAAAATTAAAACCCAGAGACTCCCCCTCCAGAGATGAATGTTGCCGACTGTTTGCTTCTCTACTTATACCAACTTTAGTAACGACCACACGATAGCAATATACAGCGGTCTGAGGAGCCACAAACAAACCTCAACCAAAAAGCCACTCTACAGCCACAAATAATACTCAGAACAGCACCTAACTTCATCAACAGTACATATAGGGTGCTAGCCATAGTACTAGCCACCAAACATCTTTTTAGCTTTGACTAATTTCTTTAGCAAAGAGACTAAACACAACTCACCCACCCCCCTCGAGCAGCCCCTTGTTGGTAATGAGACCTCTGGGCCAGTCCATTACAGACTACAGCAGGGTGACGCAGCTCAAGGAAGAACATTTATGATCATTTCTTCATGGAAATGCAATCAGACTGAGACCCTGGGTCAGAAGAACTACCGCGTCTGCAGTGCAAAATGATTAATATGGTGATTATTACTTCAAGGAAATAAAGATAAAGAAATGATCATAAGTGTTCCTTCTTGAGCTGCGCCACCCCGCTGTAGTCCGTAATGGACTGGCCTGAGGTCTCGCTACAAACAAGCGGCTGCTGGAAGAGAGTAGGTGAGTTGTGCTTAGTCTCTTCGCTAAAGAAATTAGGTGGTTGTTACTAAAGTTGGTATAACTAGAGACACAAGCGTTCATCTCTTGAGTGGGTGTCTAACTTGGTGTTACGGTGTGTTTGACCCTAAATTAATTTTACGCCGGAATATCCCTTTAATGCTGCATTCCAGTTGTACTGGAAATTCATCTGGAACGGCCCCCTGAAATCGGATTTTCGACTTGGAAAGTCGGACGATCCTCACCAACCCCGACTTGACGACAACGTCATAATTCAAGATGGCAGCGCATTACATCAATAGTAAAGAGTGACAGTGAAAGCTCTCGTTTTGTATTACTTATTAGCACTTCTGTTTTGTTTTTGTGAAATTAAATAAGTGGTTTATGTTGTGCTATTTAACGTCTAACACGATGCTATGGTGTTTGTAGAGTAAAATACTGTGTTATGTGTTGTTTACAACTGGTATAGCTAACAGCAACGAACAACAGCTAACAGTAGGCGTCCATCTTGGTTTTCCAACTTGTTTACTGGAATGCCATTAACTCAGGTGTAATGTCGTTCCCAGCTCCGACTTCTGAGGTAACTGGAACGCAGCAGCATAAGCCTGCTGAGTGTTTCTCCAAGGTCTTTCAAACACTGCAGGCTTCATATAAGGCACACCACTGTCATCTTATGAACTGAAAATCAGGGCTAATATTTGAAGCAAAAGAGGGTATAAATATTCAGCTCCTCTGTCATCTGCTGTCATGAATTTACAGCCAAGCAAGCTTTACATATTTGACGTGCAGAGATAACATTAATCAGGAAAATATTCTTCTTTGTGACGAAGGAATGATATTGGAGATCAAATGTTCCTCTGACATTCAGCAACCTGCCATTTAAATGTCATCAAATACTGATATTTAAGAATTCCCTCTTCTATATGTCTGAGGAAGGTCGTTTATAGTCACGCATACGCAGCTTGAAGGAAAGTATTTTTTGTCCTTTTCCATGGAAATGTCTTGTCATAGACGTCACAGAGTTGCACTGAAAACATCAGTATAATGACAGGTAAAGGCAAAAGGGAGCCCGAGAGAGGAGATGACCCAAGAGTGGAGATATACTTACTTAAAAAATCAAGATTAGAGCTGAAGGTGTATGTCTTTATTTCAAAGAGGTGGTGTTAAGCTTTTTTCATATTTTCAAGCCAAATATTGAGTTAAAATAGGGTGACTATATTCTGAAACCCCAAAAAGAGGACACGACTACGCGGAGCGGAGTCACGGAGTCACGCGTAGTTAATTTTGAGAGTTTTTTAGTGTTGGATCGAGTGTTTTTATGCACCTCTAACTCAGTAAGTCCACGCGACACAAACTCAAAACTTCCATACAAAACCCCGGACGTTTGAAGGATTTTATAAACTCCCCCAGACAAAGCCGGACAAGGACAAGGCCGGACAGCCCCCGAAAACAGAGGACGTGTGCGGGTAAAAGGGGATGTATAGTCACCTTGAGTTAAAATGTTAGATGCCAATACTGAATGTGGGAGGAGACTACTCTTGTTGTAGAGCAAAGTTTCACAGTAGAATGAATAGAGTTGGACTTGACACTTGTTCACTTAATCGTCATGATGTGTTCTGTTAATTTAGTTTTCTTCTCCTGGTTTTATTTGAGTAGATTTTGTGTTTTGTTCCTAGTGTTTCTGTTCCCCTGTAGTCCAGTCTTATGAGATTTTAGTTTGTGTTTGACCCTGTTGTCCTCCCCTTCTCTGTGTTTTATTCTTTATATCACTTGTTAGTGTTTCCTGTTTCATTTTGCAGTAGTTTATTCCCTTTGTTTCTCATCTTGTTTTCCCTCCTTTGTTAATCACCCATGAGTCTCACCTGTGTCTCGCCTGCCTCACCTGTTGCTCGTTTCCCAGTGTGTATATAGTCTCTTTCTCACCTCTGTCCTGGTTGGTTCGTTGAATGTACATCCGTGTGCGTCTGCTTGTGTCCCCAGTTGCTCCATGTGATTTTGCCCCAGTGATTCGTTCGTGTGAATGACTTTCTCCCTATATGTTTGCTCAGTCTGTGTGGCAAACATGAATTAATTCAAGAGAGGAGAGTTCCCCTTCATGCTATTTTAGTTTGTTTACATTAAACATAGTAAAGGTTGACTACATTATAAGGATTTGTCACATCATTTGCCCAACTTACCAGAAAATTCAATCTCCTCACTCACTTTCTCTTCAGGAGAGATCCTTTTTTATTCCTGTTTTGATATTAAAACTCATCATGTCCTATAGTTCAGGTTGATGCGTCATGCTCAGTATGTCCTCTATTTTCTAAATGAACGAATCTCCACAAGTCTGTTGTTGACATACATCACAAGGGAGTCTACATGCTGATTTAAAATCACATTCATGATGACTCAGCGAATGAAGCGAGTAGCATGTAGGAGGACAATTTAAACCATGAAATTGAGCAGAATACCTTCTCTTTGAAATAACAGTCTGGCTGCTGAAACAGAAAGACTGAAACCTTTAACAACAGGAGGAGGCACAAGGACATTTCTGACATTAAACCAGAGGAATATCTGACACACAGTCTGAAACATCTTCAATATCTGATTGCTGTTGTGGTGAAAGGTTTGGTAGATAATATGGATTTGCAGAGACTACAATACGTGCTTCAAAGGTTCAATGCATTGGTTTTCAAGCTGTTTCAAACATATCAGAGCTAGGTTTTGAATTAATTTTCAAAGTTTGTCCACAGCATTATTAAGTTTGCTGGAGGAGGCGGAGTTTATAACCTATACTGCAACCAGTCACCAGGGGGTGTCGTTCTCAGGGAGGCTGTACTCAGTGAGAAGGCAGATGACGTCCGTTCTATATACAGTCTAAATATTTGGGCTTCTTCATTAAAAAAGTCTCTGCACTGATTGGCTTGAATGTTGTCTGAGGGTAGATGGTGCTTAAGGATGCAGAGGCGGAAAAACACCAAATCAAACAAAGAACTTTTGGCATTTGTGTTAAGAGTAAGATTTTTATCAGTAAGGGTTCCAGGTATTAAAGGTTACACCACCTCAACAGCCTGGCGTTAAATTAAAACAGGGGCAGCAGGTGAAGTCCTCTCCCTAAAAATCAATGATCATTTCTTTAGTATTACAGTAGATACATTCATATAGAAAAATATCTTCTGCTATAGGGCTCGCTGTCACTGAATAAAGAAACAGTCGTAGCCTCATCTGCAAACTTAATAATGTATCCACCCTCACACTGACTTTGACATTTGTTTGTATATGAAACAAATAAACACTGTGAGAAGAATAACCCTGCAGGAAGCCAGTGGGAGATAAAAGGACGTCTGATAAAAGGCCATTAACTCTCACTCTCCGTGATATGTTTATTAAACCGGCCAATGTACATCAGAGCTGATATTGTAGGTGATGGTGAGTCATTCTTCTCAAATATAAAGTTGGATAGGTGGAGAAAAATTCAATAAAATCTAAGATCTGAGCAAACAAAGCCAAATGTGCGTGCTAAGATTGTGCAAGGTCACCTTTAAACCACCAAACTTTGTTTTTTTTTTTTCAGTTTATCAGCCTCACTGAACCTTTTCATGAGTTGATTTCAATCTTAAATGTGGCTCCACTTTCAACCTGCATCACCACCAAAAAGAAATTGATCATAGATGGTGCACAGTAAACCTGCCAGCTGTAAGATCCATTTTTTTTTAAGTTATTTTCTGGGTTGCTGGTTTAGCTCGAAGAATAAATCGTAGAGAGGTTAAAGTCCTCTCAGTTCAAATCTGACCAGCAGTGACTCACAGGATATGATGCATCCTACCTCCCAGTTTTTTTTTTCTTTTTACCCTACCTGCTGCCTTGTCCTTTTTAAAAAAAGCCATAAAAAGACCAAAAAATACTCTTAAAAAAGGAACATCCAATCTCAGCTGAATGATGTACTTCGCAAACACAAGGCACAATCAAAATAGACCATTTAAAGTCTGACTAGCCCGAGCCCGATTGCCACTTCCCAATAACCATGCGACCTGATTCAAGGCTTGATGAACTGATTGTTTGTCCAAATAATCCTCAAGTGGGTGGTGTCAATAGGACTAATTTCCTGCTTCCATCTGAGCTGGAGCGTTGCCAACCTGGGACTCTAAATATTCAATATTTTTAATTTATTAAGTCCCAGGTTGGCCTGCGTCCAACGGAAAATAACCAATGAGAGAAGCAGACTGGGAGGCATCACTGACTGGATTGTTGGGTATTTTTGCACCTGACAAACATGCTTCTCAGCCAGGATTTTATCCGTGTTATTTTTCTTGTGGGTTCTCCACGTTTGTTTGGCCTCATTTAATCTCCTCTGTGGATTGTGAAACCTTAAAGACAAACATCAAGCGTACGGTTATGTTGTGCATCAAACTACGTCATCAAAGTGAAAGTCTGAGGAGTTTTAAGTTCAAAGCAATCCTCTACCCTGGTCTTTATGTAGATTTGGCTCTGACTCATTTCCTCTGGGGGCTGTCCTACCCGAGTATGTTTGCATTAGGGCTGGTATGAGAAGAGATTTTCAGCTCACACATACAACCCATGATTTCATTACCATAAAGTATTTTGATGGTTTTATTTCCTGAAATGTCATTTATGAGCTGGAGAAGGACCTTTATGATTTCAGACTGTGATTATTGAATACCTACAGCCGCTTATGTAGACGCTCTTTGTGACTCATGTGCTGCAACCTTCTAAAGAGGTATCGGACGCCAAAATGCATCAAAGAAACTGCTTTCAATCAGGTTTTCAGAACTTGTCAATTTCCAGTGTTCAAAGTAATGTAAAGATATAAATCACTCAGATCTTCCACAGCTTTGAAATCAAACAAGATTTAAAGGTTGTCTTGTGTGTGGTCAGCAGACACATTCACATCCTTTACAATTTTAATGCATTTTTACACACAATGGAATTAACCCAAAATTAATCAGTGTTGTTTTTGCTGTAATATTAGAAATTATTTTCACCAAGCCTGTGACTTGATTTTTCAGGACATTTCATCAGGTTTTTACAGCAGTAAGACTGCTTCTTTTCCTAACACCAGCTTCTTGTTGCCTTTTTTCCTTTTTTAAATTGAACTTATGGAGTCTGACATACAGAGTTTTAGCCATAGACCATAAAACTATGGTTTTAGCAGACTTGAGCCTTTCCTCTTCTACAATGAAGGATGAGACGGTAATATTTTACAATAACCATAACTGATAAATGGTAAATGAACCATTTATAAATGGTAAGCAGATAAGTAGCATATAGACCATTAATAGATTGTAAATTTTACAACTTTAAAAACCTAACCCTGACTTTACAATAACCTTGTAAGTAATGTTTATAGATGTTTATAAACCAAATATTAACCATAAACAAAGTGCTACTGACACACATTTTAATCTATATGTTTTACAGCCAATATTTGAATATAAACATTTAATAAATAGTCAATTAATAATAAATGAAAATTATTAATCATGATTTCATTGCTTGTTAACGGTAAAGTAATTATTAACTTAAATGAATAAACTATTTATTTGCCATTAATAATTGGTCTATGTGCTGTTTTTAAATGATGATTAAACTTTAATAAATGATCTATTTACCATTAATAAATGATGGTTATTGTAAATTATTACCAGTGAGACATTAGTATAATCTGGCTGCTCAAAAAGTATTGTGATTTGCACACCTGAAATTACTCCCGAATGCTCCTGTATGTACACAACCTTTTTTTTCTCAATGTTTCTAAAGTATATTCAGCCTTCGACTTCACTGTTCAGAATCTATTTCAAGGGTGCACTGACCAGCTGTATGTACTGGTCTCTGTACTCTTTAATGGACAGTTATGTGAGAACTTGTTCTTTTCAGCCAACTGGCCAATTTTCTTTGCCCTTTTTTTTGACATTCTGAATAAAGGAACGTGGTTAGAAAAAAAAGGTTATCTTCTATAATACTGACATCCTTGAACTTTACATTTCAGAAAGGCAGAGCTGAGGGTTTTTGTCCTACAAACCCACACAGTTCATCTCTCGCCTTATACACCAGGGCACTGCGGCGTCGAACTCATCAGCTCACTGGAATTCCTACAGAAAACTATCTACAACACGTTCAAATCAGATGAGAGTATCTCAAATATAGGAAGTCACTCATGCATCAACGTGCTCTATCTCACCTTGTTCAATTTCACAGGATTTTAATTGAAAAATACCTTTTCTGGGTTAGTTTTGGAAAGTTAAGGCAAGAGCGAGAGTTCAAAATTGAAGAGAGAAATCTGTGCCAACACGGTAGACCAGAAAAAAGGCGAAGATGATTGTCTTTGACCTCTTGCCCTGTCAGACCAACTGAATCCCTGCAGATCTGCACAAAAAGTCTCTCATTTGCTGCCGGATAACAGTTCAATTATATTGTACAAAAGCCTGAACCTCCTTGGTGTGTACTTGACCTAAATAGAGGTTAAGCCGGCTGGAGACAGAGAAGCCATTGTCTTTTGATGAATACAAGCCATTCCTATTACGCTTCACCTTGAATATATAAAATTTGTATATAAATCTGGAGGTGCTGCGTTGAATCACAATGGCTAACTTAATACCATCAAGACCAGAAAAAAACTTATTGTGCTGTAATAATGTTCCAGGAGGTTTTTGCTATTGAGCTTTTTGGATCAGGAAGGTGTTAGTCTATCACTGACCTTTGGTTCACCTCGGAAAGCGAAATTCATTTTCCAAATCACAACAAGAACCCTTAATAGCAAAATACTCAGGGTTGAAAAGAAACCAAAGCACCTATTTGTCTAGTTTTAAACACACCACTCTCAGATTACCCACCTTTGACTGGTGTCTCCTCCTTTTTTACCAGACCATCTCCGTCTCCGTATCAGTCCTGACACTGAGTTGCATTGCCCAGGATCGCTGGTATGCCATCTGCCACCCGCTGATGTTCAAGAGCACGGCCAAGAGGGCTCGCAAGAGCATCGTTGTCATCTGGGTGGTGTCCTGCATCATCATGATCCCTCAGGCTGTAGTGATGGAGTGCAGCAGCCTTTTACCTGAACTCACAAACAAGACTAGTCTGTTCACAGTGTGCGACGAACACTGGGGAGGTTAGTATCAAACATGTTATAAAATTGTGCCACGAATGCAAACCACCTTCAATAAGGCATTGGTCTAATTAAATTTCACTGTTACATTTTTTTAGATAGATCTCAGATAATCCAACAAGATGCAAGAGTGCTCTAAAACTACAGTACAGCAGAGAGTTAGAGCACTGATTATAACTATGGGACATTAGATATTTAGGGTAGGGCTGGGCGATAAACCGAAAAGTTACAGATACCGAAATTCATGACAAAAATAATTAAATCAAAGTTGGTTTTGGATGTGTGTAGGTAGGCTATGGTCTCATGTCCCTTTGAGACGCTGTCCTACATCAGAGACATGACTTCACCCCATCCAGTCTGTGACAAAGAGGGAAAGACAGGTGAGGAAATGGAGGACGGTTCAAAAGTTATAGCGGCTGAAGTAGACGAAGTTAATGTGGGAGGGGGTGAGCAGCTTGTGGAGTAGTTATCGTCCATTTATCGATATTGAGGTGAACTGCTCAATATATCGTGATATTGATTTGAGGCCATATCGCTTAGCCCTACTTAATGCATGGTTATATGCAAAGACACATGAATAATGAAATGGCAACAGATGTACACATAAGTCAAAGACTTCAACTTTGCAGTAGTGAAGGCAATTACGCTGACAGATATAGACAGTGTTATGAGATAGCATTGTATGGAGTCAAAAGGAGGTCAGGAAGCATTGCAAACGCGACTGAGTTATTGTAAACAAAAAATAATAATAGTAAATGTAACTGAAGTATTGTAAACAAAAAAATTTATTATTGATCACTGAATTTTTATAAATGAGGTATTTTTGCATTTACAATAATTTTTTCTGCATTTACAAAACATTCTGGCCTCTCTTTAACATAGGGGTGGAGTTAGATGAGTGGCGTGTCTATGGGGGCGGGGTTAGATGAGTGGAGCGTCCAGATAGGAAAATTAAACAAAACCATAGAAGAAGCCAAGAAGTCAACTCCATACAGCACAAAGGGAGCCCACGTACATCATGGTGTGTTGACAAATGATATAGCCTACATCCCAGGATAATTTATTAACTGTAGTTACCTAAGATCCTTAACTTGAAGCATTGGGCTGCCTCAAACCACCACTGTTCTGGTCTGCCATCCTTCTTCATAGAGACTGTATTTATAAATGCCAAAATACCATACCATGCACATGTAAAAACGTGCTGCAAAAAAAGCCCCCTAAGAATATGCTTGGACATTAAAAGTTCTGCAAATACTCGGACAATATGAAGCAAAAATGCACAAAAGCAGAAAGCAGTTGATATTTCTCCATAAGAAAATTGCTTAAGCCGCTGCAGATCATTTGCCCTTTTCCTCAATAACTCAGAACCAAGATTTTGTGATTTTCTTTCTTCTCTTCTGAGTTTTTGAGCAAAGCCTTTCAGACGGTTGTATTTAGTTTCTGGTTCTGAGATTGTTCAATTCGCTGAAAAAAAAAAACTAATGTCAGGAATCACGGAAAAGTCACCGTCAATCATATGAAACAAGTGCTAATAACACTGCTTGACTCTTGCAGTTTGATTGACGGCGTCTTGACTGAGACTCTGAACTGATTGAAGCTGCAGAAAATTGCGTCCTCCCCTTGAATGACACTCACTAAGCCAAACTGAAAAAATAACAAAAAATATTCAGTGAGAACATTTGTTTTGTCGAGTGTTTGGAAAGAAACTTGGGTGCTAAAAGGATTTTTTTGACCAAAAGTTGCATTTCTTCTTATCACAAATTTAATAAAACTCTAAATTTTAATCAAAAACAGCCCAGAAATTGTGCTGGAGAACCTTTTCACTCCACGATCCGGGGGCAGAGATTGTTTGGTGACGCTGGTTTGTTTTAATGTGCTGCATCCTGTTACCTGGTCCGTTCTTTCGCTTCCTCATTTGTCTACAAATTACCTCTGAGGAGTCAGCAGATGGTTGACATTCCCTTGTGCCTCCGAGGTCAAGCCATCTTCTCACTTGTTTGTTCTCCACCTGGAATTTGTTTTTCTCTTTTAATTATGTGGATTCTGCTTTTCAACAACCTGCCAGAGTATTTGTGGAGGACAGCTTGCTGCTATTTAACGGATTTTTACTTTTCCGGCCAGTTAAGATTTTAAGCTCAAACAATCCGGCTGTGTTCTTACTCGACTTCTGACAGCTGGAATACTTGACTCATTTCTAACAAGAAGCATCTCATACTTGATCTAAGCCACATTTACCAAACAAATCCAGAGAAATGTTGTCTTGTAGGATCTTACACATCAAAAATGAAACCTGAATTGCTTGTTATGAGTTTTTAAACATCTGCTAGTGAAGTAAGAAAGAGAATTTACTCAGTTAGTTCCTGTAATCAAAACTTTCTTTTTTCTTATTTTATTTGCCGATTCTTTTTAGTCATTAAGAGACATTTTTTCTGGTGAATAAGGCTACGTTCGCACTGCAGGTTATGATGCACAATATGGATTTTTTGTTAAATCCGATCTTTTTGTGCGATCGTTTACATTACGACAACGAATGCAGCATCTAATGTGAACGGAATGTGTTCGTGAAGTGGCCCGCATGCGCACAAAGCACAAATCACTTTCCACACCTGTTTGTGTTGTCGAACAATGGTGACATTTGTCGCATATTGATGACGTATAGGTCGGATGAACGCTACCTGAGCGTCCACACTGCAGTCACATCGGATACATATCCGATTTATATCCACATACAAAAGAGGCCTGGGTGGGATTTGAAAAAATCAGAATTGTACTGTTCACACTTACATGAAAAAATCAGATATGTGTCACATATGGTTAAAAAATCGTAATTGACCTGCACTGTGAACATAGCCTAAGACTTTAAACTGGCCTAATAAAACCTTTCTCCTAAAAAGTAGTGCCAACATTTGAAGGACTGGTACAAAAGAGGGAGAACATGAGTAAACTTTTCCAAGTGGACTTTTAATTTCACTAAATGGGTCTGGTACGGACTGGTCAGTAGAGGGTGCCAAAGTGCTCCCCCACCACTTCAGCGCACTACAATAAACATTCAGCATCATGAGAATCAAACCCTTTAAACAGATCTCTTCAAAACCAGGCTGTAACTTTATTTTCTTAACTCTAAAATCAACTTGCCTCTGATTAAATCAAGCAGAAACGAAGTCTTGACTATCCTGATTCGTAAAGTTCTCTGTCAGTTTCTAATAACTCTTTCCTCTTTCAACAGCTGAGATCTACCCAAAGGTGTATCACACCTGTTTCTTCATCGTCACTTACTTTGCACCGCTTTGTCTCATGATCCTGGCGTACATCCAGATATGTCACAAGCTGTGGTGTCAACAGGTGAGTTTTACAGTGTTTTTTAATTTGTTTTCTTATTGAAATAAAAAAGGTCTCCTCTGCTCAAACAGCGTTCAAAGCCTGGAGTCTAATGAAACACAACGCAAAACTAACCCTGCAGAACTGTCAATAACAGATCCGAAATGGTTCATTCTGCTCTGAGCACTTGCAGAAGACTGTGTGGGTGTAGCGTATAAAGTTTGGAGTGACATCTGCCTGACTTGAACAAAACATGGAGCTTTATCACATTAAGGGTGGTGCAGCTTTAACATCATGTTTGAGTCATCTGAGATTGAATCAGAGGAGGAAGCGTGCCCTGTATTCTGAAAGTATTTTTGAGAAAGCTTTCAAATGATGCTCTACAGAATTCTTGTTTTTCTGATACGACTTCAAAATCAATCTTATTATTTCCACTGGAGCTGCAAAATGAACATTCACAATAACCTGATTGAAAAAATTTGTATGTTTTGCTTTAGCTGCTCTAGTGCCCATTTCTGGTTGGAAAAAACATTAATTTTGGATTTCCATGAGACGTGTTCCACACAGAGGTATTTTACAAAACAAGAAAAACAGATCAATGAGTTATGGATAAACATGAGAATAGTCTCAGTGATGTCAGTCATTAGCTGCATTTACATGGGCACAAATAATCAGAATAAATGCCCGATCGGAATAAAAATGTGTCATGTAAACATGTCGATCGGAAGATTCTGATTTAATTCGGCTCGATCAGAATGAAATTGTATTCCAATTGAGAGGGGTGATTTATGCCGATCATTATTCAGAAACACGTCCATGTAAACAATTATTCCAATCGTGACTTTCTTACCTGACTCGATCTTCACTCTTTAGTAGTGGTGCAACGGATCACAAAACTCACGGATCGGATCGTTCCTCGGATCAAGAGTCACGGATCGGATCATTTTTTCGGATCAGCAAAAAGAAAAAAAAACAAGACAAATAAAATATATAAAAGTAGTGCACAGGGCATAATATCTTCTTTTTAACATAACTATTAATGAAAAACAACTTAAAGTACAATATACAGGCATATCTCCTTCCTTTAAAATGTAACAATGAACTAAAAATGAAGGGTGTGCGCGATGGGATGTCGTAACGTGGCTCAAGCACTTTCAGCATGTTTTTAAAGCCCTCGTTTTGCACAACTGAATACGGCCTCATGTCTGCAGCTATAAACACACCGATAGAGTTTGTGAAAGCTTTAGCCTGGTCGGATTGCGCAGGAAGAGGCTGCTTAAATGCTGCGGTGATGAGCGGTTGTTGGGCAGCTTCCGTTTTATCTCAGGTGTTATGCCAAAGAATGCACCCCTGCCGTATAGTGCACCCCCTAACGGGAGCGCGGTTGAAAGTACATAACAAGGCGAAATAATACAAGTTTTCCTTACGTTGGATGTATTCAACAGCGTTTGCCTTTAATAATTTCATTCAGGCTATTCATATCAAATATGAGATCATTATCTCCACTTTAAGAAGCTAACGGGTGGAGGGGATGCAGGGGGTGCGTTCTACGGCAGGGGTGCAATCTACGGCACAACACCTGTCAGTAAAACACCCGGGTGATGTCGCTTCAAATGCGTGAACATGCTCGATGTGTTTCCACTGTCATATGGCTTTCTTATGCCACAGTGCCTACACTCCGTCGCAGTTTTGTACACTGACCTCTTTCCTTCTTCATCATAATTGACAGGGAAGCCAAAATGCTCCCATACAGGGGATTTAAGTGTCGCGGGGCGTTCGAGCTCCTCCTTTCTCCGCTTTCAGAAATCGATCCGCGGATCACATGTGTGCCGAACCGAATACGTCGATCCGAACGGATCACGGATCAATGATGATCCGTTGCACCACTACTCTTTAGCCTTTGGTTTGTTTATTGGTCAGTACAGGAGGTTTCATTATTAACACTCTGGCATGAAACACAACCGCAGATGCTGTGTCTGCTCCTCCAGTAACGTAGCAAGGCGTACATACAGCGTAATGATGTCACATCTGCATGCACAGCGCAACCTTTGACAGAACAGTAAAATAAGTATGGAAGGGCGCCATCTAGTGACAAAATTTAACAGGGGGAAAACTCCTGAATTGGATGGAGTGAGCCACAACCGCGTTTGTTGGTTTGTTGACAGCACAGGCGTAGATACAACTCTTCCTCTGTGGTTGTTTTAGTGAAATCAGACAACTCTGTGCATGTCCAAATGCTTCTAAACTGAATAAAGCTTGGTGCATGTATACACACGTCATGATTGGATATTCAATTTTGCACCTGTATAAACAATGGATTCAGATTATCCCATCCCTCAAATTTTTTAATCGGATCAAGAAATTTTGCACATGTAAACGTGGCTAGTTGTTTCTGGGGTTGGGGTTAACTCTAACCCTAAAATATTCCCAACACCTGTCAGTCAAACCTGCTAAGTTATGCAAACGTATGCATGACTCTTGTCTAAAAGGAAAAAAAGAGCTATAATCAACCCTTTATAGTTGTTCAGAATAAAGAAATAAGGTATGGAGACCAAAAACGTTAAAGTACAAGACTATGTCTATGTTATTTCTTCTGTGGAAATTGACATTTTGACACAGGAACTAAATTTTGGAGCACATCTGCGTTGGCATTGGGAGAAGTTTTCTCCTCTTTGATAGCTGATATAATATTGTACGTCATATATTGTTATTGCTGTATTCAAGAACATTAATGCACATCATTTCACCTCTGACTCTTCTGTCATATACTGACAAAGTTTGTAATACAGCTAATAGAGGCTGTCCTTGAGCTAGGGTTGGGTATCGTTTGATTTTGAACGATTCCGATTCCGATTTCGATTCCTCATTTCGAATTCGATTCCTATCGATTCTTTATTTCGATTCTTTTAAAAGGCAGGATATCATAAAAAAAAAGCATGGTTTGAATGAGGGCGCTAACCGGAGCTCTTCTTTTTGGATGAAATTTCTGAACTTCTCCATGAATTTTTAAATCATATTAACTTTTTAGGAACTTTACTATGAATTTCTCACAGGACTATTTTCAATCAGTATATAAATATCAATTTTTGTTGTCAGGTCGTTTGTCTATGAAAAAGCACAAGGGCTAACGTTAGTTGGATATTTAAGTTGACCCACCGTACTCAGTGCAATTTGTTTACCGCTTCAAAGTTAGCAGAGGACAGAAGTACTTCATTGTTTCACGTATCTGATCCTGACTGGTTAGCGGAAGACAGGTGTTGTGCTGTAGAATGCACCCCTGCCGTAGAATGCCTCCCCTCCACTGATTAGCTTCTTAAAGTGGAAGACAATGATCTCATATTTTAAAAAACACGAGTATTAGATCATGACAACATGTCAAATGGAGCAGTAAACTTTCGTTTTGTTTTTATGTGTCTCAAAAATGCACACATAGAGGTGTACTTGGGTATATAAACTGTACAGTAAGCTGTTAATGTAGAGAACATTATATTTTCCGGACAGTAAATATTCCGAATCAGAGGGCTATTGTTTTCGGCATATCTGAATAGCCTGAATAAAATCATTAAAGGCACACGCTTTAGATTCCGTCCAACGGTAAGGAAAACTTGGATTGTTTCGCCTTGTTGTGTACTTTCAACCGCGCTCCCATCAGGGGTGCATTCAACAGCAGGGGTGCATTCTACGCCACAACACCGGCGAAGCGCGTCAAAGACGAGCACTCGGGTATTTCTCCTCCATGAATCCTGAGGTGTTTAATCATGTTTGTCGTTTACCCTCCTTTGCATGATATAACTGTATTGCTAATGTTGCATTGAGATAAGAGCTCATTCTTCCTGCTAAAGTTAGCCAAACTTTTGACCAACGAAGAAGAAGCTGCCGAACACCAACGAGGACGGAGCGTATGAGACGAAGCCACACAGAGAGAGGAGAGAGATAGAGAGAGATTACATTGTAACCCACAGCGGCTGCATTGCTGTGGGTTACAATGTACTTTCTCTCTCTCTGTCTCTCTTCACTTTCTGTGTGGCTTCGTCTCATACGCTCCGTCCTCGTTGGTGTTAAGCGGCTTCTTCTTCGTTGATTTTCGGCGGCTATTTCTTCCGGTCGGCGGACTCTGGCATCGAAACTTGGAATCGAAATTGTAATATTTGAACGATACCAGAAGAATCGAAGTTTTAGTCCCGATTCCCATCGATTCTCGATTCTCGATACCCAACCCTACCTTGAGCTGAAGAAATGAATGAATAAAATAATAAATAAAGCTCACATTGTGACAAATTGATAAACAGACTTTATAAAATACGCTCCATTACAGGGTGATGTGACTGTACATCTTCATTTGCCCATGGTCACCCAGCTTTCAAGTGCTATGTCTCAAGTCCCCAAAAAACCGATATGAAACACTAAAATGTCTCAGCTTTGAGCAATCTCAAACCTGGTTTTAACCAGTTGAAATAAAAGAGTGAATGTTGCTCTCAGCCGTGATTGTCTGCTGTCTCATTCAGCAGAAAAACAACCTGAATGCACCAAAGTCAAAGTTCAGTACTTATTTCTCTGTACATCTGACAGTCAGTCCCGGCGTGCTGCATGCTGTTGCTCAGCTCACCCGGCTTTTCATACTGACAGACCTGCTGTGTAACATCAGGAAGGCTTTCTGTCATACTGAAAGGGAATTCAGCATTTCCCAAAGAGCTGCTGGAGTAACAGCTTCTTCAAAAAGTAGCAGGCAACAAATATGCTGCACTTTGCACTCAGCGCATAGTGCATTTTCAGTCATAAAAGAAATGCTGATGCAAAAAACCACTCTGAAACGAGCCACATTGGTAGAAATAGGTTTAGTGAAGCGCTGTTGAAACCCACATTTGTGAGGCAAAAGCACCTGACAGTAAATTTACACGAAATACAAAATAATCAATTTAAATTGGTTTTGTTTTCATTTTTTAATAGTTTCCGGGCCACAGAGACCAGATTTATGATTTAAAAGTTGAAGAAGTTTCATTCAACCAAAACATGGCAAAGGTCCATCAGAGCAGAACCCAACTGTACCATTAAGAATATGGCCACATAATCATATTTGCGTACAGATGCAACTGAGAGGCCTAATTTTTATATCTACTTTGATAACATTTTTGATCATGTCAGATATTAAAGGGATATTCCGGCATAAAATCAATTTAGGGTCAAACACAGCGTAACACCAAGTTAGACACCCCGTCGAGCGATGAATGTTGCCGATCGCTTGCTTCTCTAGTTATACCAACTTATAAAACTACCGCAGGATGGCAATACACAGCGGTCTGAGGACCAAAACACCACTCTATAGCCACAAATAATGCTCAGAACAGCACCTAACTTCATCAACAGTACATATAGGATCCCAGCCATAGTACTAGCCACCAAACATCTTTTTAACTTTGCCTAATTTCTTCAGCAAAGAGACTAAACACAACTCACCTACTCTCTTCCAGCAGCCGCTTATTTGTAGCGAGACCTCAGGCCAGTCCATTACGGACTACAGCAGGGTGACGCAGCTCAAGGAAGAACATTTATGATCATTACTTTCCTTAAAGTAATAATCACCATATTAATCATTTTTCACTCTAGACGCAGTAGTTCTTCTGCCTTAGCGTCTCAGTCTGATTGTATTTCCATGAAGAAATGATCATAAATGTTCTTTCTTGAGCTGCGTCACCCCACTGTAGTCCGTAATGGACTGGCCGGAGGTCGCTACAAATAAGCGGCTGCTAGAAGAGAGTAGGTGAGTTGTGTTTAGTCTCTTTGCTAAAGAAATTAGGCAAAGCGAAAAAGATGTTTGGTGTCTAGTACTATGGCTGGGACCCTATATGTCCTGTTGATGAAGTTAGGTGCTGTTCTGAACATTATTTGTGGCTATAGAGTGGCGTTTTGGTTGAGGTTTGTTTATGGCTCCTCAGACCGTGTGTATTGCTATCCTGCGGTTGTGACTAAAGTTAGTAAAACTAGAGAAGCAAGAGGTCAGCAACATTCATCTCTCGAGGAGGTGTCTAACTCGGTGTTACGGTGTGTTTGACCCTAAATTAATTTTACACCGGATTATCCCTTTAACCACTAAACTATAGAGAAAGCTCCCCCCCACACAGTTAACTGTGGATTTGGACTTCCAGCAGCTCCTAACAGTGCATTGTTCTTGTTTTTGTAAGTGTTCACCTGCTCAAATTTATGCACATTTGTGATGAACAGATTCCTGGAAGCACCTCAGTGCTGCAGAGAAAGTGGAGGTCCATGCAGTGCTCCGCCTCCACTTCAGCGCAGGGAGAGCCCGTGAGGGTCCGCACCAGCACGGTCTGCGCCGAGATCAAACAGGTCCGAGCGCGGCGCAAGACCGCCAGCATGCTGATGGCGGTGCTCTTTGTTTTCGCCGTGTGTTACCTGCCAATCAGCGTTCTCAATGTCATGAAAAGGTAATTATCTGTGGAGAGAGAGAGAGAGAGAGAAGCTCACCTTGGTTTTACCTATAGCCATAATCACTGATATGGCTCGTGTCAAGAACTAAACTGCTGAAATAATGAACAAAAACTAAAACCTTGTCATGTTTTTTTTACACGCAGAGTCTTTGGGACGTTCAAGCAGATAAACGACAGAGAGAAAGTCTACGCATGGTTCACCTTCTCACACTGGCTCATTTACGCCAACAGTGCAGCAAATCCAATCATCTACAACTTCCTCAGCGGTAAGTTTGCAACCTGTTTCAATACTGGGAGCAGCTGTGCATGATCAATACTGACCTCTAGTGGACAGTGGAACAAAAACAACACAACTCCCTACTGTGTCTGTGTGGTCAAATCATTTAAATTGTACATGACTGTTGTTCATGAGACCTTCTGTGGGAGATGTAATGCTTTATAGTACAATATATTTAACCCTTAAAACCCTTTTAAAGTGTTTCAAATGAGACTTTTTAATCAGATTTCTTTCTCTTCACCTTTTAGGTAAGTTTCGCAAAGAGTTCAAAGCAGCTTTTTCCTGCCATTGTTACAGAAAAAGTCCAAATCAGACAAAGAGGATCAGGACCAGAACGAGCACAGAGAGCCGAAAATCCCTGTCTACTCAAGTGAACAACATGGACAACGTGTCCCGCATATCGGATCAGATTGTTTAATCGAAGACGGATTTTGAAAGGACACATTCATTGTTATATAAACCATCAAAGAATCTAAACCAGGTTTTAAAAAAAGAAACAGATCTTTGGATGAAAAAGGATCTTTCTGAATGATAGTTTTGTGTTTCATGTGGACACTTTGGGAATATGAAGTGCTTTAAAAAAAACTAAACCTCTGTTTTCTGAGGATCTTCTCACTTTTACACGCTCGCTAACAACAAAAAGAAGAACATGACAACCTCTTGTAAATGACAGAAAATATATTTATGCAGACACGCTGTTTAAATGTAAAGTATTTGATGATGCTCAGATGTTCTTAATGATGTACAGTTCAGTGGCACGTATGCACAGAAAGTATTGTATCATTGATGTTTGTGATATTTTGAATGTATTATTTCATCTTCAGTTCAGTCGCCCGGTTATTTATCTCTGAATCTTATTTATTATTTCGCTGTTATCAGGTTGTTTATTGATATTTTTGTCTAATGGGTTTTTACATTGACTGAGGAGCAGGTGACATAAAGAAAACATCTAATAACGCTCTGATTTGTCGTTTGTCCTCTGAATTAGCAGATGTCAATCTCAGGATCTCAGGATTACTTGCATTAACAGCACACACTAATGATGGATCATTAAACAGGTGAATATTAAACAGGTTTTCTTCACCAAAGTGGACCTCATCACTCAATACACACGGATTTAGTGTTTACCCTCATCAGCAAAGCAGACTCATTATCTTGAACAAGGAGGAGATCAATTCTGTCTGATTGTGTCTCTTTGTCTGTCTGCACCTGGTCTCACATGTTACTCCACTAACCGGTGAATTCTTTACGTGTGCTTGAAAACCCATAAATTGGCAGCTAAAGGTGAAAATTGGTCACAAAGTGCTTCATTTGGGATAAAGGCCTATACTACACCAAGATACAACCTCCGGCTGACGTAGAGGCACACTGTAGATATTTGCAAGAATGCTAACCACCAATTTCCACTGAATCCGGAATGGCTACCAAAAGGCTGTATCCGCCGACTGTAGCTGATCGCAAGAGTACTATTTTTTTACGAAAAAAAAAAAATTGTACTCTTGATTCACAGGGGGCGCCAAAATAAACACAAACCAAATGTTCCTCACAAGAGCTTTAACATGGGCTTTAACAGGAAGTCTTTGGCTTTGATAGAGAGCCTCCAGTGGACACCAGAGGTACTGCATTGAGGTTTCCTTATAACACACATCCTTACCTCATTTGTTGCCTCATTTTGGACTTACACTCACCGGCCACTTTATTAGGTACACCATGCTAGTAACGGGTTGGACCCCCTTTTGCCTTCAGAACTGCCTCAATTCTTCGTGGCATAGATTCAACAAGCTTGGTCCATATTGACATGATGGCATCACACAGTTGCCGCAGATTTGTCGGCTGCACATCCATGATGCGAATCTCCCGTTCCACCACATCCCAAAGATGCTCTATTGGATTGAGATCTGGTGACTGTGGAGGCCATTTGAGTACAGTGAACTCATTGTCATGTTCAAGAAACCAGTCTGAGATGATTCCAGCTTTATGACATGGCGCATTATCCTGCTGAAAGTAGCCATCAGAAGTTGGGTACATTGTGGTCATAAAGGGATGGACATGGTCAGCAACAATACTCAGGTAGGCTGTGGCGTTGCAACGATGCTCAATTGGTACCAAGGGGCCCAAAGAGTGCCAAGAAAATATTCCCCACACCATGACACCACCACCACCAGCCTGAACCGTTGATACAAGGCAGGATGGATCCATGCTTTCATGTTGTTGACGCCAAATTCTGACCCTACCATCCGAATGTCGCAGCAGAAATCGAGACTCATCAGACCAGGCAACGTTTTTCCAATCTTCTATTGTCCAATTTCAATGAGCTTGTGCAAATTGTAGCCTCAGTTTCCTGTTCTTAGCTGAAAGGAGTGGCACCCGGCGTGGTCTTCTGCTGCTGTAGCCCATCTGCCTCAAAGTTCGACGTACTGTGCGTTCAGAGATGCTCTTCTGCCTACCTTGGTTGTAACGGGTGGTTATTTGAGTCACTGTTGCCTTTCTATCAGCTCGAACCAGTCTGGCCATTCTCCTCTGACCTCTGGCATCAACAAGGCATTTCCGCCCACAGAACTGCCGCTCACTGGATATTTTTTCTTTTTCGGACCATTCTCTGTAAACCCTAGAGATGGTTGTGCGTGAAAATCCCAGTAGATCAGCAGTTTCTGAAATACTCAGACCAGCCCTTCTGGCACCAACAACCATGCCACGTTCAAAGTCACTCAAATCACCTTTCTTCCCCATACTGATGCTCGGTTTGAACTGCAGGAGATTGTCTTGACCATGTCTACATGCCTAAATGCACTAAGTTGCCGCCATGTGATTGGCTGATTAGAAATTAAGTGTTAACGAGCAGTTGAACAGGTGTACCTAATAAAGTGGCCGGTGAGTGTATATGGAGATTAAAAACAGACATAAAGGGGATGTTTGTTTCTTTTGAGCTTAAGTGATTACTCTTTAATTCCACACTTGAAAAGATGTAAACAAGACTGCTTTGGGGTAAATTCATAAATCTCTGATTTTATCACCTTTGCCTCCTCAATAATTATAAGGTATGGCATGCTTTGACATCTGCATTTGGAGTTTTCATGGGCTTACACACAAAAAAAATACTTAGTTTTGAAAAATAAATAAATAAAAATAGAAATGATGCCAGTATGCATGCAGAGCAGCATGCAGATGTGAGTTTTAGCAGCTCTTGAACTGTTATGTATTCAGTGAAGCACAGGGAAGTGTTCACATGCACAGACTGTAGTGTTCTGCATGTAATCACCTCAGGTGTTTGTTTCAGGACAGCTCAGTTCACACACAAGCATACAGAAACTCACTTTTAAGCTGCTCAGTAGGTCCAACACACAGTCAGATCTGCAGTGAAGCAGCTCTTCTGGTGCAGCAGGGGTTTAAGAGCCTTTCTCTCAAGGATTTCTTTCTGCTGGTAATGAGAGCATAACAGACATTGTTGTCTTACTTTACCTGCAGATATATCACCTGCTGTTTCAGGATAAAAAGGACCTTCCTCTTACAAACCTGCTTCTGTTTCTAAACCATTTATATTCGAGGAAGGACAGTAAAAGTTTAGATGAATGAAGTCACAACATGGTTCCTGTGGAGCAGCTTAAAGCACAACACTCCTGTGAAGATAAGCTAAATATTTTATACCATGACATTGTGAGAGAGTTTTAACAGCAAGTGTGTCTCCGTATGAGTGAAAATTGTACATAACAAGCTCAAGAGCTGACAAAAAAATCTTCAAACAAAAGCACACATGAAGTATTTATACAGTCTGTGTCCTCAAGCATTCAACCTCAGACTCTGCTTTCTTACCCATTCTGACTGCGTAAAGTGCGATGCCTGTTTTTCTGGCTCTAATTGGACCCCAAACAATGACAGGCAGAATAATAAAGCAGCTTCTGCACAATGCTCCATGCAAATTCAGTGAAAAACAAGGTTTTGTTAGAACTCTGTTCAACGGGACAAATCACGTAATAACTGTCAGGAGTTCAACGAAGCAGTCTAGTTTCTGAAGACCTCCGATAGCTTTATAATAAAAAGGGGGAAAAAAGTTTTAAAAGTTCAAAAACCAAGAAAAAAGAATCGACTATTGGATGGAGTCGTCATTATTTAGATGGTACATTTAAAACTGACTTCATGGAACCTTTAAAAGGCTTTATAAAGAGAAACAAAGGGTCTTCAATGATGCAAACATGGAGATATTCATCTGACCGTAATCTTCAGTTTATCCAGGATCAGGTCTTACATTGAGAAGGTCAGCTGAAACGGCACTCCAGCACCTCCTGTGGGATCCTGAGGGGTTCTCAGGTCAGATTGCATAAATATAATCCCTCCAGTGAAAAGTGTCTCTCCTTTAAAACAGAGGTGCCTGTAAACTACCAAAGAGAGGTGCTGAGGAGACATCCTAGTCATCCTAGTTTCAATGTAAACAAACAGGATATAAGATAAATGTGAAGACATAATCTACAGGTTTAAAACAGAAACATGCATTGGATTAACCTCAGATCAAATTTAAAAACTGTAATCTGTAAATATTCCCATTTTTTTACATCCACGCTGCAGAGAATTCCCTAATTTTGATTATGAATGAAATGAGTTTACTTTCATTGCTGCAGTATCCCAGCTGCTGCATGAGATATCTATCTAATCATATCATATCACACACCTGAATGATCCTCCAAAGGGGAAGCTACTGCCCTTGGAAGATCCCTATAACTCATCCTACTTTAATTCCTGTTTTAATCATCTTCAGTCATGCATTACCTGGATATTAATTAAGCATCAATGTTGTGTACGATTGGCACCCCTCGTGTAAAGTGTTACTGATTTAATCTTTTTAATTACTGAGTAAATGCAAAGGAGACTGATCTTTGGTCTGTTTCTGCCTTGAAATTTCACTATCATCCACAAAATGCTGAAAAAAGACAATAAAGATAATGTTCACTGGATAACAACAATATAAGGGAATATGTTAAATTCATTTTCTTTTTTAAGTCACATGGAGACATCTGCGTTTATTCAGCCTGATGCAAAACTAGCTGTACTCTCCTCAATTGATCACTGTGAATAATGGACAAAGAACTTTATTTTATGATTTCAAAAACAGCTACCATCCACTGTTTGATATGTCAGTGCATCCACCGATAAATTGCTTACCCAAAAATAACACACCACCTGTCTGTTTCTTCTCTGTGCCCAACACCTGTGTCAATGAGTTCCAGCCTTCAATCAAATACCCTGAGAACAGAGACTACTTTGTGTCTATGGGTAACTTCAAATCTGAGCACATAAAAAATTACATATGAGGTTCCCCAAGGCTCCATCCTGGGGCCTCTTTTGTTTAAAATCCATAGGCTACTACAGGCTCAGATTATACAAAACAGCAACTATACTTACACAGATGAAACACAGTTATATATGACAATGTCAGGGGGTAGATGTGCAAGCCCTGAGCACGTGCTCGGACTAAATCCATGAGTAAATGTGCAAGATAAACTTGTTTTTGGAGTCAAACAGGAGCGATTTAAGCTACAGTTGATAATGACCAACAAAGCCAGAAATGTGGGTGTAGTCATGGACTCAGACCTGAATTTTAAAAACCATGTTAAGATGATCAAGACGTAAGCATACTATCACCTTAAAGGATTTATTTCCCAGAAGGACCTGGAAAAAAATGGTCTTCAGCCCTCTTGATCACTGTAATAGTGTCTCTTTAGATCTCTAAAACTGCAATCTGACATCTGCAGCTGATCCATAATGCTCCAGAATGGGTCCCATCAGTCCAGCACTGAGGTCTTTGGTCTTTACACTAGCTTCCTGTTTGTCAGAGGGTATATTCTAAAATCCTGCTGCTGGTTTATAAAGCTCTGGGGACTTTAACGGCTTTAAATGTCACTTTTTGATGACTTTTCTTTCTTTGAATATGTTTCCTTGACCTCTGTAATGATACCTTTAATATCCTGTGTGAAGCACTTTGAATTGCCTTGTTGCTGAAAATGCTGGAGAATAAAACTTGCTTTTCTTTGCCAGTATTATAGCAGCAGCAAAATCATTTCAACACTTATTTCTTTTTCATTTGTCCCTTCCTGTAAAAAAAAAAAAAGACTCTAATAAGATGTTTTTCTTCCTCTGGAAATGCCACCCATTATTTATCAGACTAAGAGATTTGATGTTGTTGTTGTCTGAGCTCTTTGAGTCATTTCATTATGTCCTGGAAGGTACAGCCCCCAGTAAATTGTTGTAGTAAACGTGTTTCTCCTTTAGTCCCTGGTTGGTGCATCACCGCTTCAGTGCTGACACCAAAGAGAGGGACGGATCAGAGGCAGGAGGACCTCAGTCACCTTCATACATCGCTACTACAGCCAACATGCAACTGGGAGCCTTGGTCACATTCGGTGAGTGAATTAAAGTTTTTCTGACAGTAAAATGCGGTTCGAATTTTGTCATTGAGGTGCTGAAAGTAACAGGATCTGTATGTTTTGTTGTCTGTAATGACTGCTCAATTAGTCAAGTGGACTTAACTTGCTATACTTGCTTATTTAATGACTGTGTTGTGCCTTGTTTTTCCATGAAACTCAAAAACGAAAAAAAAACATTAAGGATGTGTGGACTAATACATTTCTATTTCAGGGATTATATTTCCTCAGATGTTCAGCCTCAGCACCTCTCCTCCTCCTCCTCCTCCTCTTCCTCCTCCTGACTGCTCGGCTACTGTTCGTACCTGCATGTCAGATTTGTGTAAGAAAGAACAGGCGCTTCACCGTGGCGTCTGTTATGGTGAGTAACACTAAAAGACTCTTTTTGCTTAAGTAGGGATTAGAACATGGTGTAACTCTTATGTTTCCTCCTGGCATCATAAAAACATTGCCTACATGTCCTCAGGAGACTCAGGACATGAGGCGTTTGTCAATTGAATTGCAGCTCCTCCAGTAAAGCTTAAATGTAATAACTGGGGCAATAGCCCGGAGCAAAGTTTATATAACTGCATGAACAGATAATAATAAATTGGATGCTGACTGCCTTTAAGATATGTCGCTCTTTTATGTTCATGGTCTTTTGATGTTTTCCTGCACATACATAAACAGAAAAGACAATCAGAGCAGCTGCACACAGAAAACACCTGTCGCATGTGTCTCATTCCAGTTTTTCTGCCTCTCTCTTTTTCTCTCTGTGTTATTGAAGATGAGGCATGTCAAATAAAAGGCTCACCAGTGTGTAACATGACCATCCAGGCTGTACTGGACCAGTATCCCCCTCTGCAGGGGTGTGTGTGTGTCTGGGAGGAGGAGCTCTGTGACTCTGTACAAGCGCTCTCCACACAATGCAGTCTACTGACAGGTGCAGTATTCTCTAAAATAACCTCTCTGTTTTGTTTACTTGACGGTATCTGATCTTCTGATCAGACGAAAAGCTTTTCTGAATAACAATCAGAGGCATGAACATTAGATGAGTCAGTGTCTCAAATTGTAGTTCCTCCAGAGTCCACTTGAGGCTTGATCTAAAATCCAAAGGTTATTAATAACAATAATCTCTGTATTCACCTTTTGTGTTTTGTTTAATTATGCACGCTTTAGGAGAAATACACATTTCATTGAGACTTATCTTACATTAAGAAAGTTATATTTGCATTAGCCAGGGCATGGCTGATTTGACTGACATATGGGGGAATTGCAGCTGTTTGCCAGGTGGCCAAACATCTCCCTCAGCTTCCCGTCTTTGCCTGAGAATGACAGTCTGATCGGTCATGACCATAGAAGGAGACAGAGGCAGGAACAGTTATATGTTATTGTTAAATGCTATTATAGTTATCCCTATAATAGAAATATTATTAATATAACAAACATGGAATGATTAAATGTCTCATATATAAATGATTTAATATATATGCCTTGTGTGTGTAGGCCGATAGCAATTGCTCTACCAATCGGCTTGATGTGTATTTATGAAAATCCATGGTTAAAATTAATCTTGAGTACACAGGAATATAACTTAAACTCTGAGGTTTGTTAAAAACCAAACCGTTCGAAAATCGGTTTAAAATTAAGCAATCTATAGTTATTTAAATGCTTTATGCACCGTAGACTGTAATGTTGAGTGGGCGAGCTTCCCGTAGCAAGATGGCCGCCATGCGCGGACGTCTGTCTCCATCCGGCTGTTAAGCGTGACGTCATTTTGTGAGCGGAGCGGCTTCCGGGTCCATGGGGAATCAGCCTCCATTCACTCTCCATTCAAAACAACAATGGCGGAACCCGTGAATCTCTTTAAAATAACCTCCTTTTTCAGAAGGGAACCACTCAGAGTTAAAAAGGGACTTAAAGCTTTCAACTCGGATAGAGTTATTAACGTAAATTTTAGTGATGGCGAGATGAAGCCTCATGAAGCATCGAAGCTTTCCATTCAATTACTCGCCTCCTGGGCCGAAGCTTCATGATCGTGCTTCATTTGCTCTATTGCGCCATCAAGTGGACAATAAATGTAAAACGATAAACCAAAGACGCCCCGAGGCTTTGGTGCGCGAAGCTTTGAATTCAATGAATGAATGGATGTGATGCCGTGTGTTTGTGATACAATCATAGACTGTATACAGTCTATGGATACAATACAGAAATGATGAAGTTATTTTGTTGTCTTTGTTGTTGGGAGGAAATCTGTAGAATGATAGTTTAGTCGCTGTTTTTGTCTCTGATCAGTTTAAGCAGCAAGGGACATAGTACTGAGGCATTATAACAACAACTCCACTGGACCCGGAAGTGGAAAAAGAGAACGCGGCTACGTCACGGCTTAACAGGCGGATTGGCTAACAGCGAATGCGTAAGCCATCTAGCGTTTATATCTATGGTTGGAACCTTCCCGGCACGTTTAAAGGCTGTTTGTTTCCCCGGGGACTCTTTTGGGAGTGGCGACAGAACGGCACAGGTAAGTGTTGGGTGTTTTAACAACAGGTTAAACTTAATATCGCTCCTTCCCTGTTTTAATCTTCATACAAATCTGCTCGGACTTCTCCAACTGAACCTCTGTTTCTCACAGGTGAGAAGGTGCGGCTAGATCAACCCCGGTTTACCACACGACCAGTGATCGTCTGTAAACCACATCATATATCTGAATAAAAGTGAAATATACCAACATGTCGTGTTTGTTTTCCATCCACACAATCCTACAATGACCCTTCGACTTATACAATGTGACCACTTGTTGCTAGCTGCCTCATTCCTCACTCAACAGAGACCTCCGTTACACTCAAGTGAGGTTAAGTCAGCATTTCTAACATGGCGACCATCGTTCATGGGCTCTGAAACGTCTCCTCTGAAACCACTGGGTGATGAAGCCAAGACTACATCCATGTTTTGAAGAATTAAAGCGTTTGTGTTGTCAGACTAATCATTCAGCTCATTTTCAGTCTCAGTGGTGTGTGTGTCTGCTGTCAATGTGTTTAATCAAGTGCAGAGTTTTGGGAAATGTTTGTGTTTGTTGAAATTATGTATTCTAAAATATTCAGGGCTGCTGTCACTTGGATTAGAATAAGTTTGATTTCATAAAGCCTCTTTTTTCTTGTCTCAGCAGCTCAGCAGAAGAGAAGCACAGCGGACTGGCAGTCGAGCAGTTTAACCCACTATGGTGAGAACTTTGCTGAGCAGATTAATGGTTCACTGCAGTGATAAATAACCATCTTAATCTTCTTTATTATGTTTCTTTTCACAGTGTCAGATGATTCTGGATCCTGCTTGGACAGAATGAAAGTCTGTGTCAGTGATGAAGTTTGTAACAGGTACCTGGTACCTGTTCTTCAGGTGTGTTCAGAGGAGGAGTGTGACAGCGACAGCTGTCACCAGGTGACTCAGCAGTTTTACAGCAGCATGCCGCTCAGTGTGGCAGAGATGTTGGTGCTCTGTGAGTGTGAAGCTTCAGATCAGAGCTGTCTGCACATGAAAACAGCTCTGCACAGCAGCACCTGCGGAGGGTCCCCGTGGATCTGTCAGGAGACGGTCAACCAGTGTGCTGAAGATGAAACCTGCAGGTATGATGCTGTTCTGTTCAGTAATACCACCTGAAGTTCTTACAATGTAAAAATGTGTTCAAGTGAAATTTGCACGTGTCGTTTAACACGCTCTTCCAATTTAACAACTCTGGTGCAGCTTTAGAGAGAAATTTGACTGTAGAGACAGAAATCACAAAGCTAGAAAATGCTTTAAAAAGATTAATCAAAAGGGAAATTCTTCCTGAAGGACATGAAAAAAGGAAGCTGAAGGCCACACATGGACAAGAAACATCCTCTAAAGCCTGGCACACACTTTGTTAAAGATTTCTGAGTCACAAGACTGATTTTGGAGTCGGCCGATTCATCTTTTTCTGTGTTTTCGTTGTCATTTCAGGAGGTTAATAATGCTACTTTTCAAACTGTTGTTGAAGTGGTATACTTAACATTTTAAAAGTCAAAGAGTGTCTGCGCGGCTAAAGCCTGATCAGCCAATATGAAAGTAATCACTTGAGACTGGCTCTAAAATTTTTCAAACTTCTCAACTTTTCACCAGAATTAAACATTTCACAGCTCGGTGCAACTAAAAAGAGCACAAAAAACCTCTTTAGTCATTGTGGCTTACTCCTTAAAATCTGATTAAGGCTCAACATTACACATTATGATAAACAAAACCCTTTAAAGTAAGGTGTTTGCTTTAGACTTCACTTCAGTTTATTCAGCTATTGGCCTCCATTCTCCCCAAAAGTTGTCTTTCTGTGAATACTTTCCTGCCAAGTCTAATAAATAATACGGTTTACCCTGAGGTTTATTTCACTTACTCTGTCCAAGATCTGTATGGGCTTCCATCACAAAAACCAAAATCCTCGCCAGTTTATCTGAGTTTAGCGCTTAGAGCCTCCAAAAAGTTGACTTTAGTGTCAACTGGACACAGATTTTATGTTTCTAGATCACATTGTTGTGTTCACCTTCAGGGAGAAGATGAATATTTATATCAAACTCAGTTAAAAATGGATTCAGATGAGAGTGCTTGTGCGAAAACAACGATTACCTTTGGGTAATCTGTGAGTATGAATGGAGAGAAATGTCCGAGGACCACAGCAGTCCTCCAGGAACACAAATTCGTTATTTCCTGGAAATCTATCAGGTTAGCTTGTTTTTAGGGATAATTAAATGTAAACAAAGTTGTTAACTGGCAGAAAGAGTGGCTAGAAATACCTAACTGGGACATGGATAAATAAACCATGAGACTAGCAGCTACGCTACTTTATAGACCCAATTTTTTGGAAGAAAGAAATATTAAATATTAAATACTGTATAGTGGATTTGAAGTTGGACCGCTAAATAAAATGGAGCAGAACTTTTGTTTGATTTTTTTTGGCCATATTTCTCCTGAATTTCATACAAAGTGCTTTAAAACCTTCCTATCATTCACCCATTTATACACTGATGGCAGAAAGCAGGTGCTGCTCTGTCCATCAGGATTAATCTATGTCTCATGGATCATGGACTCAGGGCACTCGATAATGCACTCTACTCCTGGACAGTCCCTGGGTGTATTTTCAATTTGCATCTCATTAAAATCAAATGTCAACGGGAATTTATTCAGGAAAAAAATGAGTGATGCCTGCAGGCTAGTCCAGGTAGGCAACTTGATTTCATGTGTCAGTCTCATGATCATATGACAAATTTTTCTTCCTTATTTGGCTGTCAGTCTAAACTTGAGGATTTTATAGTCTCTGTCTCTGCCCGTCATGTCCATCATAGGTGTTACACTCATGACTTAAAGGGATATTCCGGCGTGAAATTAATTTAGGGTCAAACACACCATAACACTGAGTTAGACTCTCTTCCAGCAGCTGCTTGTTTTGTAGCAAGACCTCAGGCCAGTCCATTACGGACTGCAGCGGGGTGACGCAGCTCAAGGAGGAACATTTATGATAATTTATTTATCATTTCCTTGAAGTAATAATCACTATACTAATCATTTTGCACTGCAGACGCGGTAATTCTTCTGCCTAAGCGTCTCGGTCTGATTGTATTTTCCCATAAAGAAATGATTGGACAACTTTGTATCTCCAATAGTGTTGTGATTAAGTCACCAAATCTTATGTCCAAGTCCTCAGTCCTCATGTGGCCTGTTGTCCTCATCTGTAATACATCAAATTTCCTTTATAAATGCTGTTATTTGTTACAAAAAGAACAGCTGTTTTAGTCCAAAGTATTCTCTGTATGAACCTGGACTGACTGTGTGTAATCTGTTGAATGTGCAGACAACACATTTAACTTCTTTATGGGCTGTCATGTCTGGCATTTGTATCATTAGGGCTCAAAATAAAGGTGTTTATTTTTTTTAATCCTATTCTTCCTTTGACCAGCTAGACACGCCAGCCTCCGCTGCTGCTGCTGCTTGAGCAATCTGAGTTATATTAGGTTATCCTCAGATGAGCCCTCAACACAAAAATACCACAGATAATGGTCGATCATGGGCTTTTAAAAACTGAAGAATGTGGCGTACTGTGTATTTTTCTGAAACACACTCGGAAAAGCTTTTAAAGCCTGAGTATAAAACATATTTTTCCTCTTAACAGGAAACTTTTTAAGACTTTCAGAGAGAAATGTTGGAGCTCTGGAGGTAGACAATGCACTGACACTGACCTCCAGTATGATGAGTGCTTCACCCGGATGGACCCAGCTCTCATCCTTGGTGCAGATCCGGAGTGTATAAGATCCTTTTTGGCAACTCTGGGCACCGTACTTCACTATCCCTGTACCTGCAAAGGAATACTCAACAAAGATCTGCCCACATGCAACATGATCCATGATGTTTTTCATAATAGATCACACTTTAGTGAGTAGGATATAATCGATTTAACTGCATTTTGAATAATCTGTTTATTGGAAACGTTTAAAAGTATTTTTATATGTTTCAGGGAAGTCATGGAATAAAAGCAGCAACAGTCCTTCAAAACCTCCAGAAATGAACGAATCAGGGGACGATGAGATGTGGTCAAACGGTAAATACTCAGTTTCTGTTAATTACTGATTCGAATGTCAGTGGCTGAGGTAAAATAACAATATAAAAAGGTTTTCATACACTGATCTTGACTTTTTTTGTCTTCACAGATCATCTTCTGTATATCTTTGCAACCCTGCTGCTAGTTGGAGTAATAATATTATTGCCTCTGGCTATCAGTAAAGTATGGTAGGTACATCAGCGTGTTGTCCATGCAAAGTATGTTGAGGAGTTTTTAACAGATTTTTACATCACCTCACTCTTAGACCCATCACACCTCTTCAAAACTAGATAGGAAACTCCTCACAGTTCCTTTAAATCCTCCTTTATCTAATGATCGTACTTTTATTTTTTTTATCTTTGTTTCGCAGGATCCTGAGGAGAAAAGACAGAACAAAATTCCACCATCCGCAGAAACGCAGTTTTGTTGTTATTCACTGATTTTCATGCACATGTCAAAGCTATTTAATTTTTTATATTTACTTTCCAAATGTACCATATTTATTATTAAAACATCTGAATGTATTTCCACAATATTATAGGATCTTCACAGGCAGCTTTGTGAGGTAGAAGATGTTGCTTGTCGTGTTTTCAGACTTCTGACTGTTTTTTTTTTCTTCAGTAACATTAAAAAGTGTTTTCAGTGGGAATTTTGGTTATTTATATTGTCATGTGTTTCATAAGTCATCAATTATTATATAAGAACAACATAGACTCTCTGCAGTTGCTGTGTGTCACTGGCTGTTTTGTGCTTCAGGTGTGTCTGACATTAAACTTCACTCTGAACCCTTCAAGGCTGAAATGGATTATTTTGATCCCCGGACAAAGAACAGTCTGACAGGTCAATCCTGAAGTTTATCCTTTATAACAGCGTGGTTTTAAAAACATATTTAGTTCAGTGTGAAATATTCTGCGATGTTTGGCGTTTATTTAAATGGTTTCAGGGATGAAGACTAGGATTTCTCCATTTAACTCGTGCAAAAATGATTAAAGTAGATATATAGTCTTAAAAAAACCTGACATTGAAAGGTTAAACCTTTTATGTGATCATGTCCTGGTGCTTGCTGTCTCAACAAGGGCAGCCCAGGGATGAAAGTTTCTCACAGCGGCTTTAGATAAAAACATGCACATACTTTAATTTTATGTTTCAGCTCCAGCTTTGCATAAATACAAACACCTAGTTTAAAGATAATTATTCAAATGTCTTCTCTGCTGTCTCGCTGAGAAATGTACAATGACTTTGATTTGTACTCCTATTTTTCATTTCCTTAGAGTGAAGATAACCTCATAAGCACCAGTATCACTGTTTGATGTTGATCATTTCACCACCCAATGTCACTATTATCTATATCTCTTGATTAGGATTCCGGTTAGCTAATCAAAATGTTTTGTTATTCTACCTTTGTGATACTGAACCAAGAAAAAAGACCCAAATGCAAAACTCAGATACGGTTAATTGCAATTAGCTATTAGTTGATTAATCCGGCTGATGGAGTCACAGGGGTCACTTTACACTCTCTTTCTGCAGACCAAATAAGCATTTAACAAAGATCCTTAAGAGGAACTGGTTCTTGTATTGATCTAAAGTAGACTCTCACAGTTATAGAAAGTCCAAAAACTCTTGTTGTGGTGTGAGCTATGTTTTCTCTTGCTATCAATCTTTTTTTTTTTTTACATTAGTTAACTAGTTAAAGCTAAAACTCCCCTGAAAAATAAACTCCTGTATGTACATTTGCATGATAATTATTAACTACAACAACAGAGAGCATGTTAGAAAACAGTTTATGTGATGTGTATTTCAGTTTTCTAGTTTGACCCATGATCCATCTGTTACAGTGGAAGAGGCGGGGTTCATACATGTGAAAACTTGAAGCATCCAAGCATTCACTGAAACTGAAGGCACAATTTAAAGAGAGGAGAAAAACATTCAAACTGTTCCTCATTTATGCATTTTCAAATAAAATGTAAACAAAGTAAAAACATATGCACATCAGATTAAAAGAAAGTACTTAATGCTTAACCCTAGAACACTACCGCTAAAATTAGTAACACCATCACTATCGCCGGGTGATTTTTACACGAAATAATATACCTAAGAAAAAGTACTTGTCATCAAAATATATCAAAATAGGACAATACATGACAAATTAAAGTAGTTTTATTTTTAACTGTGCAATGTCCATTCCTAGGGCGTGTGGGTCCTCCCTGGTGAAGACTCGGGGGTCCTTGGCACAATAACAGCTGACTAAAATATTTCTTATCACCATATGAATTCCCTTGAAAATCACTACTTTGTGATAGTGAAGGTCGTTTCACACCGGGAGCGTTTTTTTCATGCGATTATTTCGGACTTCAACATTTTTTTTTGAACCCGTATCCTGTCAATACAAGCGTTCACATCAACGACGTTTTCCCGTCCTGCGATATTGCGGCATTTGTTTTTTCGTATCACCGTGTGTCCACTTCTGACCAATCAGATTTCGTGTTGTTGTGACGTCTGATTCACCGGTATATCCAACATGGCCGATCGGCTGATTGTTTACATGTCAGAGAACAGAGTGCTTTTTGATAAAAGACACAAACATTACAAAGATAACCACCTGAAGGACAACTTGTGGAGAGTCATAGCGTCGGATTTCTCATATGACGATGGTTTGTGTGCTTTAACAGTTTGCTAAACGTCTTTGTTTTAACTTTCATCTCTGCTAAGTAACTTTAGCTCGTAAGCTAACCTGTTCAGATACAACATACCATATGTATTTTCACTGTCTCAAACTCAATCGCGTTGCTGTCACAGCACCATTAAGTCTCGGTTGTTACCTTACATTTATGGATTGTAGTTTAATGTGTTTATCTGGTACTGGCCCCGACTCAGTACATGCTATCATGACAGACAGACATCTCAACACTAGTGTCTAATCAGAACTGAAAACAGTCAAAATCACATTGCGCTTGATGTGTATAGTCAGGCACGTCAAAATTAACCACTGCGCTAAATAAAGATAGCCTGCAAATTCCAGGACCACTCTTACTGGCCTTATTCCCTACACACAGCTTTTAAATCCACCCAAACCTACTTTACCCTCTTTCACTATTGCCAGGTGAAAATCACCCGAACACGCCCCTGTAGGAAAAAGCAGGTTTCACCCGCCGATAGTGTTCTAGGTTAATGAGAAAATGCAGGTTTACAGCAGACATAAATATACACAGTGTGATGAGAAACATCAACAAAACGGTGGAAAGGATCAAGAAAACACCTTTGTTTTGAAGCAGGTGCTGAGACAGAGTTGCTGTTACCATGGTTTTCATTCCTGGATGTCTCTGACGTCACACAGCAATCTGATGTCAGAAGATCACAAGCCCAAAACAACGCACCGAGGGGACATGCGTTCTGTAATGGAAGAAGGAAAAACAATTTAATGCTCTGTAGACTTTAAACTCTGTAGCTAGCAGGGAATCAGGGCAGCCAGGCATGAGAGTAACATGTCCCCGTTTTTCGAACAGAAGATGCTTTTAAGAGGCCGAAGGGTGCTAAAATGTTGACTTAATAGCAATTTATGGACTTGCAGTTGAGGGGTGAAAAGACTCAGAGGGTAAAAGCCTGATGAAAACTGGCTTTTTATTTCCTCAAACTGCAATTCTTGTTTCCTGTGACTTGGGGCGCAGATTTGGTCACATAATCCACTTATTTTCTAATAATTAGGTTTTAGCGATGCATGGATAATGTAATGTATCATGTAGCGGTTACCTTTTCATCAAAAGCATCTGATCGTAGACTCCAGTTCATCAGGATTTCATGAGTATCCTCTGAGTTCCTGAAGCCAAGAGAGATAAGAGTATTTTATCCTGTGGTCAAATATTGCTAAGATAAGCAGCTGTGCACACAAGATAAAAGAAAACATTTGGGTCTTTGGGGGTCTAACTGGGCGAATGCCTATCAGAAAAACAGATCACAGAAAACGAGCAGAGAATCATGGATATAAATCACAGAGTTCAACTTAATAATGAGTATTCTGTCTGTATGAAAAAGAAAAATCCTGATATATTCTGTATATTTCTGCCAGTGAAGTAATAATATTTGGTAAAAGGAAGTGGAGCTGCACAGGCTTCACAGTTATGGGCTGTTTGGGCTCAATCTTTCATTCCACCAACATGTCTGGACTGTGGGAGGAAACCCACACACATATGACTGTAAGTAAACACACAGCCACATGCAAACTCCTCATTCGTCCACACTCGCCCTGTACCCCGCTGGTTTGAATCCAGAGAATTCCAGCTGTGCTACCGTCGCGTGTTAATTTAGGAAAGAAAGAGGAGGACATGATGTAGAAGTCTGCTTTATGCCCTTTGACTCTTAAGTTTTGTGACTGAGCACAGTGTCCTCCAAATCTTCAGCGAGCGTCATGAAACTTGATCAGTGAACAGTTTTCTTTCTAACCACGTATTATTTCACATCTTTTGCTTCTCTCTTTGTGCTTCCTCCCTGGTTTACTTTGCAATTTCCTCCACGTAGGATCAGGTTTTGGACAGGTCAGGTTATTGTTTGCAGCTATCTCTTGATAATAAAACAAAGGTCTGTGTGAGTGCCTGCAGGACTTACCTGGAAGTCTATGTGACATTCAGCCTCAAAATGACCCTGCTTCACTTAGTTTTGTCTGATGGCTGCTCCTGCCGGGAAGAGGCCAGGCTGTTTTCCCACTTATAATTCTTTGCTTTGGCTCAGAGGCAGAAATCAATTCGGTGTTAAGTCCTTAAACTGAATGTCTCAGCAACAACTCAAGGACACAAACATGGTTTAGATATTCTGGATTTTATTGAGGTTAAAATTTTCTGTCAGCATTTAAATCTACCTGCTGATGTCAGTTTAACTGGCTAAACTCAGACCATTTTCAGACTCAGTGGTAGATTTTTCTTGAGGGGGGCTGTAACAAAATCCAAATTAGATGTAACAAGATATAATTCAATAATGTAGAGTATTACATGAAATAAAAGCTGTATAGCTGAATCAACATTGCAGTTTCCATGTGGACCCCTGTTCGTGTTTTTGTTTTTGTTTTGAATTGGTCATACTCATCTAAATCAATGTCATCTTCTAAGCTTTCTCAGCTTTTCCCCAGCTCCTGGATGACAAACAATTTTAACTTCTCTGTTTGTAGTTAAAATGCTGCTTAACTTTAAAATCCGGTTGGCCAGGTCCAAGCTCTTTAACTCTCAGCTTTCCCTGCAAAGATCTCCTCTTTAACAACATTATTTCAGCTACTTCACCAAGTTTCCTGTCTGTATTTTGTTTGAAGCTGTCTCAGAAGGTCAAGCCTCAACCTTTTCTTCATTTTCAAACTCATACCCGTTAATCAATTGAACAGGATTTGTGGATTTTATGTCTCAATCAATCGGACCTTGCTTTTTTGCTGCCACATGCTGGCTGTTGATCTATAATGTATTTTGGGCACAATTAATTGCTTGTAACTCTTATACTGAAGATGAGCCAATGGGCATGTGCAATCTATGAGGCCTGAGGGTGCAAATGATGTGCTCTACTTAAAAACATTAGAACACATTGACCATTTTGTCCCACATTGTTTTTTTTTATTCATTTTCCTTGATTTTAAAGATGATTTGTGTAATTCCTACTAATTTCTTATAACCTTATTTAGTCATGGGCTGCCTGCCATTCTCCTTGTGAAGATTGGTTGGAAGGCAATCTAGAATTCTCTATTGATCGTCAGTGAGTGGTTACACTGCCAGCAATAGTGAGAAAATCTGACTTTTTTTCTTCTAATAATTCAGATCTGATGTTTTCACAACAGTCTGAATGATACAAGACTTACTGAATAACCTATCTGGATGAAAGCAAAAGGAAAAAGGGGTCAGATAGGTGATAAAGCATGAGTCTGATCAAAGTTGACAGGAGATCAAAGATACATGTATTATCCCACCAACACTGAGCTGGTTCATCAAATTCTACCTTTAAGAAATTCAGCCAACAAAACTTCAATCATTTGTTTTATGATCCTAAGATGAAAAAGGTTCCCCATACTCATCAAAGTCTGACTCAGGAATCCTCTATGAGATATCATGTCAAAGCAAATCCCAAGTCTGTAGAGACATGCAGATGAAAGTGCTTCAACTTTAATACTTGCTTTTCTGTAAAACAAAGATTTTGGATTTATTCATACGGAAACTCTTCAGAGTTTAATTTTCTAAAACCAGAGCAATCAGCCGCTGAGATTACACTTCATCTAATTATTTGATGAAAATTTGTTAGCATACAAAATGAAGGTGGGTGTAAAATTATCATATTTTGATACATTTATGCAACTTTAATTGCAAGTGATTTCATTTTCTCTATCTGGTGAAGTTGTGTTGATTTATTTCCCAGAATCCAGCTGGCTTTTCATGAAGTCATTCTTATTAGGCTGATTTATTAGAAGGATATAATGATGGCAATTATAATTACTGACAGAAAACCAGCTGCATCCAAAGGTTCCCCTGCAGATTAAAGTTCCCTCTTTGCAAACATGAAATGATAATATTTTAATGATTGATTTTTCCCCTTTTTAAATCTCATAATTGCATTCCTTATTCTCATCTCACTTTTGAACAAGTCTCATTAAAGTTCAACAAAAGGCTTCATTCTGGTTGCTTCGGTTTTATTACATTTTCACAGACAGAAAAGTTTAATATCAGACAGGAGACATTTACACTTACACAAGCATGTCTCAAAAACAGAAGCTTATGAAGGGGGAAACAGCCTCTTTATGGTACAAGTACAATCCACGGGCACTTCTTAAAACATCTTTGGCAAACCTGAGTCTGAAACTCAACAAAATGTTTCATCTTTGTCTTTGACCACAATCATGTTCCATGAGAAGTTGAGCTGGTATAAAAAGGTTTACAGAAAGTAAACTTCAGGAAGTCATGGTAAAAAAAAATTATGAACAGAGGGCACCTGAATGAATCATTAGTGCTCAGAAGGAAGCGAAAGCAGATAAAGCTTTTTTATCTCCTCTTATCAGGCCACTAAGGTGTGAAGGGTTCAACATAAATGGCTGACCTCGTCTTTGTTTGGAAGTTTATTTTGAACAGGAACGTTTCTGTAAGTGAATAACGCAGACTTTGAGGGAAACTGTTAAGTCGTAGCCAATGCTTTAAAGGGAGAGTTTACCTTTTTAAAATGGAGTGGTTTGAAGCACTGAGTGAGAGAATATGACACAAGGGATGCCAGTCAGCTTGGCTCCTCTAAGCTATCAACCCCGACATGCAGGGTCAGCTTCACCACCAAATTGAGCTAATATTAGTCAACTCCAATCAAAGGCCTGTTCTCAGCTCAAGCCATATTTTATAAAACAAAATATAGCAAGTTATCTTACCCTGTGAAAGCTCATTCGTTTGCTGTAATCAAACAAGTGTTGTTTTTTTTTCTGTGGGGCCATGTCCACAAACCGAAAGCTACTTGCCATCAGGTGTGGGACCTGTTATCGGCTGGGATTTTGACTTGGAGGATACCGGGGGATCGCATGAGGCTGCAGTATGCATCCCTTTTTTTACTGACTGTCTTCAAGTGACTTTGTCTCCATTACAGTTTCATTGGCTGCTTTAAAAACAAAGAGGCTGAGCTGATAAACTCACTCTTGACGAGAACAGCACACAACTCCATTTCAAAAACACTCCAAACTCTCCCTTTAAGTGGAGATAAAGTGCCAGTACTTCTATTATTCACTTGTTGGTTTGTGTAGCTTGTATCCAGTATCTGTTAATTGTTAGTATCACTACAGTTTCTACAGTTATAGATATAAGAAGATAACGCTGGTTTCCACAACATACAATTGCAAATGGACTCTATTCGTAAAGCACTTTCTCCATTCATTCACTCCACATTCATACACTGATGGCAAAAGCTGCTCTGTAAAGCTCCCATCAGTATCAATTAATCCCATTCAGATTCACAACGCCACTAAAGGAAGTTCCCAGCATGCAGCGAGACCTGGGATAAAACCTGCAATCATGTAATTGCGAAACGACTGGATCTGCCACTTATCCAAGCCGCTCGTAATTGAAAATCTATTCCAGTTGGACACACAAAGAAAGAACTCCTTTACCTCTGAATCAGCATTTAAACTAAATACAGCAGTTCTCTGGATACAAAGAAAACCGTTTTCTTTAAATATCAAACAGTCCTGAATGAATGAAAACGGACACTAACAGGAAAATTAACAGAACAAATTTAAACTTAACTAAAAGTGGTGGTACCCCATCGTACTGGGAACTAGTAGTACGATAGTGAACTAGCCCACATGAGCACTGGGAAGTCCTTTATTCAGACTTACATCCCGACTTTTATGTCAGTGGGTAACTTTCCCCATAACCAACCATACAAACCACAAAATACAGCAAACTGATCATCTGATTGTCCTTCTTCTCCTCCAACAACTGACACCAAAAATGAATGGAAAGCTGAGTAGAGCGCAAAAACGAGCAAATTTTTAAAAGACATTGCTGATGATTCTTGAAATCACCTGGAAGAAAAACACCTCAAATACAGCAGCGTAGGCAACGAGTCTGAATGCAGCAACAACAGGGGAAGCACTTAGAAGGGAAAAGAGTCAAAAATCTAACATATTTGTTTTAGAAACACATCAGAGTGTCCCGCTTAATGCGTGGGAGACCTTGGAGTTTGTCTTGCGGCACAAAGCTTTGCAGATGAAGTCACCGGCCTCCATTACTTTGGAGAGGTTCACACCCTGCAGACAAAAAAGACACAGCAGCATCAGCTAAAATACAAATACCATAAGGGGATTTGTCCTGTAAAAACATAAGATAAAGTATCTTAACGATGAGCTGCTCATGGATTGAGATGGATGTATGCAACAGGTGATATGGAATTAACTGTAGTGACTACATTCCTCCAGCAGGGGTAGGAATTGTTAAATAAATAGTCCCTGACAGGAGCCATGCAGCAATGTGGGCTTGTGTAAGTTGTGTAAAACCACTGATATTATAAAATAAACATTTACAGAGCCGTATGTTTGCAGAGCGGTCTGTTTATGTAAATGAGCTCTGAGGGATTGTGTGAGTTTGGATGATTTGTTGGGATTATGGAGACATAAAATACTGCAGGCCTGACAGAGACGCACTTACAGTCTCGATGCCCATGCCATGGAGCATGTAGAGAACATCCTCTGTTGAAACGTTGCCAGATGAACCCTGAGCGTACGGGCAACCTCCCAGGCCAGCTACTGCAGAATCCACCACACAGACCCCCATCTGCAAGGACACACAACAGAGACATTCAGGGCCTCCGCTCGGGCTTCACCTCAGGTAAAACCCAGGAAACAAAGATCCTTGTCCTGTCAGATAGTTCAGCACGCCCTGCCAGCGTTGCGGTCGTGTTTTACAGCTGTTGTGGAGAACTGCGGGCTTATGTCCTGAAGATGAGTGGGCACACAATGTCCCGTAATATGGCTTAGTCATCCTCTTTGTCAGCTCAAACCACCAGCACCGCATAATCACGGCCTTGTTCATATGAGAGGAATATAATAAATGCTGAACAGGAGGTTTCATGTGTTTCTGATTCTGCAGGTTACTCATGTTTTTACAGGACTACTCTGCCCTTAAACCATGGGGATTCACTTTCTTGCCACATTGAGAATACATTTTTTCCTAAGCCCTGAGGTGTACTCTTACAGCGCTCTAACAGTGAGGGAATTGTCACATAACCGGACTAATGTGCAGTTGCTACAAATAATCATTAATGTGGTAAATTACCCGACTGATGACCTCGGCTGAAAATGTCTGCTGAGGATTTTGGCACTTTTACATCTGCTGCAAGTTTGCTCCCTTTGTCAGTCATCTTTTTGACTCATTGGCTGCTTACGATCAACTTAATTGTTTTATTTTGATGGAAACTTTTTCCTGTATTTTCTTAATGCCAACGATTGCAAGGATCTGGCCTCCATATGGAAACAGATGACGTGTTTGGTCTTTTTTTTCTGAACATCAATGATTTTGTTGGGCAGCAAACCAGATATGATAAAACGCTGCTTTGTTTTGATGTAAATACTGGAAGGAAACGCACCTTTTACCCATCATTGAGTACAGGTTTGACATAAAGAGACAAAGGTGCTCTAAAACCACAAACTCTGTTTTCACACCAAAAAAAGAGAGATAAATCCAGGCCTTCAGTTTTTCAGTCATTACTGACGAAGGTCTCGGGATGTTTTCCACATGTCCCTGAGATCGCCATGAGAATATTAAAGATGTTTTCCAGCTTCCGTGGCAGAGCCAGATGTCAGAGGATCCCACAGTGAGGCAAAATTAACACGCTGATCCTCTCAGTGACACCGGGTCACGAAGGCCTTACACCCCCTGTGGAGCAAATCCAAGCCAGCTAAATTAAAAGAATCTCTGTTGCCTTTTTTTTTTTTCAAACAATGCTGCTAATTGGTTGCTTTTCCTCCAGACAAGACCCTACTTCTTTCAGCTGCCGTCTGAGCCAGCCGTAATTGCTGTTTGTGTTGGCAAAGGAAGAGGAGGAGGTGGGGTAGAGGGAGGAGGAGATCTACTCCGGTGTGAGCACTGCACGAGATTTCCAGACCTTGGTTTAAGCCAGAGCAGGATATTGTACGAGGCAGGATTTTTTTTTTGTAGTATAAACACAGAGTTGTAATCTACCATGCCAATCCTCTCGCTTTCAGCTGCTAACCGTGTAAGGCCAGGGGGTCCTCAGCGTACTGTTTCAGTGAGGAACAAAACAGAGCCTTCAGCGGCGTGCGCTGCTCCTCCGGACACTAATCGCGCAGGAATTGATGGTCAGCAGCTCCAGCTCACCAGTGCTCAGTTCGGATCACACTGCCCAGAAACCAGATGTGCTCTCAGTGTTAAAAAGCCACATTCAGAGTGCTGCGGTTGTATGAAAAAAATACATTCCAGCGTAAAGACACCGTGCATTTTTAACATCGCATGATTCTGGATAAGCTTGTTGACATTCTATACTCTGAGGCTGAAGATGGACATGCTCCCAATTTGGCTGTATAACTGCGTCAGAGAGAGAGAGAGAGAGTGTGTGTGTGTGTTCACTGAAGGATATGAAGCAGTGATGCTTCACCCACAGCTACATAAACGAGGAAGCTGAAAGAAACTGTCACGGACGGATCTGCAGCTGACACACGTATAACCTCTTCCCAGGATTATATTAAGAGAAAGAGAGAGAAAGCAAACATTTTTACTCCCTTACATCATCAGAGAATTTAACTTAAGTGCTGACTTCTACATGTATCATTGAGTGTAATTAAAGTAGAAAACAAGGATTATTTTATGTCTTTATGTTCAGGTACAAGCAGCAGTTAAATTAAAATTACTTTCTGTCCCTCAAAAGTTGAAAAATACATGATTTGAGTTTTAAAAGTACTTGAACATGCCGCTGAAAACAGGACAGTGAGTTCTGCACCTGCTCATATGACTGCTGACCAAATATTAGGGTTAGTTAATTTTCTTTTTTAAGGGCGCCATCCTGCTCCATTTTTCAAATTATTGTGTCTTTGTGTGAAAAATGCAGACATCCCATGAAAAGTGATTTTAGTTTTGTTCTTTGTGGTGTTTACTTTTGGCCAGACTTTGAGGATAGAACCATTTATGCTCTATTATGTCTGCTCTCTAAAGGCTTGTACAATGTCTCCTCCGTTTTTCCTGTAATTTAACTTCTTTGTTCGCTTGGCTTGTGATACGTCAAGTCCTTGAACTAGAATAAAAAAGAAAGTAAAAGTCGAGTGGATAGTTGTGAAACTTTTAAAAAGAAGTGAAGTTGAATGAGACAGAACAACAAAATATGGTGCGAAGACTTGACTAATTCCAACACGCTTCAAATGTATGACTGTGCAGTATGTTAAATCTCTGATTAATGACAATACTCGGCACACTATTTATGATTATGTTAAAAAGTAAGAACTTGTATATCAATAGTTTGTAAATAATCGCAATATGACTCCATCTAGGTAGTCTTAAGTTGCATTTTCTTGCCCTTTTCTCTAATAAAAGCAGCATTTTAACACTCAAGTTTTACTACCGTCTCAGTAATATCTTATGTTTATTGATCTCAAGGTGATAAAGGCTTTGACAAGTGGGCAGATCTGTGCTTTGCCACTTCTATTTGAAACCTTCTGCAGAGTTACAGAAACTCTATGAGCTGTCCCCAAAAGATCCACTTAAGATAATTTCAAATAAGACATTTTATCATGAATCATAACGCGTGGGAAATCTTGAGAAGACCTTTGAGAAACACGGAATAGCACTTAGCTCGTATGATGGGGAAAAAATCTTGAAGAAAAATGGGGGTTGGAAGCTAATGTGGTGATGGAGGGTAATTAAAGGGAGCAAAAACATATGTGATAAATAATATGACAGGAGTTTGATTGGAAAGTGAAAGTTTGACATTCGAGAAAATGTCAAGTTGTGTCTCGATTTGCTGCAGCCTCATCATCTTTGCGCTCGAGAGGTTGATTGGTGATCACGCAGACATTTTCTGGGACGGAATTAGAGGTAGGATTAAAGAAATCTCAACTGTTGACTTGCCTTGAGTAGATATGTGTTTTGGGATCCCCTATGTGGGTATGAAGTGAATATCCTGAAAACATTGTTGACAGCATGAGAAATTCTAACTCCAGAATGTGCTGGATGCAAACACAACCTCCTACAGGGGAAGAGGGGACTTAAAATCTGAGACATGGATCCAAAATGAAAGAACTCACTGCACAGTTGCAAATCAAAGTTATTATTATGAGTATTATGATCAAAAACAATAAACCTAAGTTACAACAAAAGAAGAGAAAAAAAAACATCTGCTTTTGCTAAGCTAATAAAATACATAAAATCAGAATCTGAAGTTACATTGAAGCTATCAACACACTTCCAATAAATCTTTGTTAGTGCAACAAACTTAATAACCCTCCACAGCCGTCATGATTCAACAGAGCCGCGTGGACAGAGACAAAACAAAGTCCTGAAGATGGATGTTGTTGTTACCGGAGAGCCTGACTGTGAGCACAAACAGGTTATTCTGTATTCCCCAGCTGCAGCGGTACACAATACACCAAAATTGCGGGTAAGAGTAAATAATTTCCCTTGCCAAGTCTGTGAAATCTAAGTACATACGTTGTCATTGTGTGACCTGCCAGGAGAAGGTCTGTAACAAAGCTCCCCCAGACCTCCTGGAAAAAAAAGGAAAGGTACAAAGACTGAGGAATGTCTTTATCAGGAACAAAAGAGGTGACTCAGGGCTGACAGCACTGGGGGAATTCATTTCTCTCCCAGTTGGTGGTGTGGACTTCTGGCACACAGTAATGAAAAGCTATGATAAAATCTTGCATTCCCATCTTGTTTATGGGTGAGCAAATGGTAGGGTAAATATTCCCGTCTGCTTTTATTCTCTGTGGCCACGGGGGCAGCTGCGATGAATCATAGTAAATATGATCCACGGAGGAATTTCACTGTCTCCCTGTGCTTTTTCACTCCAAAATCTAAGCTAGCATCAAAATATTTTTGATTTTACGCATGAAAGTAGTTGTTCTTTATTTCAGGACAATGTTCCAGTGACACACTTGATAAGTGCTGTGGATAATCTGTTAAAAAGCGTCAAGTAAACAAACCTAGTGTTTGCATCCTTACAGAGTTTACAACAAAAAAAGAGTTATTTATTTGAACTCCAAAATATTCAAACAAGACAGTTCATCTGCTTTTCGCATGTTCTCCAAATGGCAAGATATCTCATATCAAGCTTTAACGCTATTAACTCTGCTGTATTACTGCTTTAGTGTATTTAAGATTGAATTTGAATTAAAATAAAAAAATTCAGTGCAGCTTTGTTGGCACAAAGTTCTAGTGTAACAACTGAACAGCAGCGTAGTAAACCAGCATAAAAATTTGGGTAATAAGAAACACAGTGTTCTCCAAACTCATGTTTGTTGTGCTCTGTCTAACAGAATTAACCATGACCATGACTTAGTGACATGACTTATGCCAGAGTGTTCTAGTGTATTTCATATTTGTTCAAAAACTGTAAGCCACTAAAAAAAGACGGCTCATCAGTCATTCTTTAATTGTAGGACTGTCTAACTAATTACCTAATTGTGTAAAATACTATTAATACTTGGTGTCAGCTTGTTTGTATCTTGACTTGGATGTCAGGTAATAAGCAGCATTGGGTATAGTGAGTGGGTTGTTATGCAAAACAGAAACCTGACAGGGTGAGGTGAGACAAGACCTCAACACTTTGTGTACCCAACATTTTTTCAGTTAGATGGGTGGTATACAGAAATCTCAAATACAAAACTATTTTCAAGTATTTAATCTTTATTATTCACTTTACTGTTAGGGATTTTTTTTTAATTTGCCGTAATGAGCTTCTTTGAGCAACATACACCTCGGTATCAGATGAATAGCTCTATTGATCATCATTAAAAAGATATTCAGCTCTACAAAAAAACAACAGAATTTTCTCCAAAATAGATGCTTTTTGTGTGTTTTTGTGTCCTTACAGGTATCATTATGGATTTTCTTCAGTGCAATCAAAGTGTATTCTGCAGCCATAGCTCATTAGTTTTTGCCCTTTCTTTCTGAATGACTTCTATCTACTCCCTCGACATAGAAAACTTTAAGCTTCCAAGTATTGATTCAGTTTTTCAGCTATAATGAGATTTTCTTTTGATAATTCACGTTTGATATTGTATAGCAGTTGTATAGCAAAGCAGTTATTTGAGTGTAATTGTAACCACGAGAAAGGCATATTGGTTTAATAGAAAACATAACTGCTTCTGAATGAATGCTTCATCTATGATTGTGTCCTTAAAGAGTTGAACTTTGAAGGATGTTTTGAAGCAGTAAAACATCCGGAAAGTTTAAAAAATGACTCATTCCATCAATTCCTTCAAACTTTCATTGCAGTAAAGCATCTGCAATCTGGAGTTTTAAAACTATGAACCTTCAAGTTTCTATTTTTCCAGCAGCAGAAGTTTCATTTGTACTTAATGTTTGATTAATAAATGCCAGATGAGCCAGCATTCACATGCAGTCAGTAAACATATCGGACCCACTTTTTGACACTTTGAGATACGACACATGAGTTGTTACTTATGGACTGAATTTGAAGTATTATTACAGGTGCTATGCCCAACCCTCTGTTAGCCTAAAGTTTCCAGGTCTTAAAAAATGCAGTAATTATTATTGAGAGGTAGTAAAAATGAATGAGAATGCTTCAGTAAATATGGAGTTATACAACCAAACTACTGTAAAATATATTCATCTTCTGCCCACCAGCACTTCTAAAGTTTCCAGTGTCGTGTTTGCAGCTGCAGCGCCATTCATCACATGCTGAACAGCGAGCAAATGAAAGATCGTTTTCCACCGGCCTTTAAGCGCAGCATTGTCAGAGAGTTCAACAGCCAAGCGATAGATGAGTTAGGAGCCCCCCAGGGCCCTTTCGATCCACCTAGCTCTCAGTTGCTTTGTCAAACAGACACTGAATAGGTGAGTCTTTGTGCTGACCCCCCTCACATCTGCTGACCCGCCCAGCCCCCAATGAGCTTCCTCTTCTGCCATGACAATGTGCTCTGGAGAACTGATACAGCCATATCTGTGTTACCTCTGTTTTATGTCTGGATTTATGTCAGTTTAACACTCGCTGTGGGCAAAGCAGTGAAAAGCACCTACAGGAAAGCTCTTCCACAGGGGTTTACTACCTAATTACATTTTTGTGAGCTGTTTAGAAACAGAGCGTATTCCTGTAATCGTCTATGACATTTTTTTTCTTCTCCCAAACAATACATGGGCACTGTGATGGAAGGCCCCACTGGAAATATCTTATGTTCATTAAGATTCTGGGATTTTTTTTCAGCGGGCAGTTTGTGAATCATCTTGCTTTGTGGGGAGGCTTAGATCATGTTTCTTAATGCCCCTCTTCCTCGTTGACTGATGGTTCCTGGTTTTCTGTGTGTCTCATTGTAACCTACACATTTGTTTTGTGCGTTCCCAATGCTCACCTAACAGAGGATACATTCATGATGTCCAAAAGTGATGCAAAGTTATTGCAGCTAAGGGCACATACAGGTTATTAGAGAGTCTAATAAAAAGCTATGTATGTATGTAATAAAAAAATACATGTTAATTAAGGATTTTGTTTAGAAGTTAAGTTGGTCAGACCAACTTACCCTGAGAAGGAATCTGTTTTTAATTCAACTGTTCAGCAGGATTAATCTCTACTCACAGATAAAACATAAAATATATGTGAAATCTGTACTTGGGGGCTTAGACTTTAAGCATGGGAAGAGTTTTGGTTCTTTAACATGTTTGTGGTCCAAGTAATACTGACAGATCATGTTCGAATTTAGACCTACTGGTACTTGAAATAGATGGACAGGGGCTATCCTGGATGTAATTGACAAGTATTTACAGTGTAGATTTAAATACAGTAGGGAAAGAGACATCTTGGCTGAAACTTATTAATGAACTGGCATCCGTCCCTCTTGTTGTCAAACAATGACAGACAATATCATGGATGAGTTCTGAGACTTAGCCAAGATTAATGTAAAGATGATTCTTTCTTGACCTCCCTGATTGCAGATTCAATGGTGCATCTTTGATCATTTTAAACTTGGAGACAGCTTCAAAGTGCTTATTCTGTGTTTGTTTTTATTCTTTGTACAGTATACTGTTGGACAACAAGAAACATGCCGGAGTGTCCAGTTCGTGTCATTATGGTGTGCAATTAAACAGATATTACAGTCATCCTGTGACTTGGATAGCATTAGGGCTGCAGCTATCGATTATTTTAGTAATCGAGTACTCTATCGATTAATCTGTCGATTAATCGAGTAATCGGATAAGAAATGTTTTGCTCTCACTGTAATACTTTGCATTGAATCACGTTTGCCTCATTAAAAACCATCAGTAACACACAAAACTGAAATAGGCCAGGTCTTTCAAATGAATATTTTTACTGCATAAATCAGGAACCAAAAGTTTTACATTTTACCATGTAGTTCACATGAAACTACTGAAGGCAAGGTCTGCAGATGGTCTTTTAATTGCTATAGTAATGATCTTTGCAGTTTTCACTAAACCAGTCACAACTATTTCCAGGCTTTGGATCTAATTTTACTTGTTTAATTAATAGGCTGAAATAATATAATTCTTGGATACTAACATAATTTGACAAGCAAATGTACATTTATTCAATATATAAAAGTGTTACATTTTTATTTACATGTTGTTGTGTGTTGGTCATTTTGCAGCCCTCTGCTGCTCATCACACGGCCAGCAGGTGGTGTATAGCATTATCACCATGGATACACGGATGTTTGTGTGATTTTTTTCATCCACTGCCGCCCGGTTTGTGTCGTGTAGATGTTGATTATGAAAACACTTCGCAATAATTTGGAAACGTGAAGGGGGAGCTGCTGCTGCCCGGTGTTTACGGTAAATAGACGCAAACACCGACCAAGTGGACGCTTCGGTCTCCGAAAACGCCGAGACAAATTTACAAACAGCCACTATTTCAAACAACTGGGCTCATAATCGTGATGTAAACACTTACTTTCTCGCTAGAAAAAATATTATTATTGAATGAATTTATATAATTTGTCCGGTATGCAGTCGTTCTATGTAGCTTGTGGTAGGACTATTTAAATTTTCCCGGCGCTGCGTCCGGCCGGCACGAAATGCATTCTGGGGTATTTAGTATGTATGTGTGTAAACGCTCGGGCAGCCGCGGCATACTCAAATCATCTTTGAGTAGTCAGTAGGCAGTAGCTACTGCTTGAGTAGGTAAGTAGATAGCAGGCAGTATGCCATTTCGGACACAGCTTCTGTCTGTCCTCGTTTCCCTCCATGATTGAACCAAACGCGCGGCAGCGGAAGGAGCGGAAAGAGCACGCTTCTGCGCAACAGAAATAACCGTCCGTGTCAAACACCGTGCGCTGCACATGGTTCCGGATTTAAACGATTCCTCGAGGCATATAATTTGCCTCGAGGAATTTTATTAATCGAGTTACTCGAATTACTCGAGTAATCGTTTCAGCCCTAGATAGCATTGACACTTTTCAGGGGTTTCAGTTTGGTTCCTTTTGTGCATAAAATTACTGTTCTTGTGCCAGCAAAGACATCATTGGTCATAATACAACAACCTGAGGGCGTCCCTTAGATCTGAGCCACTGGTCTAAGGTTGCCTCCTGACAACAATCTGCACCTGTAAGCTGCACCTGTATGCTAGGCTTTACTCTGGTGTGCTGACAGGGACAAAAAAAGGCACGTGATTAAAAGTAGCCAGATTTGCTATCTTTGCAACCTCTGTAAGCATCATTAAACAGAGCATGTCCCACATTGTGAATGGTAGTGATTGTGAAGACATGAATCAGGTCTGATGGAAATCTGTCTAAAACCAAAGTGGACTGAGCACATCTGCCAGAGTAAAACCAAACATGAGTTCCCTGGTGTTTCTAGATCCTCTGTGTGATCCACATGTGGTTATTATCTTGTACTCCATCGAATACATAAACTTGATAGGATATTAACCTCTGGCCAAACTAAATGCAATCAGCCCCAATTGTATTTTTGATTAGATTTTAACACTCTCCTGTCTGATTTCTGTGGAAAATAAACTCTACCAATCCTTTTCTGTCTGTAATAATCAAGGAAATATGCAGTTTTTTGAATGAACTTTAGCGTATGCCTTGAAAAATGGTCTTAAAAGATGGATGAGGAGCAGCTAAGCATATGATTATCCCCAGCAGAAATGATGATTTAAAGCCTTTAGAGAACACTTGTGATCTCTGTAGAGTTGGCAAATACGAGAGGATGCTGAAAGATATCCTGGAACAAGAATCTCCACCTCAACTTTACTTCCACATCTGGTTGCGCCTCTTTATGTTGTCACGAGTAACAACATTGATTTATGCAAAGGCTGGGCATTTATCCATAATCAGCCTGTGGTTCTCCACAACAGTGTTCATTTTCGTCATGAGGAGAAAGATGTGCATGAGAGAGGGAAGGTGCCCAAAGAGCCCTTGCCAAGAGAGAGCAGAAAGGAAAGCTGTCGAACAATTTAACGTTGGCGGTGGATCAAACGGATGATGCATCGCTGCTTTGTGGTTGTGCAGAGGAGAATCTACACTTCCAACTCCTGAATGGACCTCCTTTTCTAACAGAATGCCATTATTTTTACAGACCTCTGTCAGAGAAAGCACTGGCAATTTCAACACCTTTAAAAAATCAGCCTCTTTTTTTCCCTTAATGTATGTCATGCCTTTCCTCCCAGATTAATCAGAACTCACATCTCCCTTTTCTTCTGACAGACATGACATTGTTCAGTACTTCTCCCTTTCTGGGTGACCCCTGAGTTTGCTCTATGTTCAGACATAATTACTTGATGTCTGCCATATTTTAGGGGTTCTCAGCACCTTCTTTTGTTCAAAATTCATGCCTCTCTCGGCCCAAATTTTACAGCAATCTTGGAGCAGTTCCCATTCCTTTTGAGACCCCAAAGTTTTTAGGAGTTTGAGATGAAACAGAAGCCTTAAGGGTTCCTCATTCAGAGTCAGGCAGCACTTGTGGACTTTTACAACAACTTCTTTCAGAAAAATAGCTAGATTTAGAAATCTACATTTGGCCTTTTGTTGACAGGATGATTTTGGTTGCTGAAGTATCTGCATTGGCATTTATTCAATGTTTGGGGTGATTGAGATGTTATTGCTAGGCTTTTCTGTCTTATTATTAGTTAACAATGATCTTAACACAATCTGCAGCACATGAAACAGAGCATCATGGCAAAGCAGGCAGTGTTGCCCAGAACAGTAAGTTGACTGTGTTCAATCTGTCTGTGTCATTAACTTTGAATCTTCATGACCATTAAATCATTAATCACAGTCTTTTCTGGGAGTCCCTGAGCTCCTCATGCCATAGATTCCTCTAGATAGCTGCTGCAGATGTCTTGCTGCTGTGGACCTGCCTACTTTCCAGCTGTTTTAACTTTACGCATCAGTCTCCCCATTTATGTCACTGTGACAAAGCTAATGTTAAGTTATCCAAATCAGTCTTTCTCCTTTTTCATTACTAACAAAGTCAAACATTTAAGAAATTCACTTTATCAGACTTCGGTGATAACTATCATCAACAAACCCGTACCTCTACAGCACTCTATAAAAGCAAACCTCCCCTGCTATTGCTGCCAATACTTTGCATTATAATAATGGTTATGATGGAATAACCTTGAATACTTACCTGAAGAGCCACAAGGATGTTGGCCAGCGCTTGCCCGTAGGTGTCATGGCAGTGGACTGCCAGAGCACTGACGGGCACCTCCTTCATCACGCTCTGCAGCATCTTAAACATGGAGCCTGGAGTACCGACACCTATCGTATCCCCCAGAGAAATCTCATAACAGCCCATGTCATATAACTTCTTGGCCACCTAAAGAAAAGGGAACATTTGACAACTCTGTAGGAATTCATTTGTCAAGATTAATACTCATTTTTTTGGCTTAAAAATGAAGGACTGCTCAGCAGTGGAAACTAAACACAACCCAGTTTGGCCTTGTGAGTCACATGATATTGTACTGAAAATAAACTAGGCAAAGATGTTCTTGGCTTACTCATAGTTATGCACAGGGTTTGCTTCCAAGTCAGAATTATACATGCTGTAGGAAATAAAAAGATATCACCCCATCCCAGAATAATTACACATGCTGCTGGAGTTAAAGTACAACAATTTTGCATCCTCAATGACTATCAAAATGTAATAAAATATCCAAGGATTTCTCACCTGTGCAACTTTGGAGGGTTCAACGTATCCCTCATGTGGGCACCCAAGAGCACATGAGACATATCTGTGAATGGAGTATTGGAGAGCTTAAGTGTCTGTACAAGACAATTTTGGAGACTATTTTCAGTGTAAAGAAATAGTACATTATAATAGTAAAATAGAAAATCCATGTAAGCTGATATCCTGATATGAGAATTATACACGGAAGTAAGAATCAGCTAATCGAATAGGGAAATGTGCCACCAGCTGTGTTATTGTTGTCAGATTGCCCTCTATTTTGTTGGCTGTTCATTAGTGAGATATCTCAAAGGCATACAACAGGATTTGCAAGAGGCACAGATTCAATTGTTGATTAGACTTCATTGTTTAGTTCAAGAGAGTGTATACTCTTGTAGTCATCAACAGCTGATCTAGTGTTTATCTTTTTTGGAGTGGGACTCACTGAGTCAGAGAAACGTTCAATTACTCATAGTGGTTTGCCTTTCCGTGTCTGACAAAGGCACAGCCATATTCAGTGATTTTCCCTGTGTGGTTTATTTAATGTCCATCTGGACTTGTGGTTTACTGATGCATAGATATAACCTGATGAACATCTGGAAGTTTTCTGTAAAGGTATCATTACTGAATAGTGTTTTTTTTCTCCTACATATAGAAACCGCAGTACCTTCAACAGTTTAAATTTTGACATTATCATTGTTAAAATCAGAGTGAGTATAATGCTTTATATGTTTCCACTCATTGTAAGTGACAATTAGGTTCAAGAGTACTAACCCACGGACTGGAATTCGGTGCACTTTGGCAGTGTTAATGACTTCCTGAAACCTCAGCATGCTTTCATCAATAGAGCAGTTAATATTTTTTTTACTGAAGGTCTCAGACGCTGACCCAAACACTGCCACCTCAGTAGCACCAGCTGCAACCTTAAAACAGGAGAGAAAAACAAACTTGTAAAACTGTTTTGAGCACTGTGTTGGAGTCACACTTACGCAAGTGCCAGAATTATCTGCCAAGAAGGGTTTGCTGTGCCATGAATTAATTCCAATTGACTAGCATGGGGTAAACTGTTATGGGTATATAGCAGAAAACATTGTACTTAATTGAAAATGTATGCTTACAGCATCCTGAAAGCCTTGCATGTTAGGCGTCAGAACCGGGTACTGAACATGAGGAACTCTCTGGATGCCTTTCAGCACATCACTGTGGTCAGCCATCTAAATAAAAGGGGGGAAACATATGATGTAGAAAAATAAACCTTTTAAACATCATGTTCCCAGGAATACATTACCTGCACAAATGTTTTCACATGCCACAAGAAAACGCAGAATTACATGTACATATCATATTTCTAGTCCAAACTAACAAATGACATCTTTTCTCTTTGACAGGGCACAAATCAAGGTACAATTTATGACAGGTAAAAGAGGATGGCTTGAGTATGTTAAAGTATTCTTTCCATATGTAAGCCCGCCAAGGATGCTAGAGGAGCACATATTCATCAGTACTTATTCAGACAAAAAAGGGAGTCTAATAAATCACTCAGCACTTTGCTGCTGGTCACAAAGAAGAGTTATTACCTGTGGTACCCACTTTGAAGACACAAAGCTTGTGGCCTCGATCACAGGCAGGCCTGTTCCAGAGAGCATGTCTATCAGCTGGATTTTCACCCCTGTCGGAACAAATTCCTAGGGAACAATGAAACTGAAACAGCTCTCTCTGGATCTCTGGATTGATTCCACACAAGGTGGGGGGTACAACAAGAAAAATATCTTGCAGTTTCTTTTTCTTTTTTTCCATAAAGCCTTTAAAACACACCAATACACATTCATATGCAGAATCTTGTTGAAGTTTTTATAGAAATCTCTAAAATTATACAGTGTTTTTCATAATAACACATTGCAGTGACTAAAATTATCTGTGCATCTCGTGCAATCTGTAAAGCCACAGGCGTGCAATAAGGAACTGATAAAGCAGTGACATGCTAAGCAGAGTAAACTAAGCCAGGAGCCATGTCATCTTTCCTATTCAATTTCAAAGAAAATGTGAAACATATGCCCCTGGCAATTATGGCACTCAACCCATATGTTGTGGATTATATTTTGTATAAAAGATACTGGAAAAAGGGGGTTTCCAGGGTTGATAGTGTTTAGTTATACAAAGCAAGGGAGGTCCCGAATACAAATGAGATTTGTGACTAAAATGACTATAAATACCTTTTCATTTTGAAGTCCGTCTCTTGGCCCAACTTCCACTATTTTAACAAACTCTGGGTACTCATGTCCTGTAATAGTCTGAAAAAAAAAAAAAAACAAGAGAAAGGGGAAAAAGTATGAAGAGGAATATCACTCAACAGGACACAAAACAAACTCTTAGTCATTCCTTTGAATATAGACTTGTTATTTCTAAGATAAACTGTCTGCCTCAAAGCAAAAAGAAACATGAGAACCAAAATATAAGCCTGTCACATACCATCAGGAAGCAAAACTCAGAAATATGTCTTTGAAAAACCTGAAGTACGTTGGGGTAACTCCACACAAACCACAACAGATATTCAAGGACCTGGGTATTTCCTGGTCAAGTTAAAAATCTTAAATCAAAGGCATTAAATGTTGATTTGAACAGCCTGGAGCTGTAGGTACAATATTTAATCTTAAAATATTTAATTTTTCACATTTTAATCTAATTATCATTTAATAAATCACCTTCACAGTGAGACAGAGGGACTCGTTTTCAAACTGACCGGAAACTATTTTTTTCTAAGCCGTTTTAGAGAGCCGTTAACAAACATGGCGGCTCAGACCACAGCTTAAAATGTGACGGCTAATGGCTAATGTCGCGGCTCACGGCTAACCTGTGACGAAGCAGAAATGTCCGCGAACACCGACGGGAAGCCGCACCGTACTGACTCAGATGGCTACTCTCGACCTACCTGACAAACGTAGGTACAGACAGTGTAACATTTCCCTTTTCTTTTTCATGAAAACTATCTGTGTTGTCGAGCTTCTCTAAAGGGCTACATTAGCAAGCAACCGTCACTTAAGTCGTACGGTTAGTGAAACGAGCTACAGTAATGGTTAGCCAAACAGTGGTGGAAGGTAACTTAATTGACTGCGTTTAACTCAGGAATGAGCGATTGTTAGCTTTTTTTTCTTGAGCTGCTCAATTTATGTTGCTGCAAACTTCTAGCGTACTACTACGTCTAAATATTACATTTCTATTCACATATTGTTTCTCCAATGTTATGTATTCCTCTCCCCCCAAAAGCACTCCAAAGTGTATCTAATGAGTCCTTTTTCAAATTCACCACTTGAATGCAACCTGCTGCACAAGTAATGCATTAATGATAAGATGCCTTAACTTCTTTAATATTTATTTACTACATATTTTCTTAAATACTTGTGTGCTTCAGGGTTAAAATGTTGAAGTTAGGGCTTTTTCATAAGCAATTGGTAGGCGTATAAATCTATAGTAGTGGTTGAAGGTACCAGGTTCTACGATTAACAGGCCTTTGTACTTGATTAATATGTTGAGTTATCTATACTTTTTACTGGAGATGTAATATTTATGCTACCTGTTGGCTTCTTTACTATCAGGAGGAACTATTTAATTTGCAATTCCTAGTATTGCTTTTATCAACCTTGAGCATTTTTTGTGGGAGACATAACTCTAGGTTAAATCATCCACCAAATACAACACTTGAATCTTTAAACTGAAACTTCCATTGATACAGAGACTTCACTACTTCTAACAATAATCTTTTGAGTAAGTTTGACATTTTAGTTTTAACATGTATAATTTTTTAACATTTCACTTAAAAAATCTGTGGTGTTGCTAACAAAATGTGTAAAGACAGCCCACTGATGCCTAGGGGAACAACTCAAACTTGATTATACATCATGCCGTAAAACCAAAACAATGCTCAACATTGTAGTTGTGAGGTACTGCTTAACTGATTTGATTTAATTTAAATTTAAGTAATAATTGATTGAAAACACTTAAAAAGCAACAGCTTGTGACAAAATAGAAGGCTTAAAATGTTATTTTGGTCAGATTTTTATGATATAATCTTGCAGTGGTAGTAAAGGAGGTTACATAATAGTAGAAACAGTGGCATCTCAGATTGAGCTTTTGTCAGAACACAGTCAGAGAGGGAATCCTTTTCATACTATTAACCGCAGTCATATTTGAATAGAGCTACATTTCAATAGAGAAGGAACCATTATATAAGCTGTATAAAGCATCTACACTGTCATCAGCGGCTGGCTGTAGCTCCTCAGCCTCTCTGTCATGAGAGAGTCATGTGGCAGAGCACGTGCAGCAGATTAGAAACAAGAAAACAACGCCCACCTTTTCCTCCAGCAGCCAGCGTCTTAGCCATGGGTAGTCCTGGACAAGTTGTTCATAGCTCAAGCAGTGCTTCACCGAAGTGGGTACGTTACCCATCCGAAAGGCTGCTGTTCAGCCCGCTGCTCCTCCGTGTCCTGTGAGACTATATGGCAATGAGCCTTGCAGCTACTCTAGCAAATTGGAGCATCAGATCAATATGCTAATGCCGGCCACGAGGATGGAGAGCCTTGCTGCGTGAGAGGATGGCTGCATGCGGTGGAGGATGATTCAGCAGTTGCCATGGCAGCCACATCCTTACAAGGGAGGGGGGTGAAAACAGAGAGGGATGGGGGATGGATCCTGAGAGGAATAGTGTGAAAGAAAGGGGTAAATGGAGCAGTGATTGTTGGGTAATTTGGTGGAGCTCGATTTAAAAAATTAAAAAACAAAATATCTACAAATCCAAGATTCTTTTAAGCGCCTATAAAGGGCTTCTCCCCTTTAAAGTACCTAAACAATTTTGTGATAGGAAAAAGTTGGAGAGTATATGTTTTATATCTTGATTAACAAAAACATAATGTGAACATTCAACTGTTAAACACAAATTAAAGGCTTCTGGGAAACTGATTGATCTCCTGTGACCTCAACATTTGAGGAGTTTCCACTGCCAGACGTGACACTGCTGCCAATGTCAACTGCATGGTGTAATAAAATCCCTTGTTAAGCTAGGGCAACATTTACCAGAGAAAGAGCCATTCTTCTGAACCCAGATGTTAACAATAGAGGGGCTTAATGAACTCCTAGCATTCAACCATCTCACCACGCTAAACTGCTCTGTGATGAGAGACCTCTGCTGCTCTCGGGGGAGGAGGGCGACTCATATGAACAGCCCTGAAAAAGCCTTTTTTTGTAGCAGACTTCAAGGTTGATGTCTATCAGTTGCCACCCCCTAAAATTTAAACTGCCTCTTGGCATTTTGCCTCTAATCACATATTCATGGTCCTCTTGGGGACAGAAAACAAGCAGTGCAGCAACTTCTGCAGGAAAATTTTGTAGTAAAAACGTTTCCAATTAAGTTTTAAACTCGCAACATTTATGGTTTGGATGTTGCATTGTGTTTTTAATTGTTTTTCTGGTATCTGTTTAGCTTTCCTTAAATGACCCAGACCCTGGAAATAAAGAAAAGTACATTTTAAAGACGCTGTAAATCAATGCATTGAGTTTTATATAAGTCTCTTAGTTCACAGTATTACAGGAATTTTCTCTGTTTGCGGCTCCTGTTGCATTAATGTGCAATGTCACTTATTTTCTTTAAGTAAAATGTAATCATTTGAATTTACTATTGCCAGAAAGTGACTTCTTTTCCAGAAAAATGTTTCTTTCTCAGTGTTTCTTTTTCCATACATGATGACTGCATCAGTCGATTAACCCTAACTGGCCTTTTACCATTTCTTCTTTCAAGGAAACTTGGCTGCTGTGGTTTATCTTGACAAATACCAGCTGCAGCGGGTTACTTTAAAGGACTGGCCTTCAGGGGGTTTTCTGCTTTTAGGAATCAATGTCATGCAGGTGAGTGGAAACTTTAAAGTTAAAGGTGGTATGTTAGCTGATGAAGCAGAGGAAGAGTTGACATTTATATAAAAAAAAAGGTCCAAACAGCTCAACTGTTATCTGTAAGCGAAAGAAAAGTGAATAAAAAACAACATAAAACTTAAATGATAAAACTTATAAATGTAACACCAATCTTTTATTCTAACTTTTCTTAAATTGTCATTGTTTTGTCAATTTTTTCACATGCTGTTACCAAGACATGAGGGTGGTATTGATAATCAAATGTATCATATTGCACTCTGGCAGTGTCTGAGAAAGGAAACATAAACAGACAGATAAAGAGAATGTCAATATGGACTTAAGAGAAGATGTGAAACAAACACGGGACCTTTAGCTTTCAAACCTATAAGATCTGTTAGTGTGTGACATACAAAGCAGTCTATATAGTCATTGTCAACAAAAACGAAGAGGGATAACTGCTTTTTATGATTCATCTCTCTACAGGCCAGACATTTAGAAATCAGAGAATTTATTCTGTAGGGACACCTTTACCCGTAGCATAAATAAGATGCTCTTAAGATTTTGATTTAGTGCCACCACTTCATTAGTGTAGTTTTGTAATTGCAGTGAAAAATAACCAATTTGGAGAGTGCTGTCCTTGGATGACAGTGTTCATCTTCCAGACTTGGGAGTGGTACAGAGATGAGCCGCCTCATAATTTAATATGCAGGGAAACCTCTTGTGTTCTGATCTTGCGAGAGAGCTTATAATCTGATTGCGTATTGTGAGATCTTGTGGGACCTGAACTTGTCACACTTCTGATTTACACTGTGTAACAAACAGGCAAGTTATTAAATTACTTTTATCATATTAGAGTTTTTCATCTAATTTGGTCAGCTAAACCAAACACCCCAATGAAACGAGAAACAGAATGTTCATTCTCTCTGTAAGGTTTAGTAAAATTCTCTCTAATACATGAATACTCTTAACATGTGTCTTGATTGATCAAACAGATATGCCCTGACAGGAAGAAGGATGTCTCTGTACTATTTGTGAGATTCCTCCTGAGAACAGTATATTTTACACATGATGCCTTAGGAGACCTTGTGGATGATGAATGCTTCAAAGTATTAAATAAAATTCAAACGGTGCAAATGTCACTATATATTTCAGAACTGGAAAAAGGAGCACATAAAAGAAAGAGACCATTCTCTCTCTTCGCACTAAGAAAGAAACAGATGTGAGGAATGGCGCTTTATGGAGTACAGGTTTCGGCACGGCATGAAAGAGGTTTTAAGCTCTCAGATATACACTGAAAACAAAGTGGAAGAAAGAAAACAGGAACCAGATTAAATCAATTTTCATCCTCCATCCGTCTTCAATTTGGACATCATGGATTGAACTGAACTGTAACAACAAGAAGGTCCCGGTGCTGAGTGGATAACACATTAAGATCACCCTGAGAGCAACAATCGTGACAGAGGTTTTCATACAAAGAATCAAAGATGGATGGGTTCGTCAGATGCAGGGTATCATTTCAGTAATTACATCCAGTCCTAATGCAAGCGACCACTTTGAAGGTGTTTAATTGAAACTGGATCATGCAGAAGACATGCTGCCAAAAAAGAGCTAAGAATGAGCATTAACAACATGTTTACAGTCTGTAAGTTTGTGATCTTGTATGAGAGCAATTTGCACCCAATCACATTTTGGATTTATTCCACTACTAGATAGAAAGAAAGAATATTAACACGGAGTATAAAAACGTAAAGGCTGTTTAAAAATAGCAGCCTACCTTACGGTTTCTTCAGGAAGGCTCGGCCACTCGGAGCCAATTTTCCACAGCTCCCCTTGGAGACAGCATGTGTGTTAGAGATTAGACCTACAGTTATTATTCCACAGAGTGCCCCAGAGCTTTTTGTCACAGAACTGCGTGTATGGTCTCTGTCCAAACATTATCATGACCATTACGCATTGATTCGTTAAAATGCATTATTTTTGCTTCTGCACCCATGTAGCTTAAGTAACCCAGTGGTCATCTCAAAATATACATTAGTTTATATTTCGTATGGAGTGTGATCAAAAACACCCAAATCCCAGTTGAAAATCAATTGGCTGCAGAAGAACCGCATCATTCAGTCTGACATGCTACAGTCTTCCTTTTTTCCATAAAGTCACTTGTTAACACCACTTTGTCACGGATACATAGAGGCGGATGTTTCTAAGCAGTCAGATATTTATTGTGCAGATTTTTCTATTGCACCGTGGAGGAGTTCATGGATGGATTACTGACCTGACTGGCTCATAAAATCTAGAGATTTCCTTCAGTGTATTCATTTCCTTGGTGGGAGAGAAATTGAATTTCACAGCGAAATTTACAACTGCCAGAATACACATGAACCAGATTAAATGGTGACTGTTGACATTTCTATTTGCTTTCTAAATTATTACTGTAGCATATTTAGTAAATTATATGGTGAAATGTAGAGATAACAGGACAGATAAATCAGAACCCTTTTAAAGTCAAGTTTGCTGTAGGTCTCGAGTATGGCTGGAAAGGTTTGAGGTTTGTTCAGTGAGAGATGTGAACTAATTTTCAGATTCTTTGACAAGAAGTTAAATCCCAACCAATCGACTACTCTTAGTGGGAGATCATTTAGCCAGTAAATGGTGGCATCAGTATAGTTTGGACATAGGCCTGGGCGATTTGCCAAAAACATGATCACGATATATTTTGTTGTATCGTCCGATCTCAATTGTTATCACGATTTTTTTTTTAACTGCCAGTTTTAAAGCATCTGTACTAAAAACTAAAGAAACTAGAGATTAGTTCAACATTTTATTAACATACGAAGTAAATGGCATAGAATAAGGTAGAGGATGATATTTTTTTGGGAAATCCCGTGGGTAATCAGATGATTAAACAGATCTGTTGTGTTGCCGGTTTTTCAGGGCACCGACCGCAGACATAACTTACAAATCGGCTTAATTACTCAACGTTACTTTGGAGATACCCAAACTGCCGCCACACAACCAATGTTGAATAACTTTTCAGCAGTAACATCTTCGGAGGATGACTCAAAGTCATGGCTGACCTCTATTTTGCTGCCCTCAGCTTCGCGTTTAGCTCCATGTCTGGTCATTCTGTTTACTTCTCCTGTTTACTTCTCTGGTAACTTACAGAAGTGAGCAGGAAAACCTTGACTCTGATTGTCTGTTGTCATGCACATTTCTGCCATGTTTGATCGAGTAAATATGCTCACAGCTGATCACCGTGATTGAAATTTATCACAATCATCAATTACAATCATATAATCGCCCGGTCCTACTTGGACAGAAATGTTGACAAGATTTCAAGAAGTAATTTCAGCTGGTCCTAAAATTTTCCCATGCAATAACACTAAGCTACCACATAGATGATATAGACAGTATTCTAGTAAAATAATGTGAGACTGACAACTCTAAAATAGCTATGGTCAAATGAAAACCCCCGTATTGACCCCCCAGTCCTTACCCAGTCACTCTTTGTTGTTTAGTTTGTAATTAAAATGACAGAATGCTCTAAAAATAACAGCAAGGTACTCCGGTTATCACTGTTAAATATTAGTCTCAAATCTGAACAGGTCATGATCCGTTTAATTGAAACATTACTTCAGTTTTAGTCCATTAAAGATAACCAATGTCAGGTTGCATAGTTTTGGCTTTGTCGAGTTCATAATTTAAGAGGCTTTCGAGTACCATCCAAGAGCTTTGAATCAAAGGGTTTATCGAAATAAATGGAAAATACATGCACTTGTCTTTTCCATTAGAAGAGCTTAAAAAGACATGACTGCAGATGGAGTTCTGCTGAGTTAACCTCCACTCAACAGTTTATGAATTACCCAACATCTTTAATCCTCTTGACAATAAGAATGATGATTAACTCCCGGTCTGAGCCTCCACTTTAAGACCTTGACAAACATATTGTAAATTAACAAAAACAGTAGTGTAGTAGGTTTTAAACGAAGTAATGACTTTTACAGAGTAAGTCGTGCTTTTGTTCTGTGTATCCCATAGTTCATGCCAAGATATTACCTAAGCCTTCCAATGTACCCAGCTTTAGCATTATAAGCTGTAGTTTGATAGCTTTGTGGTAAATCACAGGTTAGAAACATCACTGGTCTCAGAGAAAAAGTATCTGCATGTTTTTTTTCTTCTCTTCAGCCTTTTAATATACAACCTTCAAAATAGGCATTAGTTTCCTGCACCGAAAGTAAAGTAGAATCTTTGTTAGCCTATTATGAGGCTTCTCCTTTAACTGGGACAAGGCTGCACTTCTAATGGAAAGTTTGTTTCATACATGCTGCATGTTATTGGAAATTAAAAGAAAATGGATAGCCAGAGCATTTGGACTTCAAAAGACGACTGCGTGTCAATAAAAAGCCAGCAGAGGGTTCGAATTTATCTTTACAAGCACTTTTATTAAAAAGTCACCAGAAAGCTTTGTCAAACATACTATATTGACAATCTTCAGCTGACCCATCCAATTTAACACACATGTGAAATCAGAACTTCAAGAACATGATTTTAGAATAAAGACACATTTCCAACTCACAGGTGCCACCGCTAACAGTAATGAAAAATGACAGCCCAGCTCACAAACAGTCTCTTGTAGCTCTGAGGACCTTAAACTCTCTCACTCTTTTTTTCTGGCTCTGGAAGCTAATGTGAATAACAAGCAAACATGACAGTGTTTCAGCATTGCCCTCTGTCAGGACACATTCCTCCCTGGTCCTTCTGCAGCCTTGTCATACCAAACAACATGTAAAAATGTGACCCATATGTTCTCTCTTTTCAGGAGGGGACTGATTGAGCTGTATGGAAGCCACAGCCCACCCACAGAATACAAATAAGGAGAACCATATGTGGGGAGATGAATTAGGTAAACTGCACAACATTTTTATTAGATACAATTTCACTTGCCTTGTCGGTGGACTGCAAGGTGACACTGTAAAAATAAACTTTGAGCCACAGAAAGAAAAGAGACCTCTGGTTAAGATGGGGGAAGACGATGAAACATGCTATTAGTTAACCAAGTGAAAAGTTACTGAAATGTTTTGTAGTCATATTAGACTGACCAAAATGTGATCAAAATAATCATCTTGCCAGTCATTTAACCTGTACCATGAATAGAGTCTGTTCATGATATTCATGATCTAACGTCTAACTGGAAGTACGCCTTCACAGCACTTGATATATTAAACCCATTAAGACCTGAACAAATGTTTAGTTTCACAGTTTACAGTCGTGTTTGCGTAAAACCCAAATTATTTTTCATGGACTACAGGCGGAATTTAATTAGCTTTAAATGTTTTCATTCAGAATACCTGTTTATGAAATGAATAAGTTCTCAAAACTACTTAAATATACCATAAATAAACAGTTACAGTACATTACAGTAAGTGTTCTACAAGGCCAGAGAGGGTTAGAGGGTTAGGGGCTATGGCGTGCATATAAAATGCCAGAAATATGAAGTGAAACAATAATTCTTAGTTACCTTTACACAATGAAGAAAAGAGACTTCTCCTTCTGAGTATTTGTAAACACTTTCTGCCGCATGCTTTCCCATAATTTGAAACGGTTCCTTCTCATTTTGGGTAACTTGAATCTTTGAAGTTCAAAGGCATTTTAACTTGAATTATGAAAGAATCCTTCCACTGACAGTCAGCAGGTCCTAGTCTATAGAGAAGGAAAACAGACGACAAAATACCTCAGCTGATTTGATTAAATCCCAGAGAACATCTCTGGTCGTGTTCTCGAGCACCTCTGCCTCTGATTTGGTCAGATAACTTCCTCAGTGTGTAAGATTGTCCTGTATTTTCTGCTTTATCTTTGATTTAGATTGCAACCCTAATGCAGAAAAAGTCGGGATGCTTTTCGAAACAATGCAAAAACCACCTAGAAGAATATTTCAACTGAACAAGTTTAGAGTCTCAGACATTAAGATGGGAAGAGATTTGCCCCTCGGTGAGAAACTGTGTGGGAGAATTTCATAGTTTATAATTTTATAAAAGTGCTCCTCAGCATAGGACTGAGAGGAGTTTAAGGACTTCATCACCTGCACTTCATCTTATTTAGAGTTTTGTGTTTTATTTATGTAAATATGTAACTGTGTTTTGTGTTTGCTGCCTCTTGGCCAGGACTCACTTGAAAAAGAGGTTCATAATCTTAATGGGATATTTCCTGATTTAATAAAAGTCAAGTAAAATAAATAAAATTGTATCAACTAAGAGACCAAATACTCTGGGCTTTACTTTAAACATTAAAACAGCTATGACTGTGGTGGAAATCACTGCATAGGCTCAAAATCACATTAAAAAAACCACTGTCTGTGAAGACAGTTTGTGGCTGCATCCTCAAATTCAGGTTAAAACTGTGACAAGGATGGAGACAAGTATAAATATGACCCATAAACACCAGCAACTATACTGAGCCATTTTTCAGTTTTAACATTTTCTTTGATTATTTTTGATTCCATACCTTCTATGTCTGTTTTTCCAACATTTAGTTAAACGTCTCATCTTTTTTGGAGTTAAGATTTTAGATATCTATTTCATTTACCAAGTAGCTGCTATCTCAACAAACAGATAGATGATCACTTCTTCTAAAGTGTATCCATTTCATGAACATGAGAACATTATCTGAATGGGGGTACAAAGATACACTTTTGTTTTCTCAATCAGGTTGAAAGAATAAACTTTCTTATATTAGTGAAAAAACAATATTAGCACCCGGAAACACATCCCATCATTATCTCACTGTGTTTATGTTAAGCCAGGAGCGAGTTGTGACATGTATAATAAACCTGAGGGCATATTACAGGAAGAAGTCACAAGAGAGCCTTCATTGAAAAGTAAGCACAGAGGGTTGTGATCTTTTTCCAGCTTGTCTCAGAAGTGGTCAGTGGAGGTGCTGATCTGATGAATGTCAAGGCACCTCTGACTCACTGCAGCTTGTTTTTGACCACGGGGGTCTCAGAGGAGAAGAGGTCACTATATTAATCTGCCCTGAGTTTATGGGGATTGTTAGCCTTTCCTTTCATGTGGTTTGGAGGTTTCTGTTTGAAGGGCTGTGTAGTTTGAGAGAACTTAAATAGAAGCTCATTTATAGATACTGCTGTTCAACAAGGAAAAGAGGAAATTCTGTCCGAATTGGAAAGAATCCCTGAGATTTAACAGTAGATGGGATTGTGAAGTGCGAGGAGTAATCATGCTCAGCAACAGGCCGCAGGAATGCAAATCAACCCTCAAGCCAAGAGTTAAGTTAGCAGGTGGCCTCTTCTATTCACTGAATGTCAACACTCCTTTTAGAGGGAGCCCACATAACATCTGGGCAGGCCAGCCACTGCTTTTAATTAAGTGAAATACAGTCACTCAATGTTCAGCCATGTCAGAGGAAAAAAATGTTATAAAAGTGGGAGGGTGAGGGGAGAAAAGTGCAACAGTACATATCCTGTGTTTAGTAAGGGTCAACACAGTTGTGTAAATAAATATTAATCCTTAACCTAATCCCCAGATTTCCAAGACACTTGAAAATGCTTGGTAAACCAGAGCTCTTCTCTGGAAATAGCTCGTTTTCTTACTTTTTTCCTGGGAACTCTGCTTATCCTGAGTGAGGAGAAAAGGCAGTGACACACTCTGGGTTTAGTTTGTGATCTAAACTTTGTTTCCAGTGGTGAACCATAGCTCTTAGCAGATGGCAACATTGGAAAAAATGACCGTGCAGAATGTAAGCATGCAGAAATGAACTATAAACACCTTCTAAATACTGTGATGGATGTTATCTTTCTCCATTATCAGGCGGGGGTCACTTAAAAAGGATATACCCTTCTCTGCTTGCAGCCTCTTGATAATCACCCTTTTGGGCTGTGTTTGGAGGTCACAACTCTGTTTTACTGCAAGCACTCCACCGCAAGTATCACCCTCCCCAAGAGTATGTCAACAAGCGCCGTGGGTGGACCCCTAGTTTATATCAGCCTTGTCAAACATTTATAAATCCGAGCAGTAGTCCTGCGATGGTTTGTAAAACATCCGCAGAGCTCCAAACAGAAACACAAGAGGACAACTTGAATTTGAAAAAGGAACGAGGACTTGCAGCTGGAGGAGGAGGAGAAAGAGCTCGAAGATTTAATAGATTTTTACATCTTTTATTTTGATAAATGGTGCCAATAAAAGTGTGAGGTCAAGTAAAAGACAAGCAGGAGACGAGAGTTTTTCAAGTGGTATATTTATTAAAATACACAACTTTCTACAATAAGATATACATTCCCCAAAAGAGCTAAAATTAGTGTGAAGTAAAAAAAGAAGTGTTTGCAGCTATGGAAGGGTCCACAGAGAAGTGAGAAAACAGTGTTTATGGAAGAGTTTCATTCCAGACTGACATAATCCCTCTTCTGAGGACACACTCTCTTCAGACAAAAAAAAAAAAAGAAAAGCTGGCCTGGAAAAGGTGAAACAGTATCAGTGCTGAAAGATGGTGACAGCTTGAAAATAGCTCTGGGCAGTTTGGTTTAGATTAGGGAACACTCGCTATATTTTTTCCAGGGGTCCATTTTGATTTCCAACGGCCTTTTCTACTTGTGACGTTAATGATAAATCGCAACGTCTTTATTGTTATATTATCAAGCAACCATGCGCCATTATTGGTCTGTTATGAGAGATTACAGTTAATGTTGAAGAAAAGCACATCATATACCGAAACCCAAGTGTAAGTCTGCATACTTCAGCGAGCATTCAGCTCACAAGTGTATTGTGAAAGTGGAAAAATGAGCGAGAGGGGAAGTGATCTTACATATTGTGACTCCAGTGAATAGTTAACTCATATAATTTATCATACAGGTCTAATAAAGAGAGAGTATATGCCAATGGACACAAAAGATAACTGATGACTAATGTAATAAAAAATCAGAGTTCTCCTAATCATTTAAATACAACAATATTCAGTGCTATCTTATAAAAAAAGGAAATAAATTAGGTAGTAAAACTTTATATACATAATACTGTACATCACATCACACCTGCAGCAAAAGTTTTCCAGCCATTCCCACACCAGATAGCATAAATTAAAGTTAGTCCGGCCACTAATGGCAACCACAAGACCGAACTACCATGTTCCTGTATTTCTTCAGGATGACGTTGGAGCTGTCATCAAAGTAAAGCACTGATATCGCGTTGAGCTTGGTTGGGGCACAGCACGGCTTTGGCACATTGTCAGGAAACATTAAATGGACCTATAAATGAGAGTAAGCAGGTTCAAAAGAGGCCCAACAGCAGAACGCTTCGAGTGAAATATAACTGCAAGGAATATTATGGTGGCTTATAACAGGGTTTTATTGCAGCACATATGTGCAGCGCACTCTATAGTGTACTCACCAGGGTTTGCACAATTGCATGATTTGTTGCATTCATGTGTGCGTTGAGTGGGAAAGAGCATTCGCCGTCGCAGTAAAAAGCAGCATAACCCTCTGGTGCAATGATCCAATCCTTCATCGAAAAAAAAAAAGCTTTCTTTATTTATGACACATGGTGAGTTTTCTGAGTGTGCTGTTTTAAGCCCAATATAAATGCATTGTTCGTTTCTTTTGACAGCGTTCTGAGTGTTTTATGAATCCAAAAACCACATCTTACCTGCCAGCCCAAATCTCGGAAGCTGACGTAGAGTTCGTGCTTCTTACAGGCTTGTTTCTGTTCACTTACATTGTAATCTGAAGAAAGGGAGAAGCTTTATTAATACAAAAAACAATGATTCATATCTGTCTACTGTACAAAATTTCATACAGCTGTGCAGAAAAAGTCAAACGTTTCTCCAGAAATGTTCTAGAAACGCTGAGAAAGAGTAGTGCAGAGGGGTAAACTTTTTATGACTACACGATGGCACTATGATCTTGTCATACCTAACAATACTATCCAAAATTTAGTGTTTTGTATCGATGTAATATTTTAAAATAATTTAATTGATTCATTGATTTCCTTCCCATATTGCTGTAAAAGAGAAAATGTCGAAGGAAAATAATAATTCATTTTAAACTATAACAGGTCGTTAAAGCTCCTGTGAGGATTTTTTTGATGTTTAATTCATTTTATTCAAAAATTGACCCATACCAAAAACATCAAATAATGATTAATGCAATTTGCAGAAAACAACAGGGAAGTTCTGGGGGTTACACCTTTTATGGTGAAGACTAACAGTATTCTGAGTCCCTGATTGTTAAATTTAGCATTACTAAAGCAAAAAGTGTAAGCTTCTTCTCTGGGTGGCACTAGAAGGAAGGTTTGATAAAGTCATTCAACCAAAAGGCTTTATCATTTGACATGTATGAGGAAAGTATTGAACTGTTGCTTAAATTTCTGACATTCCTCGCTGTGTCTCTTGTTTGAAAGTTTGAACAGTGCACAAAAAGATGTGACAGAATGTCCTTAAAACTGTGTGCTTTGACGAAATTAAATCAGACAGTTTTATATCTGGTACAATTGTTTATTCCATTACCAGAAGGCGGACAACTGTGCAGAGATCCTGCTGCAGGAAATCAAGGTTAACCTGACAGTCTGATGGATCCTTGTCAGGGCTAGAATGGTGGACTCTAAATGTATGAAACAGGACTAACATACTGTATGTGTTTCGGGTTAAATAAATAATGAAAAACTACAATACCTCCAGGTTTGGGTGCCCTGGACGACTCTTGCTGATTACTTGATTTATTGCGATTGTGGTTCTTTTTCTTCCCACCAGCAGCTCTGACAGAACGGAGCAACACCCCACTGGCCTTGAAGAAAGCTACCAGGAATGGCTGTTTGGCCTGAGGCCCATTTCTCCCAATGATTCCAGCAGATTTTATGTTGATACTTCGTCCTTTGAAAAACAGAAGGTAAATAATAAAACTTGCGAAATAAAACTCAAGAAAAATGGAAAATATATTATCATTTTATAGCTGCTTCACAGTGATTCTCAAGTCAAGCACCTTTATAAAATCTAGGTCAAGCTATCGGCCTTTTCCGTTTATTTATGGCTATTTCATCAAAAAAAGGAAAAAATGACAGTAATTTATTACAGTACAAGGTAATTTTTTCCTGAAGTCCATGAAATATCAGTTTTTATCGAAGGTAGACATTTGAGATGGATGAACTTCCTGTACTTTTCTATGTTCCAAGAGTCTTGATAAAATATGAGGAGCTTTAAACGAATAAAATTTCAAAAAACTTGCCATCTACTGTCTCCGCACAGAGCTGCAGGCCCAAGTTCTGCTGCGGGTTCATCACCCAGTGGTTACTGGTCACGGTGATGTCAAACACCAACCAGCCTCCATCGGACGCCTGGACCTTTTTGGAGTCGAGCAAAAAAGTCTCTGCATCTCTGGAGGTAGGAAAGAAAACAATGAAATGAACATCTGCAGTAAATAAACTGCAGTTTTAATAGTGCGTTCTGAAAAAGCCGGTACACACACGCTGTGTGTTTTCTTATAAGAAATACATTGTAATCCAGTGGAAACTATTTAAAATTTTACAGTCCATATGGGTATGTTTGTGTCAGTAATTTTCATGTAGCTTTTTTACTGCTTCATTGTAAAGAAACAAAAAAAAGAAAAAAAAACTAATTACAAGTAAAATCTGTTATGCTGCTTGGCTTTAATGCAAAACAACATAAAATCCACGTGCTTCTCGAGGTCATTTACACTTACCCAAGAGGTCTTAAAACTCTTAGATGGGACAGATAAATGATGCTTCACTGACTCTTCCCAAATAGATGTTTTAACCCAAACTCTGCAGCTAAAATCTCTGTGACTTTTCAAACCAAACACTCTTAAAGTAATCAGGTATTTCCGCCTGCCTGTGCTGAGCTGGAGCAAAAAAAAGAGCAAAAGAAAATGTTGAAGAAGCTGTGACTGATGATAAACTGCAGAGTCGTGTTTTATTACGAGTGCCAAGATTTCAGTTTGTCGATTGGCAAAATATTCCAGTAGTTTTGAATGAGCTTTATCAGCCTGTGTGTATTTTTACTGTAAGCCTGTCAAACCGAATCCATCAACCCGAAGCTGAAAAAGCCTGCTTCACAATTTGCATTGGATTTCTGTCAAGTGGCAGATCGGATAAGGCAGCACTTGGTTGGTTCTTGTGGTTACATGGCGCTTGACTGGAGTACCAAGACTTTTCATTCAGTTCCAGTCACTCAGATGATATTCATGTGTTTATTACACATGTAATAAATTGTAACCTCATGTGGAATTTAACCTGAGGTTGGTTGTTATGAGTGACATACTGCTGAACTTCCTTTTTAGGATTCACAGAATTAAGCTAATATCCTGTGATAATTCAGTTTGTTCTGGTAAGTTTTCACTATTTTTAAAGCCAGATCCAAGAGGAGGAAGTCAATCCTGCCTCCTCAGCTGTGATAACTGGATGTACTGTTCCAAAGAGAGTTTTAAAGGAAGTGGAAAGTCGGGGAAAGAGGCAGGACAGAGCGTCTACCTGAAACGATGTTCCTGAGAACCGCTCTTCTCTTTTAGAAATTCATGTTCAGCTACAAAGGTCAACACCAGTGCAAGTTGTACGGAGAGGCTGATGTAGTGGAGTGTTGGGAGGTCGGGTTAATGTGTACTTGTCTGACATTAAAGGCACCCTGTCGAGGTTTGAACCCTTGTCCTGAAGCAATATAAGGTTCCATGTTTTTGAGAGCGGCTTGTTTTTTTGGTGTTTCGTTTCATTCAAAAGCCGACTCCTAATCTGTAAGATTCTTAGGCGGGTTAAACTGTAACAAGAAAGTCCATATTCTAACTTTTACCGTATAGATATTCAAAGTGTAAAGGCTATTAGTGCAACATTCTGTTCAAAGTGGTTTGTCTAGTTGTCTGTCGGAGGTCGCTCTTTTAATTCCCCTTCAGTTGGACTCATGCACGCTATTTTGACTTATCAGTAAACTGTTATGTTGGCTATAAAAACTGTTGGCTACAGAAATCGGGTAAGCTAGCCAAGCTGTTTAATTCAAAATTCACTTGAACGCTTTTCCATTCATTCATCAATCCATGCCAGAAAAAGCAACAGGGATGAGAACTGTTAACAGGCAAACATTAACTTCAACACCAGAGGTTTTAAATTTTACATTGATTTGGCTGTCCAAGTGTTTATGGAGACGGGGTTGGTATCAAAGACAGGCAAAATACATTTTTATGGTGGAAAAACTGCTCATAAACATATTTTTTGCGAAGAAACGATTCAGCTGACCCCGTTTAACATCTGCATCTCAAGGCTCGGTCTTCGTATTCCTGCTCGTAGTGAGTAGTAGCCACTTTTTTCATCAGCCACAACCTTTATTGAACTCTTTAAGTTTCAAGGAATTTTCAGTGTGTGTTGATTTTGGCGCCTCCTGTGGCAAAGTGATACTTCATGTTTTTGTCCTGTACAAATGTAAGTTATCTTTTCTGGCAAAGAACTTCATCTTTCTTTTTCTAACTAAGCGTGAATATATGCAGTGGAGAAGATCTAAAAAGGGTTTGTCTTCCATGTGCCGTAAATTGTCTCATTTGACACCTACCGAGCCACCGGCAGTTTAGCATTTAAACATCATGATAGGTTGTGTCCAGAATCACTCATTATTTACTGTGTAGTGTACCAGTGAATACACAATTTTGTAATGCTGTCTGAATTCTGAGTGAGACGCAATTTTCCCTCTGCAGTGGCCCCATTATTTCTCATATGCATTTTAAAAAGTGTTGAGCCACTGGTCAGTATCCAAACATTACACTGCATCTCCTCATGGTTTGCAGAGAAAGAAAAACAGCAAACAGACGAATGAAGCGTAAACAGTGCTCGAAGTGGTTAATTCAGTTTCTTCCTCTGAGCAACATCATTCAAAGCAGACAGGAAGGAAAGAGAAGTTCTGATGACGATTTTGGAGAAATAATGCCTGTTTATAAAGAGTAATGATGATAACATGATGATTATTAATGACAATACAGGAAGGAGACCACTGTCTGTTTCCATGAGTCAAATATTTAAGTTGTAGTAAACAGAATTCAAGTTTCAGTGTAATTTTAATCTCTAATTTGTAAATATGCTCAGTAGAACACCTTTAATCCCTTAAATTCATGCCTTCATCGATTTTTTTTATCTCTAGTTGGGTTCGAAATGTGCGACAACAGCAATGTCGTTATTCAGCAGCTGGTGAAACGCCACAGCTTGTCTGCGGTGTTAACATAAACAACCACACTTTATGATGTACAAGTAGATTTTGTTGAAGTAACCAACTGAACACCACTGGCTGTAAATGTGGTTACACAGTACAACCCAAGTATGTGTGATAGCCTAAAGAAAACATGACAAAATACTTAGGTCTTGACAAACTTACAGCACTCTTTAAAACCTTTTGGCTTTAAAATTTGAGAGGAAAAAAAACTTGAGCGGAGTGATTTATTGTGAAACACGTACACCACTGTTGTTTCTAAGACTCCTCACCCAGGGAGAGATTTGTCCTCCTTCCTGAACACTAATGAAAACATGCAATTCACCATGAAAACGTGTGTGAAAACTTGAACTGAGCAGTCGTCCCCTTTAAGATGGCAGAGTCCATTGACTTGGACCTTTTCAAAGCCCTGGAGGGCCATATCTCCCCTTCAATCACCCACACACATTTTTGGCAAGCGAATGTGGGCCCACTTTTAAGTACACCCTTGTGTATTCAGCTATGTCATGGTTTAAACTTCCGGGATATTGTTAAGACAGGCAGGTGGTGGGCATAACAGTGACCGCAGGAGCACCCGAGGGGGCCCCCCATATAATATGGGCCCTCATGGTTTCATCTGGGACACGGCCAGCTTGGCAGGCAACACAAGACGAGTGATAACTGATGGACCTTCGAAGCTTCGTAAGTGGCCAACCTGCTAATGGAGTTCTCTTTATCCGAGGACTATATTTGTAAGGCAGACACGGTGCGATTGAAGGAGAACAGAGTTGGAGATAGAAGGGCCGTTCTATGTGAGTGGAAAATTTCAACAGTGCGAGACAATAGCTGTTGGACTGTTTGACTGTGAAATGAGATAACCGCATGGAGCACGTCTACTCAGTTTGACTTTTAATGTAATAAAGTCACACCAATTTGTGCTGCCTTTTAACAGGAGGATGTTTGCTGTCTACTTTGTGTTTTACAGCATGTAAAGATGGATGTAGGTCCTTAGTTTTCAATTGATGTAGTTTAGTATTTAGTGAGTTTGGATTTTTGGGTCTTTTGGGACAGATAATCACATGAATGTTTTTTCTTTTATATCAGAATATGACCTCTATGAAAGTGATGCATTGTTTTTTAGTTGTGCAGGGATGAATGAAGTCCTTAACTCTAAGTGATAATTTCACACTTATTGGTAGTTTTAGGAAAAGAAATTCAAAGTTTTAATCTCATTGTTTTGCTAAAGTTTTGAGGCGCTTTTTTTGAAGTATAATTGTTCTCATTGTGTTAAGTTCAATAGAGCTTTATGTTTCAGCTGTGTGATAGAGCTAAAATTTACATTTTTTTGTATCCAATCTTTGATGTGTAATTGGCAAAAGATTGGTATTATATGTGAAGTCTTATAAACAAATGCTTTCTGCTGCAGATATTTTAAAAATCTGTGTTCTTGTTTGAAAGTTTTCCTAGATCAACAATAAAGCAGCAGAAATTGAATCACTCAACAGACGTACATGTTTCAATCCACTTCCAGTTGTTGTGTGTGTTTGCTTGATAAGGTACTTACTTGTTCTGGTACTCCTTGATGACTTGATAAATGGAAACCTTCAGAGTCATATTGTCGTAGCGAGCATGGCTGCGGTCCTTATAGATCCGAAACTCTGCAGCAGTCACCGCCTCACCGTCAGGGATCTGAGTCAGATCAAAACGGAACTCCTTGTAGTGTCTCCGTTGGTGAGAGAAATCTTTATCTTTCTCGACTGGGAAAGAAAATATTTTATGATGAATTTCATTTTCACTGGCAGAGGCGAAAGCCTACGCAGATCCAGAATTATGACTTCAACTCCTGAACTGCTGCGTGTGTTGCACTAAGTAGGAAATATGGCAGCATTAAGGTACAGAAAGAGAGTAATTTATCACATCTTCTTTTACATTCCAGATCCAATCTAAACATTTTCACTACCAACAAAAGCACTTTCCAGTTCATTAAATCAGTCAACTGAATACAGGTAGCAGTTCCCAGACAGGCTCTCTACTGTGTGCCTTTCTGCATTCTCTGGCCATGATGAATGGGCTGTCAGTTTAGAAAAACAGGCTGATTTCAATTAAAGACACTTTGTCTGCTTCTCAAGTGAGAGGAGAGACCAGACAGGATTCTTCAATGTCATGAGAGGGTGGACCCTGACCTCATTTCTGACCTTTTCCTGACCTCCAGGTTCATACAATTTTAATATCGCTGTGCTTGTAAGACTCTAAAATAGAAAGTCACAGAGGACATCTCTAAGGAGTTTAATTTTACAAAATGATGTATTGCATTATGTAAAAATAAATGATCCAGTATAAATTCATGAGGTTTAATGAGATAAAGCTGTGCTAAGTGTTAGAAACATCAAAGCTTCTTATCAGTATTATGAAAATGACAAAAGATAGAGTCTCTACCAGCGTCTCACACCCCTGCAGCGTCGCAGGAAAGAGGCAAGCTGCTGAGATCAGTGGATTATCTGACATCCCTGGTGATATGCCGCGCACTTCCCTGATATTTTATCAAGTGAGAGCGCCTGCGGGTACTTAGCACACACAGTTCAGAGGTCAGGTCTGACTGTTACCCACTGAGCGTGTTCCATTATATTAGCCACGGGCAGTAATGTGGAGCAGAAGTGCCACTGAGACCGGCATTTAACTTTCTAATAGCTGAAGTGTAAATATTAAAGACTTAGCTGTTCAGTAAGGGTCTACTTAGTGCTGTCTTTATTCTCCTGCGTGTCCCAACCTGACAGGATCAATATTTTCGCAATAAGATTAATAGATGACCGGGTTTTTGCTTCTCCTGCATCATGTATGTATATGAATTTTAAATATCTTCTTATTTAAACATTGCAAGCCGAAGTGCTCAGAGTAAGCATATTAAACTGCATGAAATACCACATAGACGTTTGTAAAACAGTTGAGGTCAGCAGCTATATGTGGCTGTACTGTAATAAAGACAGAGCCCCATTGAACACTTCACTGACAGTCCCCAGAACGAGAGCAAAGCTTTCAAGGCTGACAGTGTACATGCCCCGCTATAGTGGTAAGTGGAAACAGATGGGCTCAGGCCAAGGTGAGGGATTAGACTCCTAAGCAACTCCACACAGTTTCACTTTAACATGTTTTTCTTGGACTTCATCTAAAACAAATCAACACTACAATGCCAACACAATGTCAACGTGTTTGTGGTGTTTTGTGCTTTATTTAGGATTTTGCCTGATCTCCATTTTTTTGTGTGAATGTTTAATTTTTCGACAGTCACTTAAGAGCTTTAAATATTTATATGACACAAATATAAAGGACAGATTCCTCGATTCTTCGGAGTGACGGAGCCTCTATACAAACAGACATAAGTCAATATCGCTCCCTTTTAACAACAGGAAATAATTCAGACCAATTTTCTCAGGGTCAGACAGTCATCTGATAAGTTTCTCTGAACTGTGGGGTTAAGGGTCGCAGCTACTGAACAAACACAATCGTTCTACTCATCAGCTCCTCTATAATAGAAAGCAGCACAAATTGCTCAGGTCAAAATGTTGGGCCTAATTCTGTTAAGCACAAAATATTTCACTCAAGGTGAATGAAGGCAACCGAACTGGAGTCTATAGAGGCCCCGATAAGGACTGATGTCTGAAAAATGGGCTTGTGTCAACTTAACTTGACAAGACCAATTAAGTACATGTGCTCAGAGCAAGAAAACAGACATGTAAAGAGAGAAATTAAGTGATTTAAACAGCAGTATTGGCTTGTACTGATGCTGCAGTATTTAAAAGAACCTGTCTAGACTATTTGCAGATATTCAAAAGCTCTTTTCTGAGTGTACGGACTGAGTTAATGCCAGAAAATAAAATATAAATTGACGCATAATTACTTGAAGTTGGAGAGGGACTTTTTAATAAACTTTTACATGTATTTTACAACTTTGCTGCAACATCAAATGCATTTTGATTACATTGCCTGCTTTGTAATTAGTTTAAAATATTGTTAGTTAACCTGGAAAGATGAGAAGGCAGGTGAATGAGACTTACCTAAATTGACAAAACTCATCACCATATCCGCATCATTGAGGAAATTGTTCTCGTGCGTGGAGGTGAGCGCGGGGCTGTGGCCTAACAGAGGGGCCGCGCGATAAGGCTGCGGCAAGCGGGAGTACCCGACATGCTGCGGGTTGTAGTAACCCTTCCTGGAGTGCCCTTGAGCCTTGGCACTGAAGCTCTTCCCCGCGCCCTCCTCCTCCTCCACGGCCATGGCGTTGTACAGGTCGAGCATGAAGAGCGGCGCGGAGGACGCCTGCTTCCCGGGACTGAAGGGCCTCGGACGGTGAGGTAAGCCTAGGATGGAGAGGATCTCTCTCTGGATCTCCCTGCGTTCATGATTGCGCAATCTCCTGTAAATAAAACTGGAGTGCACATGGTTGTCACTTAAGCCGCAATGAGTGCAGGATAGAAAACTCAGGCAGCTCCACGCGAGTCCAAGTACTGCACGGTGCAAAGGTGATAACGCTGTCATCTTGACAAATGTGGATTTTGAAGTTGAACTACATCGCACTCTTGGAGGAAAATAAATTGCGTTATATCTCTGCTAATGCCGGATCATTAATTTTCCATATTGAAAAGAGAGGCACCAAAAGTTTCCCGGTGGCTTTTCAGCACTCAGCCCTTCTTCAAATGAGGTTTCAGCCTGCAGAAAAGTCGCCGCTCCACTCCTGTGCGCAGACTTCCTCCAGCAGTTTTTCCTCCTCCAGGGTCCATCCAAAAGTCTCTGCTGCCACACCAAGTATTTATGGAGCTGTGACCCTGTCCCTCACCTTACTCCACTGTGATGCAAAAACACGAAGGTACGCCCATAAAGTCGGTAACCCCGGAGTTTCCAATGGATGAAATGTGTTCAACTGTGTCAAAAATGAACAGGGAGTTGCACTCCACTCATGCCCCGGCTCGTATTTTTCTTTTTTTTCACCCCTCGGGAGAGTTTTGGGGCGAGTTGCCCTCTGAGCCCATCCCACACTCAACGTCTGTTTTTGCATCCACCTCTAGCGGCCGCAGTAAAACTCCAGCCTGCTCCCATGATGAATGTGGCTGCTCGGGAGTGTAAAAGGAGACACTTGAAATCTGAGAGGCCGTCTTAACGAGTGAAAGAATAATGACAGAGCCTTTTAATCACCTCAAGTTATTGAAGTCCGCGTGTTTATGGGAGAGGGCTTCAGCACCAACAGCAAGGAGCCTGTTTTATGCTCCAAAGGCTAAAAACCTTATAAGTAAAGTACAAAAAAAATCATTTAAAAGTCTCCAATTGTAACATGGTGCACTTTGATGGTGAGTACACAAACCATGATTCTCCTGTATGAATAAATCAGAGAAAAAGACCAAATACTGCAACAGCTGATTAATAACAAATCCAGTTTAAAAGCTGCAGATACTCTATCATGATTTCCAACTTCTAACATGTTTTCTTAACTATAAAACTCTCCTTTAAAGTTAATTTAACAGCCTCGGTATAAAAGGCTCATCTCTCAGAGGAGTGTAAAGTAAACAACATGCTGAGCTAATTATGCCTGGATAATTAAAAACACCAACAGTCAAAATTTCCCATGTGATAGAAATCAGCTGTCCTAAAATGAGAATAGAGGAACATCCATCAGAGGCAAAGTAACTCCTGCTCATGCGGAGACATTGCCTCACAGCGCCATCTAGTGCATAAAAACATGTAACTCCTTTAAGTTTACTAAATGCTAGAGGAAGATGTTTCATGTCGAGTTATTTTTGGTTGTTTGCTCAAGAGTTCACCTTTTTTCAATCTCATCAGTGCTGGCTCTCCCGTTATAACCAGATATGTTCCAAAGTGAGTGATTTTCCATTTAAATGGAAATCTGAATTCTGACTTTGACAGGTAGAAACAATCAGAAAACAGTCAACATTAAACACAACTGAACACAAGATCAGAGTCTCTAAAGGTAAAAAGCATGTGCTTACATACTGCCATTTCAAAACAGGATATTTACACCCCTGTCACACCTCATCTGTAATGCACAGAGACTTAGTGATGGGGCGCAGTGGTTCTACCAATGAATTTCTCCTGGAGGTAGTAATAATGACTGTAGTGATGTTGAAGCTGGCAATGTGGATCTGCACAGTGTGTACTTGCATGTCTAATGTGTGTATATGTGGAGAGCCTGATGTATAATTTACAAGCTGTGACTTACACTAGGACACAATATTGTGTAGTTTCAGGGTGCGATGTGTAAGAACTCTGTTGCAAACTTGCTGTGTGTAAAAGGCTAATGTCAAATTAGTTTGCAGTGTAGGTCTAACATTAGCAGAGCTAGCACCACCAGCCGCCAGCCCTCGCTGCAGGGTAATATTCACATATCTGAGCTTTGTTGTGAGTGGAGACATACTTAGACTTTATGTTCTACTGCCAAGCTGTGCTGAGGAGCAAGATACTCCCTCTCATCTGTGCTTACATGACATTTGCCACTGAGCTAAAGCCCTGGCCTGCGGAGCTAGGCTGCACTTCACCTTAGCTCACAACACATGAAAGCAGCATTTTGCGCCCACATGAATATATATATATTTACATAAATAATTACTAATTTAGCAGTGGTGACATTATATCTCTAAATCAACTTAACATGTACATCCTTTAATATAAATCTTTGATTGATAATAATGTTTCTTTGATAACCAAGAAAACAAATTGTTTTTCCCGTGTTAACTCACTAATCATCTGGCAATCTAGAAAACAAAACAATAGACTAGCCAATGTGGTAGGCCAGATCATGACATGCCCATGCTGCCTTTGTCTACATTATTAAGGTAAGCCTGTTCCCATGTGTTTTCCACTGTTGCAGCTTTGGGTAATTAACTTTTACTCCATAGAGTTTTCACTCATAGAACTTTAATTGCTCAGGTCTTAATCAAGTACTTTCTCAAAACATTTCTTTAAATTACAAAAAATACTTATTGTTTGTGTAGTCGGTAAAAACTGGAACTTTCCTCAAATGAAAGGTGAGAGATGAAATGTGCTAAAATCATAAACCTGCAACCTTATCAAAGAAACCACAGAGTTCACAAGTCCTTAAGATATTTTTATTCTAGTACAAAAAAAGATTCATATAAAGTCATCTTTACACAAAGTAAAAAAAATTACGAAAGCTGTCACTGCTGAAATACACAGCTATGACTCTTATATAAATAACAAAAAATACCTGCTACAGTAATGAAAAGGAAGCTTCAAGAACATTATTGACCGAACATTAAAAAAAAAGTAAGCTTGTTCTTAGATGGTGAAACCTCTCCTCCTGAAAAGTATAAAATTCCAAAAAAATGAATGATTAAACTGAAGAGGTGATGGTTTCATTAATGATATAAAACGTTAGCTTTGGTCAAAGTAAAATTCAAGCTGGATGTTATAGGAACACAGACATACAGCAGCTTATGATCAGCTACAGGACAAATTTACAGTTGTAATGCTGAAATGTTCAAATTACACAACTTATGGTGATATAATTCACCAAAAATGAAATTTAGAGATAGCCGAAGTTGAGTTTTTCTCATAACGGAACTCATAGCACCAAATTAATGTTTACAGAAAGTACAAAGAGCAACATGCAACGTAGCAAAATCTGAGGACAAAATGTGAAACTGTACCGGCCACACCAGCCAAAGAAAATCCAGACATACATATAGTTCATGAATAGAAGGTGCTCCAAAGAGAGACATCAAACAGGGCAATTTACAAATGATCGTAACACAATTAAATCCATAAAGCGTGTCAATAGACAAATGAATAATAAGACAGAATAACAACAATGAAACTATGAAGGAATCTGGTTCTGTTGACTGTCAGAGATCACATACAAGTCGTTTGAAGAGGTCCGTTTTGTTTCTGTGACAGAATGAATCTATTAAGATGAGATCTTCCTGAGAATGTCTGTTTGTTCCGTGACAGCTTCAGACGATGCATTACGTCAATAGTTTGGCCCTTTGTTGTAAGGATCCCGCCTCATCATACTACTGTAGCACATGGATGGATCACACACCCCGGGCTGACCTGGAATGCCGGGGTTACCGCTTTTTCCCTCTGGTCCATGTAGACCAGGGGGCCCAGGTTTACCTGAAGGACCTGGCTTACCGTACCCCTGAGGACCCATTGGACCTGGGGAGATAAAGATATCAAGCCATCATCAGTTCAGAGAAGCATGGACATTTGTTTGAGGTGGGGTTAAATATCCTCAGTTCCTCAGTCTCCATATAAAGACACTAAAGCTAAATTAATATCCACATATTTTACCTGGGGGGCCAGGTGGCCCTTGGTCGCCAGTGGTGATTCTTCCAGGACTCCCCCTTTCACCCTTGAAACCTGGTTCTCCTACAAATATAGGGGAATACTTGCTAAGGGCTTTAACAAAAAACCTTTGACAGACTGTCAAATTTGATGCTGGCTCTACCTTTTAGCCCGTTGATGCCAGGGTGTCCTGGCCGACCGGGGTGACCTTGCTGTCCCCTGGCACCGGTTAGACCAGGAAGACCTCTGAGTCCCTGGGACCCAGGTGCACCTGGAGAACCAGGAGATCCAGGCCGGGTGTGACATCTTGTACAGCTGCCCTGCTGGTTGCTCCGCAGTAACAAAGGCAGCTCAGCTAGGGTGAATAACAACGGAAAGAATTTAGATGTCAGGTCAAAACACACAGGAACAGGAACACATCATCAGTCAATCTAAAGAGAAACTCACACTGAAGAATCTCTCTGCAGATCTGACGAATGTGACTGTCTGACATTTGACTTGCCTGGAATTAAAATTGATGGATCATGTGAGTTTTGAGGGATTTTTCCTCTTTGATATGTTACTAAACATAATTACATGATATAAAACATTATCAATATGAAGCTATTGGCATGGCATTCAGCAAACATACAGGTTGTCCCTCAGGTCCAGGTGGACCAGGTGGGCCAGTACCGCCTTGCAGACCTCTGGGGCCAGGTGGGCCTGAGTGACCCGTTTGCCCGGGCCGTCCCACTTGACCTTCTGGACCTCTCTGCCCCGAATCCCCTGCTGTCCCTTTCTGGCAAAAATACCACCCCAGTGTTAGCAATACACAAAGCAGTTCAGGTTTGATGGAGGGACAGTTATTAATGTGTTCAGCTTAATATACCTCTCCTTTAGTTCCTAGTGGACCAGGGATCCCCTGTCAATGAAAGTCAGAATAATTCAAATGAATAAACGTTCAAAGTGAGTACACCTCCAAAACAAACACAAAATCCTTAAAATGTTCACATTTGTCAAAGACAAATAGCACCACCTGTAGGGCAAAATACTGAACATTTGTAATAGTTGATGCGACTCAAATTTGTCTAAGGAAACACTTTGTCCTTAATGAGTAACACAAATATCTTCTGTACCAAAATATTGTAAGAATCAGATAAGGAGTGATGTAAGAAAAAGTCTAAGAACAAGCGATTTAAGAAATGGGTAGATTAAATTTGTCACATCACAGACTAGAGGAACAGTCATCTTAATACTTGGAGAATTAATGTAGTTAATAGCCACTTGATGGCGCTGTCCACATATAAAAGCAAATTACAGTCTCCAAGGTATCCTGCCATCACAGACAAATAGACATAAACCATTTTGAGGGAAGTTTTTATATGCACAACACTCAACCAATCAAAAACTCAAACTTACACGCTCCCCTGGCCGACCATGTTCTCCCTTTTCCCCTTTTCTTCCCTGTTGAGGAAATCAAAAGATTAAAGCCTCAAATAAACTCGTGAAATCTCTGTTTCTAAAAGTGGTTTCTGCTGCTTGCTGTATATACTGTATTAAGTACTCAAAATCAAAAATATAGACTGTGTGTTATGATTATGATCAGTTGAAACATGATTGATGCATATTTACAGTAGAAAATGGGAGTTAATGTGTTTTAAATGCAACACATTAACACCCATTAGATTAGATTACATAAATATGGCAAGGGTTCCTTGTTCCATTCCAGGGGTAATTTTGTTTGCATGACATGAAATTGATTCAGTTCAGCGTAAAACCATGTTGGAAGCCAGAGCAGCAGATTTCCAATTACTCTTCCAATGGACATGATGAGCTGACACATGGTTGTTTTCCAAACCCATGAAAAATATGCTATAAATGAGGCTCTATTTCCACTGGAGTCTTGAAGTACTCTAATTTATGTGCTAAATTAAGCAACTAAACTATATTCTCCTACAACTAGATAAGGTCCACTCACTTTCCTAAAACGTTCAATGTGGCTTTGATGAAATATTGCAGAAAACCCAATAAAATCAATGTGTGGTAGGGATTTCTTTTAGAAGTCTTATCCAACTCCCAATGGTTAGAAATTGCTCAAAGTTTAGTTTGAAACAGGTGATGTGCTGACAACCTCGTAGTGGGAGATGTTGATTGAGCTCAGCTTGAGACAGGTTTACTTGTTTTGTGTTTTGTGCTTTGTATGACAAAGTAAACTTTGATGTTAGTGCAATTTCCACTCTGGGCTTACCATCTCTCCTCTTTCACCTGAGTTTCCCCTTTGTCCCTAAAAACAAAGACGAGAAAAACAGTTTGCAAATGTATATTGCAGAAGTGCGTTTACACTTTTTTTTACCTCAGTTAAAACATCTAACTATCAAGCCCCCAGTTTTCAGGTCACGAGGAAAAAGGGCCATGTGAAAATCCGTTCACACACTTTATTAATCTACATGCATGGGGGCTGAGTCATATTTCATGAGCACAGACTCCAAATTCATGGGAACAGATTTGTAACTTGAGCACACAAGTTTGCAAACAAAGCACACAGATTTGCACACTCTTTCTAGACCTGGCATGCAAGGGCTTCATATCTAATGTATGGTTTAATAAAGCATCCTGGGAACAAATGCCTCAAATAACCCACAGTAATGAAACTGCTGTGGCACACAGCCATAGTTCTTGACTCAAAAGCTCATGGTACTGCAAATCTAAGGTGAACACAGAGGTTTATTAGTTAGTGTAACTGGAATTTGTAGTCAGCTTATGTTTATAACCAAATATCAGGACATACGTTTCATGTTTGTTCTAGACTGAGTTCACCCTGACACGTAAATATCAGAAAATTTAGAGTTTTAGTTATCTGAAATGTAACATATGTAAAAGCTCTCATCCTGTTGAAGACATCAGTGCTGAAATACTGGTAGAAAACATCAAAGTAGAATTACCTTGCTGCCCTTAAGGCCAGGCATGCCTGGGTGTCCTGGCTGACCTGCAGTTCCTGGTTCTCCTGCACTCCCCTTTAATTGTATTCAGTAACACACCAGTCATTAGAAACAGGAGTACTTATTTCATACAACAATGACATAAAACTTATAAAAACACATGTTTTTACCCTGTGACTGAACATATAGATTTGCACGTAGCTTTATTGAGTAATCCAATTATCTGAATCCTATTTGAAAACAGATTGATTATCAAAAGTAATACATACCGCAGGTCCTGATGTTCCTTGTATTCCTGGGCTCCCACTCTCGCCCTTACTTCCCTTGATAAAAGTATAAAACACATGATATGTTAACAAAAACATACAATCAGAGCCACATCATATCATATAGCTACACTGCAGTGTACGTCCATGAGGTCTGGCTGTGCTGCAGCTCCATTTTTAATTGTTTCTAGTCTTATGTTTTCATTTCCAGTTGAACAAGCCTCAGTAATTGCTCTCTGAAGTGCAGCCATAAAATCAGAGTATCGCCTGGCCGTCCAAAAAGTGGGATTTCACTCGTGTGCCATTGACCAATACACATTGGCCTGTTAAACGCAGATCAGCTAATGAAAAGTGATCAGGAGACAGAGCCTCCAGACCAGACAAGCCCAGACTGCTTACGTTTCCACTAAGATTCCACTGACGAAAGCAGTAAGAGCTTAATCATCGCTTAATTTAGCCCTTCTGGTGTGGCCAAGAAATACTTTCTCGTGCTAAGTTGTGCTGTAGAAAAAGATTACGTGAACAAAACATTCAGCACTACTTTGCCAAACAGCTTTCTATGCATTTAAATGTTCTCCAAAAGTTTTTTTCCAAACTAAAATTGTCACTCCCCCCGTGAATTATCCTGGAGCAGGACGATAAAGGGTTTGGTAATAGTTATGTCATACCGTGACACTATCCCGAACTGCTCTGCTTGTTTGCAGCCTTTTTACTTGACAACATTGTGCTTGACATGGCTCGGCCTGTGGCTTGTCTGTTGCTTATGCCAGCTAGTGTTGATTGATCTGCATTATTGACTCCTCTGGGCTACAGTTTGAGTCATTGTGAGTCCCAGAGATGTAGAAGGGGATAAACTCACATTAAATGTAGTGCACAGCTAATCCATCTTAAAGACTGTATTAAATCCCTGCGATGAGTGTTGGTAGGATAAGAGTCAGACGTTATTTCTTCTATCGTCATTGCAGCTTTGTATCACTTACAATGCAGCTGTTTGAAAAGGCATAAATAGGCTTTCAAAAACAGGCGCAAGTGATTACCTTAGGACCAATCTGTCCTCTCAAACCAGGTGCACCAGGTAAACCCATCTCACCCTAAAGCAGAGAACAGAAATTGTTTTGGTGAGTCTTAAGAATAACTTTCAACACTTCAGTGTGCACTAAACCTTTACATTAACTGCTCAACTCATCACTTACAGGTGGTCCAGTTGATCCTTTGAAGCCCCTTGGCCCGGGCAAACCAACTTCCCCCTTAAAACACATAATCCCATCAGTCAAACATAATCATAAGAATTACGGAAAACCATCTTATTTTAAACATGTATTGGGGAATGTGTTATCTCTGCAGGAGCTCACCTTTTGCCCATCCAGACCTGCAATCCCCGGTAATCCAGGCATACCCTGGGGGCAAGGAAACAGATCAGACTTTACTGTCTGCCAGTATATTTAAGGGGTAGAACTTCCATCGAATTGTTTGCAACTGTTCTGTTTCCAGTTTTCTGTCTTTCACAGTGAAATAATTACTTCATTGTGTCAGTCACAGTTGCAGCCAGCTTCTTAATAAAAGCAAGTGATGAACTTGATGAACAGGGTGAACATGAAATTTCGGCTAAAACGTCGACTCCCTTGTCACAGCTGGCCAAACAAGAGCATAGAGAATTGTACTTTGAATATTCTGAGGTTCAGTTCTTGTTAATAATCTTTCAGTAAATACAATCACTACAAAAGAAGATTATATCCTTCTTCAAACAACCCTGACCTTAGCACGATAAAACACTGACTTGCGTTTCATCTCTACACGATCCTTAGATGACTTGTATGTCCTGCAGTTGAGCTTTGCACACATGTTTTATATTCTAACAAATGCAATAATACAAAAGCAGTTGCACTGAAAAAAGACTGAAAGTGGATACAACTGTATAGATAAATGGTTTAAGACACTTAAAGACTGTGGCTCAAAATGTGCAGCAGAACCACCCCAGGAAGCCTCTTCAGTCTTTTGTTTTAGTTATTTTCTTCATCGATAAATGCTTGCAGATGCTGAATCGTTGCCTCAAACTTAAGTTTGAGTAACATATGATGTGCAGAGTGAATAGATTAGACAGGCAGGCAGAGAAAAAGAAAGGTAGTGAGAGCCACTCAGACACTCACACTTGACCTACGTATAGTAGAAATCCCCGTCTTGGGGCCTGCACTGGAGTGCTATCTTCATCTTGTTTTAACTTGAGAAGCACCAGTGTGAACCCTGTCTCCTTGGAAACACCGCTAACTCTTTTGTTCTGCTGGGGAAACATGGCTTACAGCCTTGTGGAGCAACTGAGTCATCTTTTGAAGACCCATCACAATTTTTGGACCAAACTAATAATCATGATCAGTGGGGTGGCTTCCCAGCTGAAACACTTTCTTCCTACAACAGAATTGCCAAAGCACCAAAGCATTCCCCCGATGAGTTACTTTCACTGCCTTGGATTATAGCATGAGACTGCTTGTTACATAACAGGGTTATCCTGGGATGAACTACAAGGGAAATACCCCTAATTTACTGGCTGTCAGGGGGACTCTCCGTTCTGCTGACAGTATGCTCACACACTGCAGTCAAAGTACAGTAAAAGGAACGTAACGCATGCACAGTTACGTTATTTGTACATCCGGTCTTGTACAGTGCGACAAGCCTGTTTTACTGTTTAGTTACTCACAGCATTACTAATATTAACAACAGTTTGTCTTACAGTTCATATTGTATTGTGACTTCAACGTTACCAGATAATATGTGCCTGCAACTGCAACCACTTTTTGCCGTAACTAATTGTAGGGCCTGACTGATATTAGTTTTTCAGGGCCAGTACAGATAATATCCTGATTGCGGGTGGTGTACTGACATACCTTTCAAATTCAATAACCCTGTTGCATCAAATCGAAGACGACTGTGCAAGATTATTTGTCCAACTCAGTGGCGAGGTTTTCCTACGTCAGCACAGCAGCGTTTCGGTAGAAAGAATATCTAATACTCTAAACACTCAGAATGGCCGGTGATCGGCCAGATGTAAGCCTTTTGTCTCGATGCCAGCATTTGTTTCCTTCATTGCGCATCTAACCAAACAAAACACTTCAACTAAGCTAGTTGCCAGAGGGTCCAGTGCTGCAAACACCAGTGACCCAGGTGCAGCTCACGTTAGCTTGGCAGACCAAATGGAGCCACTCCATTCAGACAGTCAAAGCTTGATTTTAAATCACCGCCAGCTCCACTATCTGTAAGCCAGGAAGAACTGAACAGACTGATAGTGAGGTCTGTTGTCGACTGTTTAGTCTGCTGGAGCGGAGTCTGGAATGGACTGCTTGTATCGGAGTGCTGATATCAGAGATTTGAGATACAGGCCAATATAATCTGATATTTGTTTATTGGCTAAGATTGGACTGATATCCAATATACATGCAATATCGCATCGGGACAGCTTTAATTGATAGGACTATTGAAGCAAAAAGCAGTAAAAAAAGCAGTGAATTTTCACTTACAGTTTGACAGAAGTAGCTGTAACTGATCATGTACTTTCATTAACTTGTCAAACACAGTCTTGAAGTCACTTAGTTACTTTCACATGAAACTGATGCACAGATGTTGGTTCAAAAAGCTTTTACACGAACAATGAAAAAATCTGTATTTACGACTCACAGGATGGCCTTCTCTTCCATCAACACCAGGAACACCACCAGCCCCAGCTTCTCCCTTAATACGTTGGAAATACACAAACATTATTATTACATTTCAATGGGATCCAAAGTCTGAGTGACGAACAATTAATTTGACACATAACACACATCATTGTCTCATATTTTTTCCTGTGTCATGATGGATTTATTACCGAGGCATTTATCTAAAACATAAAGAATGCCTTTAGTGTTTATTGTAGATGTCAAATTGAGTTTGGAAAAAGACAAGGGGGACACCAGCACTGGATGACTGCATTTCCATGGTTGCCAAACATCAACAACACAACTTTGGGGAGCAGAAACGTCTGTTAGGAATAAATATGTGTGCTCAGCCAACCTCATGCCTCTATTATTCCCCTGAACCATGAATGAGCTTTGAAACATGCTATTCAGTGCTACAACAAAGGAACAAACCTTTTCACCAGGTATCCCTGGAAATCCATCCTTTCCGTCCCTCCCTGGTAGGCCCTGAAATCAAAGGAAGGGATTTTGCACGTGTTTCTTGTGACATCAGGATGTGATTCTGGGTTGTTTTATACTCACAGGTTCTCCTGGATAACCAGGGGGCCCAGCAGGTCCCATTGCTCCTTTTTCACCCTGGAAACACCGTACCAGAGAGTGAAACTTGTTATGTTCCTTCTGGCATTTTCAGTGATCAAGCTGTTTTTTAGCACTTATCATTGTCCCAGCCCTTACCGCTGGCCCAGCTTTTCCCGGCAGTCCTGAAATTCCTGGGGATCCTATCGAGCCCTGGGAAAAGTCAGATTTCAAACAGTGATGAATCTAGCATTCACAAGTTTACAGTGTGGGACAGGAGCACTTCATAGAACCACCGTAAAGGCACAAAGTCACAAGTATCAGTCTGAAGGGGTCACAAAACTCTTGGAGAGACAAAGATTTGAGCAACCTCCTGGACTAAAACTTATGTTAGTCATATTTTTTCTGCGTCATCCTGGCATTTAAAAACTTGCACTTGTTGACCTGAAACTGGATGTTGATCAAGCCCCTGTGGAGCAACTCCAGAGCTCAGTGGACTGACGCTCGACTGCACTGTCATATTTCAGAATTGCAAAACAGCAAGTGGAACAAGGCGGGACATGACTTCACTGAACATTATGACCATTAACTCAAGCACACACAGCCAAATGAAGTTCTTATCACTGACTGGCTTCACTTCTTTTTCCGGTGAAAACATTGTTGCTTCCTTTGGGAACTATTTCTTTCTAATTATAAATTTTGGTCAAAGCATGAACAGTTTCCTCAGTCAAGAACATGTGTTTGTGTTCAATCGGTGTCAAAACATATATCAGAATCTTTCCAGCCTTGACCTCTTTTCTGGTGGAGTTTAGTCCACAACAAAACAGCTAAATGGCAAAAGAGTTTTAGTAGCAGACATGCTTGAAGTAGTGGAGCTTGACCTGCAAAGATTTAATTCATGGGCATTTTGCATTTTTTTTATTGGACATGAAAGCTGAAGAAAGAAAATGTGGAGGAGAGAGTGAGTATGACATGACCAAGGGTTGTGGCTGGGAGTCAAATTGGTGACTACTACTACTACCAAGGACTACAACTATTGTATATGGAGCATGCACTGAGCTGAACCCGGTGCCACACGTTTTTTTCCTTTAATTATTCCAACAGTGTAGTAAGGTTGACTGTAATGTTGAATTGTGTCCAGTGCCAGGGCTTACTACATTAGCTTGAAACATCAACAGCTGTTCACATGAGTAGTAAAGCGGTGACTGCTTTGTTTGCATTTCTCAGGTGTGCAGGAAAGTCTGCTCTTAGTAGGAAGATTGGATAGGGAGCCTTCACTAACAGGCACCCTTACTCTTTAAGCCATGCAGTGGGTTTCCAATTTGAAAGGCTAATTTTGGCCAAAATGAATTCTTCTCAATAGAATAGTCTCAATTCATGAATGACAAAGATAAAAAGCACAGACTTAATAAAGACTTGAATGAAATGTTTCCGCAAAGGCGATAAGTGACTGTGGTCGAGTGCCAGCGTTAAACTGTGATTACACAAACAGCCGGTTTTTGGCAAACAATCCGTCTCCCTCTATTAAGCTTGAATGATGTACTGCTGACTTAATTTAGCAGACATTACATGTTTGCAATCTCTAGATCTTGCCAGGGAGAGGAGTGGACACCCATGGGTGGTCTTACAATAGAAAAAATAATAATAATGATGTTCAAATTTGCTTAATAATACATGAAGAATTATGATATTTTCACCTTTGTCGGCTGTAGTTTGCATTTGGTGCTTTCAAGCAAAACTTAGCAGGCTAACACACAAAACCAAGAGTGCACAAGGAGAAGATTACATCTTGCACATCACATTTGGCACAGCTGCACAACATCAGCAATTTGGCATTGCCATCGCAAGCTTGTTAGAATTCCAATGTTGACTTAACTCAACACATCAGTCCCGTGTCCACCAACAGCATCTCCATCACTGGCAGCGCCCATTTTCTTTACAGAACCAAATGTGGTTTATTGTTTTCAGCCCTCAGCTTGGGAACAAAACACCTTTGACAACAGCTGTTTTTTGGTTTGCTGTCTTCACAGTGTTCTCAGCTAAAAATAATCCCACTTTTGGAGAACCGCCCGACATGTCAACCTTAATTCTTTCTCAGTGTCCGATCGTAATCAAGAAGAGATGGGACTTCCAATTTCAACTTTGTCAAGAGCAATTGTGGAGAAGAAACAAATCCTGGCAGTCACTGAACAACCGGGTAATCCTTCACCAACCAATCAACTTTGTAAGACAGATGCTATGATTGGTTATGTTGATAAATGTGTTAAGCACTTTGTGTGTATGTGTTCATTTAGTTTGAAAGTACCATCGTCAGTGCAGCCCAAAGTAATAAATTTACCTAAAATACTATTAGTATTTTACCAATTTGTAGAACTGATTTGATTGGTAATTTAAAGCTTTTTCTTGATGTAATTTGGCTGTTCTTTTCCATGTGGGAAGTGATGGAAAATCACTAACAGTGCGCCTCTTCTCAACACTCATCTCCTCATTTATGAGGCCTCGGACCATTACACTGATTAGATGTTTCATTACAGGCTTTTAAAAAGAGCACCTCAGTAAAGCAGTAAAAGCCTTGAGGGGCTCATGTTGTAGGGATTAGATGGAATTGTAATAAATAAAGTAAATCCACACCAATTCTTTGCAGTGCAGTCCACGGTTGTGATCTTGGTCTTTGTGTTTTTGGACATCTAAACTCAGAGTTGAGTGAATGTTGGCAGTACTGTAGAGGTCTTGGACCTCTGAGTCAAACTCCAACAAAGGGGACACAAGGTACAGAAAGAATGGCTCCAGGTGCAGATGTGCGTCTGCAGACAGCTGAGACCATTTTCAAAATGACATCAGCTGCTTGAACTGTTCCTGGTGAGGGCTTCCTGTGGTCACACTGATTACAAGGTAGGATGATAGGGATAGAAGAAGAGGTGATGCCATCTCGACAGGATGCATTACCTCACTGTACTTAAAGTAAAGCTGAATGCAAAATGTTGTTCAGATCAACATCAAAGCTATCACAGCTTTCTGGATGGTTTTAGTATGAGATATAGCTGCAGGGCTTCACTTTGAATTGTCTGTAACTGAGGCAGAGAGCGTTCTAGTTCTCAGGAAGTTAAAACTGATGGAGCGTATGGATCATTGGATTAATTTGCTTCTCTTTAACTTTTGATTTTAGCAGCTGTAGCAGGGGTTTTCCTTCTGGGACTCATATTCTTACGCCTTGTTACACATTGTTGAATTCTCTGAATGTGTTCTAGCCTGCATCACTTGCTGTGGCTTACCCCCGTCAATATCAATACTGTTTATGTCTTAACATTACATTGCTTGGAGGGTTTTTTGATTGATTTTCAGGCTAGATATTTTAAGATGATAAGATTGACCTATCAAGTTTCTTTTACTGATAGAATATTAAACAGTTTTGTATATTTGATATTTTCTTTGCCTTGTCCCAGAGTCATCTCTGTACAAAAGAGACCAGGCTGAGAACTAATACTTAATGTCTGTGATCTTTGGGTCTTCAAGTAACACTACATTAAAAACAGTCCTGGCTCTGAAGTGGAAATCACTGCACTAGCTCCAAAGATGGACTGAGGTGAAGCATAAAACTTTCCTAAGGTATGAAGAATTAAAATTTGACATTCGTTTTGGAAATCATTGATAGTGTCCAAAGGAAGGGGACCACCCAAATTGTTATTAGTACAAAGCTGACAAGCCAGCATCCCCGATGGTATGAGGATGCATAAGTGCTCAGGGCGTGAATTGCTTACACGTTTAGGACCATGCCATTAATGCTGAATTACAGCTTTTGAAACAACTTATGATTCCCTGCAGACAACCCCTTATTCAGTTAAGACCTTGCATATTACAGCAAGACAGAGTCGAACCTTATTCTGTGCAGATCACAACAGCATGGCTCTGTAACCAAAGAATCCAGCTTCTACACTTGCCTGCCTGCAGCCCTAACTTGTTACACTTCAAAAATATTTACTGCAACTTGACATAAGGACAAAGAGGACAGCTAAACTCTTATTCTGGACCTAATAAGACTTTTTATGTATCCTAGAGTCTTACAGAGAAGGAATCATGCTCATCTTCACTGGTTTTGATTCAGAAGTCTACTCTTAACATTAATGTATGTCTTCTTTTACTGTAATTGGGTGGAAAGAAACAAGACGCAGGCAAGGGGAAATATATAACACGAATGGAAAAAAGATGCAGCACTGTCTTCCTGAAAAATATCAAAGAACCACAAACTCTTTGAGCTTTCAAGGAAAGGGCAGAACAAAAGCCAGGAAATATGAAGAGTTTTAAAAGTCTCTGATGGCCCTCTTGCTCTCATCCTTCCATACTGCTGAGGCTGTACTTTTTCATCTCCCTCAGGATCTAGCTTTATACTCATAACATATGGCTTCTAGCCTGATTGATGCAACAATGTTTAAATGGCTCAAACTGATGTGTTTAGCAGGAACTTCCTGTTAATCCCACATTTGATCCCATAAAAACAGATTAACCTTGTCAATGCAATGGGAGTCCTGTCCTGTAAAACAGTCAAGTTCTTAATTCTGTGGAAATGGTTCTTCCAGTCTTTGGGCATTCAGTACTTCGAGTGATTTTCCTCACTTAAGGTGCTTGAATGAACAATATCTAGATGTTTAGATCTCAATAAGCAGAAGATTAAAACATCATCACCTTCTGTCCTGGTTTTCCAGGCTGTCCTGGTAATCCAGGCGCACCCCTCTCACCCTGAAAGAACAGACTTGTATTACAGAGTTGTTCATTGGGAGTCATTAGTAAGTGCTGCAGCTTCATAGTGAATTCTATTGCACCAGAAAAAGTGTTTTTTGACCTTCCTACCGAAACACCAGGCCTCCCTTGCTCGCCTTTGTTCCCATCTGGCCCCCGTTTTCCCTTAAGGAAGTAAGACAGGAAAATAAATTCAAATTCTCTCTTTTCCGTGGTGAATTTTATATCGCAGTTAAATCATTTAATTTTCCTTTACCTCTATTCCTGGTGGGCCTGGCAGCCCTGGACTTCCTCGTATGCCAGGGTTACCCTTAAAAATTAAAGAAGACATGAGAAAGAAACGTTTGGTTAAACATTTGAACCCGTTCATCTGTTTGCATGTCCTTTAATTGATTTGAGCCTGAAGGGTGGATTCTTTCTTGAGTTTTTGATCATGCTGTACAACATGTGGTTCACTTTTGGATGCTTTTCATCACACAAAATCACCACTCTCCTGCCACCAGTGGTACACCAGAGATGTTTTGTATTTACCCATCGGAAAATGAGTCCAAAAGAGTATATACCACAGTTGCTTAACATACTAAAGCAGTCCAGACCACATAGCATTAACAAGCAGGAACTGTCATGACCTAATGGGATACATCAACTTCACTGGTTTTGGCCTTTTTTCAGATGTTGTGGAAGCTGCTGTGGGGTTGCTGGAGGTTGTGTTCTGTATGTTTGTATATTGAACTATGTAGTACTCACAGGCTTACCATCAGCACCAGCAGGTCCAGGCTGTCCAGGTTTGCCACTGTTTCCTTGGTCTCCCTAAAAAAAATAGGGAGTGAGGACATTTAATATTGTGTATCTAAAACAAATCATCATGCAATCTCAAAGCTGTATTAAATAACCCATTTATAACATCTCTGGTAACAATATTCTTTCTCAGGCGTGGAGTGTTGACCGTATTTCTCCCTGAACTGTGCAGAGCAAGCCAGGAGGATGTAAGACGCTCTATGTGGGGTTATAAGGAACATCTGCAAGCCAGCAACAGTCCCAGCATTTTGGGTCTATTATAAAATGTAGTTAAAGCATAGCAGGGATCTTATAAACACAAATACACCCGAACCCATGAAGGTTTTATTCAGAAAAGGCTTGTTGCTAAGGTTATATCTCTCTTAGGCCCTTGTGTAAAGGCTTTTAAGACTAGGGCTCCTATTATTTGGTTAATTCCATGTGATCAATAAAGACAAACACATAGGTTTTACTCCCCAATTTGGTACTTTTCCATTCTAACCAGTGTTTATGTTGGCATTGGTCCGGTTTGCTTTAAGAAAACAGTACAATTCAACAGGATCTTGAAAGAAAAACCAGGACTGAGTCATCATGATCATGGCAAGCCACAATTAGCCCAACAGGAGGAAAAGAGGCTTTTTGGTGTTTCCATAATTCGTAAAACTGAAAATGATCAGTAGGTAACTGTGCATTTGAATGTGCAAAACAGCCCACACAGCAAAGTTTCTGGCATAAAGGAAGCTTGTGTTTACGGGCTGTAAGGGCTTTAGTTGGACTTGACTTGTCAGTAAAGTGTAACCGCATGTGCTTGTCACTTATTAGACACAGAGAGGCATTTAGACATCACCTGGGAATCCAGCAAACATTTCTCCTTCAAGCTACAAGAAAAGAGTTTGTGCTCTTTCTCTCCAACAGAAGACTCTTTGTCATTCTCCAGTTTGGGGCAAATTTTTGAATAATAAATGATTAACAAATGTCTGAACTAGGCAAGCTGTACGGAGTAAAGCCCCCGCATTGTTCCCTGGTATCTTTCAGTGTGATGTGTGCATTGGTTTGTTTGATTTCTGCAGTCTCATTTTGCTTGGACTGTGGTTAATGGTACAAAACAAGCCACAAATAAGACAATGTAATGACAAAACATGAAGGATTTTACAAACAACTGACCTTTAGACCTGGAAGTCCAGGGGGTCCAGGAGGACAAGCACAAGGTTCTTGAGTTGGCTCCTCATAATCAGGACTATTGGAGCACTGTAACAACAAAATAAAGCTCTTGTAGACAAGACCAGAGAGTAAGGATCAAAGCAAAATACACCTATAAGTGCTATTAGGATAAAGCAGTTGTTCATTATCAGCAGCAGTCAAGATGCATTTCTAATCTGGGCAGATCCCCTCAGTGTTTTTTCAGCATGTCTGAACTTTTTGGAAAAGAAAAGATCAAGAAATGATTGTCAGTTTCCCTAAATTCAATTCTAAGTAGTGAAAACTAAATTCTATCCAAATAAAGTCTGTAAACTTGATGTCTTAATGTTTTTAAATCAAATGCTGTGCTTCATCCAGAGAAAGAGAAAGCAGAAGACACTGGTACTTGCCAGTCATGTTCAATTTCAGGCTTCTGACTTTGCCTCTTCAAATTTTTACCCCACAGCCTCACAAAAAAAAAAACAAGTTGGCTTGTGGTTGTAAAAATTTCATGGCCAACATAAAGCACCACTGCCTCACAAACACAGTTGGAGCCAGAATACAATAAAAAAATGCACTGTATGCAAAAAGTTTAACTTCTTCTCCAATAAATTATCTTGTGCACAAATGTGTAACAGATGTGACTCTCAATGAACATGCTGCATTTACACTTTCGCTGCACAAATCTGCAGTGATCCAAGATGATGTACTACGAAGCTCGAAAAACATTAGATGCTGTGTAGGACGAGGTGTGGAGTTAACTGACGATGAAATTGCGGTGTGTTTGTGAGCTAAAACAGATGTAGTTTGACAAGGTGAGAAGTAGGTGAGAAGACGTTATCTCTGGACTGAAAAACAAGTTCGGTGCCAAGCAGACTGTAGCACTTACGACTCCAGGTATTTCACATGCGGTCTCTCGGTTGTTCTGCTCTGGGTCACAGTAGATGCGGAGCTTTTGAATTTCAAACTGATGAAAGAAAAACAATAGGTTAAAAACACAAGATCCACTGTTGGCGGTTCCCAACAAGTTCACATAACAAGTCCTAAACTGGGGTAATTTTGCAGCATTTAGTCCAGTTTTATTAGTGCTTTGAAACCAATGAAGTGGGACTGCTATTGTAGAGCAGCTAAAGGACGTTGAGCATACATGCTGCCAGACCTCCCTCAGTGTTGGAAGTGTTGTGCATCTGCGTTACTCTGTTATTCCATTATTTGGAATTTTGTTGATGTTGGTGGTAAAATGGCTCCAGAAAGTCTTCTAGACGGTCTCACTTCAGTAACAATCAGAGCAGAACGAAATCCTCACATATGATTTACATTATTTCCAGCCTTTTGAGAACATTGATGTGGTGGATCAATGCAAAACAATAAAGTTTACCTTCCCCGGGTGAAAGCAGCGAGGTTTAAACCTGATAAGTACGCCAGGTCCGGTCTGTTGGTGTTTGAAATTGCTTTGAGGCCATTGTGATGTACAGACATGAAAATCTGTTTCTAATTCCACAAGTTAAACTCACACAAGTGTGTAAACTGTGGTTCGTGTCAATCAAGGATAAAGACTCTAGTAATCCAGCACTTGTTGCCGTCATCACTCAAAGTATCGTTACACGACTCGGGCACGTGTTGTTGTTGGCTAAAGTATCAACTCGGTGAGCTTACAGGTTCAGGCACCATGTCAGTCATGATCAGGAAAAGTGATGTGTGGAAGTATTTTTTAAAGAAGGACAACAATAACGTGCCATGAAAGATATGCAGTGTTAAACTTTTGTATCATAGAAATACCAGTTGAATGCTTAACAACTTGATCTTAAAGCTCTGGTAGAAAAATATTTGACAGGAGATTTGTGTGACCAGTGCAGGGATCAACGGTGTCCCGATACAACTTTTTTACCTCCAATACGATACCGATATTGTAGCCTTCAGTATTGTTCGATACTGATATTGATGCGATATCAATACAAACATGTGCTTGATAAGTTTTGCACTCTGCTGCAACGTCTTTTTTGGACTTTTATGAAAAATACTGCCACAGGGCCGACATCACTCCTACTCATTGCTACATGGTTAGTACCTTAGTATATACTGTTGTTATGATCATGTGGGCTCTGCATGCTGGATCTGGGTGCTGCTAGATAGAGGCGCTGGAGTGGAGTCTGGAATGGACTGCTTGTATTGGAGTGTGCTGATATCAGAGATTTTTGATGCAGGCTGATATAATCTGATATTTAGTTTTTTTGTTTATATCAGAGCGATATCCGATATTGGTATTATATCGGGACACCCCTAGCAGGAATGAAGCACGATAGAGTGGCAGTGCTCACTTGTACTTCTAGACTAGACATCCTTTACCGAGACTCTGTGATCCCATCTTAAGTAATGCTATACATGTTAGCTGGAGATTGGTCTTTCTTTTGGAATAGTCTATCAGAAATTGTGTTTCCATGAATTAATAAGGACATTAGTTGCTTTGGAATGTCGATAATTGTTATAGTATGATGTTACATATTGTATAAATTTACTGCAATGCTCTCAGATCTGCACACCATAAAAAAACTGCTGCACAGCAAATAACAACATGGCACATTAGTGTCTTTTTTAACTTTGGCAAAAAAATGGGCCAATTGAGACAAATAAAAACAAGATTAAGAAGAACTTGTGGAAAAAAGCTCAATTTGCCAAGGATTTATTGACCCACAGGGTTAAACACGTCTCTAAGGGGGCAGCAATAAACTTCAGTTCTGTGTGATCCTGTATAAATCATGTATCAGTGTCGAGTTCATTAAACAAACTGTTCCCTCTTTCTATAGTCAAGTTGACGTAGAGCTGTGTTACTTTCCTGGGAACCAAACATCAGTTAATTTAATAGCAAGGGGTTATTGATGTTAAACTTACTGGCACTGTTGTATCCTTTTGGACGTACTTTCCAACTTGGGTTTTTCCGTTGATGAAAATGCCAACGGGGGGCTCCAAGGATAGGGACTCAATTTCAAGGTCATCGACATAAAGAGTCACATCCTCCTCAGTGACCAGTAGCCGCATCTGGTGCCATTTTTCATCAAACAGTTTCTTTTGTCACAAAAAAAAAACAGGAAGTAGTTGTTAATACAATGCATAATGGAAAATTGGTGAACAAAATAGCATAAAAAAACACAAAGTCTTTCCCCTTGAATTGAATGTAAATGCTTGTAACAGGAAGCAGTGGGAGCAAGTAAATGGGGCAGTTTGGTGTGTTAAAACAGGATCAAAACAAGTAAATCTGATTCATACAACATTTATTACGTCAAGGAATATTTGTGTGCAATTACATGTAATATTTTGGCCACATTAGAATCAAGAGTGAGTGATCAGATAGTGTGGGCTGTGATCGCTGTAATTTAACTTTCCTAGAGCCAGCATGTAACAAACATCCTGCAGCTTTTATTTGAACTGAAGCTTAGAAAGTCTTTGTCTAAGTAGTTTTAGTTGTTCGGCTGAGCTAATTCTACAAGTACATTCACTTTATCGCTGCAGCTTTTACTTTTCTAAATGATGTCTATGGCCCTACAAGTTTATACAAGCTGCACTGATGTGAGAATAGGAGGATTAGTGTGGTTTGGCAAATTGTTACATGCTGCTGAATGGAAGTGCACTGACCTCCGAGGTGTACTGTTGTAAGTGAGTCAGATATTGAAAAAAGGAAAACCATATGTTTTTGAGCCCATTACACGAAACCTGCATGAACTTCACATTTGTTTTCATAGTTTTGTTGATGTGCTGTTACTTAGGCATGTTACACACATTCTTGTTGACATCTTAACCATGAAAACGCCTGTTTTAGGAAGGACTTATGGGTGTAAGATTTAAGATGCATTTTAAAACATCTTGTAAGTTGGATATTTCTCAGCACAACCCCCTAAATGTTTTCAGCACATCAGGTCTGCTCTAGATTTATTGAGTTTGAACCACGATACATTTGAACTTAAACATAGCAGGTTATAGTTTTGCAATTCAATCAAGATGGAGCTCTCAAATAAGAACGGGTAAATCGAAGCAGTAAAGCCGTGGTTATTACAAATTTGATTCGCCACAATTTGTAAGGATCCAACAATGCTACAGCCTTTATTTCCTATAATGCAATGGATTTGCAACAAAACCACACCCTGCATTCACATGCTTCTTAGGTCACTCTAAGATTATAGCAATTTATGATCATAACTTTCAACAATGCATGGTATCATTCATCAGCAAAACATGATATATTCAGGATGCATGTTTCTTGGCATCAACAGATTAGCATAGCAAGAGCAAACCGTGTTCTAACGTTTTGCCGACTCATTACAAGTTTGGTCTGACTTGATAGGGCATTCATATAAACTTACAAAATAGGAACTAGTTTTTCTGTTTTTAGAGACTACAAGAGTGCATAGATAATCCAATTCAGGCAGAGCTGCTGTAGCCAAAGAAAACAATTCATTTGCATGCAAGAAGTTCTGAGAACTCCCTGCCCTTTCACATGCATATTTGATGTGCCAAAGCCTCAAGCAGGGAGAGCACATCTGCCCTCACTTGCATGTGTAAACAGGAAAAGCCAAGGCGGGGCGAGCAGCAGCAAAGATCCCCAAGGAATGAATTTGTGTTTACTTCTGTAGGCATTCAGCTCTCTTTTCTTTTATTGTTTGCAATCGGCACATCTTTAAAAACTTTTCACACTGTTGCTATTGTCACTACGTACAATGGTTTCAGTTATTTTGTACAGATCTGCAGTTTCACAATGCACCCATTAGCCCTGCTGTTCTTACATGGGTTGTAAGACAGAATCTAATGTCAAAATGGTTTTAACCAATCGGATTCAAGTATTTAACACAGCCAGGTAATAAAGATGTAACAAAGTGTTACCACACCTTTGTTGTTTGTTGTGAAAATGTAACCGTCTGAGTCCCACTTGGCGTTTTGCTCGTTGTTGTGAACTTGACGGTGCGTTCTTGTCCATTCAGAGTCACCGCCATCTGAGGTTTCCCGTCACGTGTCTGTATCCTCCATAAATCCCACTCCTCCGTTGCCACTGATCCTTTATACCTCATTGTGGCCACAAACACATACGACGGAGGCAGACCATCAGGGAAAAGGTTTCTGGGTGACGATTCAAAAGTCAGTCAGTTTAACTTGTTAACACACTGGTGATGATGAGGACAAAATCATTTAAGATGGATTACCTTGTAGCTTCACTCAAGTCGAGACGAGATGTCACTTCATAGGCTTTGGAGCCGTAAAATGCTCCTTTTGTCTTCTTTGCTTTTTTAGCCAAATTCAAATGTAACAAAATGTCAAAACCCTTCTCATCCCGGGAGTCTATAGGAATTCTTGCTGGACAAACCGTTTCTGCAAAACGACAACAAAGTTAAATAGAAAAACAGTCAAACATAGAGACAAAAAGAATAACAGCACAAACTGGAGACACATTCAATTGTCAGAGGCAGTTTTCACAGTTTAACAACCTCCCAAAAACCAGTCGAGGTCACTGTCCAGACTTGTTCTCTCTCAGTTGTTAGATACAGCTGGAGCTTGTCTGTATGATACTAAATATTCTTTGTTTTAGGAGGGAGTTTTAGGCTCTACCAAAGAGATTTTTGAGTTAGTATCCACACAGCAAGTTTCAAGAATGTATTGGCATCAACTTCAATGAAAAAGTGGAAAGCAGTGAAGTAGAGAGGAGCAATGTGAAGGGTGCCATCACCATGCCCTCTAACTGGCTGTGGATTGCCAAGATCATTGATGTACTGGCTCACTAGGACACATAACAGGCACTCTAGTAGGTGCCATGCAGGTGGGAGTCTATGAAATGTCTAGATGAACAGATTCACATTTGCGGTCTTGGGTAAAATTCTGTAAAGCATCTAGAAGGGAGGGCTTGGGGTGAAGAAATCCCTCTGATATTGTCATAAATGTAATATTTAAACAGAAGAGCTCGTGAAGCTCCAGACACTGATCTTCAGGTGCTTACCTTCACACAGCTTTTGTCGTATGACTTGTATGATCCTGGAAATAGCTTTGTAGTCCTCGACAGAGAACACATAAGTTGAAAACGGCTTGTTTGCGATGTCCTTTAACTCGGCCTCCTCTGTCGCTGACCCAACACCAATTGCAAACAGAATAACTCCCTTTTTCCTCGCTGCCTCTGCTGCTTTCATGACTTCATCTTGCGACTTTCCGTCTGTGAGGACGACAGCAATTCTGGAAACACCTGATGGCCCGCGCTCAGAAAGGCCGAACAGTTTGTCTGTCGCAAACTGAATGGCTTCCCCTGTCCTTGTGTTGCCCCCCATGTATTCAATGGACTCCATGGCTCTGATGAGGTCTTTGGTGGAGAAGTACTTCCCCAGAGGTATTTCTAAAACGGCGTCATCGCTGTACTGGACAACGCCAACCTGGGTAAACTTCTGTCCGATGTTGAAGCTTGTTGTTATGTTGACAAGCCATCGCTTAACTATTTCAAAATTGATATCTTCAACACTCCATGAGCCGTCTAGAATAAAGACTAAATCACAGGGTGCAGTCCTACAACCTGAGGTAGACAGGAAATAAACAATCAGCAGTGAAGGATTATATTTACAATCAGACATGCACGTAGTTTGGTGGAAAACATTGAATGAAATGCATATACAGTACATGAAATCACCTTTGCCAGTTGTATGCATGGTAAAGTTTTAAATGTATGGACAAATAGCATAAAAAAGTGTGAGAAAATGAAGACAGAAGAACTCTTACTTCTTAAGTCTTCATCTTGAGCTGCACTAAACATATGGAGAAGCATGAAGCACAGGCATCGTAAGACGCAATGCATGGATGGCGCTTTGTAACCCATTATGCAGCAGTACCAAGTTCCAAATGTGCACCTACAGGGAAAGGGAAGACATGCCTTGTATTGCAGGAAAAAAGAAAAGGACAATGCAAGCATTGGTGAAATAATGTTGTTCTTGCCTGTTGTCAGAAGTTATCAGACTGTATCATTCTGTCATTGAGCTATTCGGCTGCAACTGTCTATAGTGTTTTTAAACTCCAGAGGTCAAAACTTTACAACATGAGTGGTCGTGACTTAAGTAAAATAGCAGGAACTCCATGCATAAAGGAGCACTATTAGCAATTTTCCATGTTTTAATGTTGATGAAAAAATTCTGAAACATTTTTTTATCAACTCTGGCATGTGTTTTATGAAGCATGGCAACCTACTGGGAAGACTTGAGTGCAGAAATGTGTGCTCATACAAACTGACTTGGTGCAAACAATACTGTATGCATTGTGCTTAGGTCGAAGCCCAAGTCAAGCACAGAAAAGACAGAACTTTCCATTCAGTGATGGTGCCAAATAAAACCTTCACATGAAATGTAAAGAACCAAAAAACTGTTGATAAAAGAACATGTAAAACATGAATAAATAGTCTGCCTCACTGCAATGTTCCCTGCATGAAGACTTGGAAGGCCCGCCAAAGTATATTTTTAGCCACCCAAGAATATTTCTAACTTTTCAGCTTATTTTACCCTTAAAAGAGCCTTACATATGGTAGATAATTCAATCTTTGTCTGTCGTGTGAGGAAACCTGCAATGCCTCACACTTGCTCTGCAGATTGTCTAAGAGTGAGAAGTCCTACAGTATGTCCCACCTGTGAATTGAAATGTTTGGAGGGCAAGATTGAAACTAAGGACTCTTACATATGAGAACCTTAGCATACAATTGTTCTAGAAGTTATGTGCAATTTACAAACCCAACATGTGATATCAGTATTCATTTAATTGTAAGTTCATTAAGTTTAATATTAAGTCCTTTTTTGCTCCGTTTTTGGTCTTCACACTACTAACAGAAACATGTGACAACTGCTTGAGAAAGGAAAACAAAAACAGTAAAATTCATGGCAGAAAAAACAAAATAATGAGCTGAATTCGAGACAAACAGAAGGGACTTGCACTTTTATAACCTGACATATTTGGCGTAATGGGATAGTGACATGTAATAGTTCAGGAAAAGCATTATGAAATAGGAACTCTGGGTAAAGACACTTTGTATAGAGCTTGATTTTGTTTAAAACCAGCACAGAAGAAGTGTCATATATATCTGCCACCTACCCTGAATATGAGACAGCTGATATCACTCCAGCCTTTGAGTCCAATTTATAATTGCAAATTTTGCCCTTTAATGTTCATTCCATCGCCTTGTGCTGCTCCAGGCTTTAGATCTTCCAGGTTCTCACTTGAACCACTAAGTTTTGTTCTTAAGTCTGCATCAGTTCCCCATGTGGCACTCTCTCTTTCTAATCCAACACAGCCTTGCCCGCCTTGGTACACCAAGGCATTTTCCTTTTAAGTTTCATCGACCAAATCCTCACATGGCACTGTCAGCTTTACTAAATAAATAATTCACTGAACCTCTGACCACAGCCTCCATTAAAGCAGTGCTCTGTGTTTCCTGTGGGATTATCAGCTGTTTCCTCAAATCTGTTGCCATTTGCCAATCTCTGCCCGCCCTTGGCCCGAACACAAAAGGCCTGCCCACAGAGTTTCTCTCCCACTCTTTTTCCTTCCTCATGGGTGAACCAACTCTAATGCCATCCTTCCCACATGCAGATGAAGTAAGTTTGACCAGTTACTATCACATGCTGCTAGAGCAAGCACACTTCAATTGTAACCAAACATGTAATTCTTCAGTAAGGTTATTTTTCACCCTGACAAAATTATTCAAAATATCAGCAAGTCCCAACACATTTGATTAGATATTCTGAGAGACAATTTGCTGAGCTGATTATATCTCTTTAAAGGCTAAATACTCTCCCCCCAAGCTCTCCTTGTGAATTTATTCAGCCAACTGTACTCAAACAGTCCTTTTCATGCTGATGTTTTGCCCTGAAACCAGTTTTTTATCTGAGTGATAGAGTCAATATATAAGGATTTACCTGCGCCAGACCCCCAAGGCTTCCATCGACACCTGCACGGCAGTAACTTTGCTGTATGGCAGAGTGCTGACTCATCAATCTCTGCACCCACAGAACTCAGAAAAAAGTATATCAAAATATAGGATCTGGTGTCCCAAAATGACCTCAATGTTTTGAAACAATGAGCCCCAGTATAAAGAAACTAGTGAAGATACCAGATTTTGTTAAGAATGTTCTAGACTGACAAAGTTCTTGGTCATATAAATTGAAATACTGTAAAATTCCTTTCTTCTGGTTATGCCAAAGGTAGGACAACACTCAGGAAACAGTCAGTATCAAGCCCAGTCTATCAAGCTCCTGGATCACAGAATATGAAGACAAAAGATGACAGATTAGTTTGACAAATGTGGCTTTTTTTTCTTACACTGTCATCACAAAAAATATAAATTTTAAAGTAAAGTTCAAAACCAGATGTTGGCTAAAACAATGACATCTACCCTTTGTAAATTTTTGTTTGATTTATAAAATAAAAAAAAAATGTAAGCACAGTATTCCGACTGCAATGATGATTATAGTTATATGTGTTTATACTGGACTCTTGTTGGCTGACATTAGCATTGACTTAAGTTCTTGCTATTAGCTCTTCCTCTTGTTCATGTAAGCACTTTAAATCTATTTTCAGTTATAAGAACAATGTACATAATCTGTTCCCATAAAAGTCCCACTTAGATTCCAGTAAATCAGTGTTGAAGCCAGTGCAACACAGGATGAAATGGCTTTTCCTATTTATATCAAACAATGGTGTGTAACAATCAGGATATTCACTGTTATTCTTCAGGTTATTTTCGTATGAATGCAGCAGGAAAATGACTGCATATGCAAACAAATCTGAAGTATCACAGTACAGTGGAGTATGATGATGGGAATATCCATGTTTATAAAAATTAGAGAGGAAATAAGTTATTCAGAATCATTTTGAACTTAGTCATGTCTGAGTTTGTCAGTGATCAGCTGTTGAGCTAAATGTGTTCACAGCAGACATTTCATCATGAGTTTTTTTCTACGTGGCCTCTCAAGTTTATCTTTTACTGAGGTTTCCAACACGTGAAGGCAAGAAACTGCTGACATCCTAAAAGGAAGCAGTCTCAAATGAAGACCAGATATGCTGCATACAATGCTAGAGGCAGGACTGGTGGAAGGAATTTCATAGGAAGGAACTGACCATTCACCTAATTCTCAGCAGTTTCTGATAGCCCGACTCTTTAAGGTCAATGAAACAGTGGTGAGGATGTGACCCCTGACCTCCCAAATGGTCTTAATCCTCTGCAGCCAATGAGGGGTCATAACACGACTGCTTTTTTCCACCATGTAAACTCAGCGATGAAGAAACACATTCGAGGGAGGCGTTCAAGTTGTGCAAGGCGTTTTCTTCAGAATTTCTTCCCCACTAGAGAGCTGGAGGAGGTTGTTGGAAAACCCCCTCACTGGCAGGGTCCAGCCAGGATGACTTTCCCCTCGATTGACTTTCCCCAAACTGAGTGTTTCTACACCTCTGCTCGAGCCACATGGCATCCATTTACACCGTCAGACGGCGAAATTCCGACTGTGGACTGTGACCAAACACATGTAGCCATGATGAAGGGAAGCAACCCTCATCCAGGAATAAAAATGCAACATTACACGTGCTTTGCTGAAAAGCGTAAAGTTGGAATGCGTGCATAATGCAGCAGAAATAACAGGTGCACTTGAGTCACAGGTTAGTACTTGACTCCAATGAGAAGTTTGAAGACTGGCTGTAAATCAAACTACCTTATGACATTATTCTCAGTTTGCACCGGTCTTTGTCGCATTACTTTGCAAGCTTAAAAAGATTTATATGAGACTGTGTCTGAACCGGCTGGGGATGTTGTTCAGGAAGCTGCTGAACAAGTAATTTCTCACATTTCACCACGAAGCAAATAACTTGTTGTGGGTGGGCGACACAGTCATTAAGGAGATTTTAACTGCAGTAGAAAGCCAGAGGTTCTGTGCTGTAACAAGTTAAACTTCCCTTGGAGAATGGCATTTTTCACTCAGAAGGAACCATAAAACATCATTTGAGTTTAGAAATGAAACCTTTTTCTTGTTTGGCCACTGAATGCAACTGCTGGCTTTACCTCCCCTTAAACTGATGAAGTTATACTTATCAGCTATAAATATGGCAAAGGGAAATCGCTCTATTCCAGGAACAACAACTGCCGCTCAGTGTGAGCTGTTGCCAAGATAAAGAGTATTTACTGCTGCCAAATTCTTCAAGGAAGAGCCAAGCCCTATCAGTTGTTCTTCGTAGAAATCTGTTCAACTAATCCAAACAGTTGAATAATGTCTTGTACTGCATTAGCACACTGGGGGTCTTATTCGTTTTCAGCCAACATTTCCTCTTTTGAATCCTCGCGGATATTTTCTACTACTTTGTTTCTTCCACATGCAATTCTTAAGGAAACAACACATGTAATACTGCGGCGCAACGTGCCGTATGTCTGCACAGGTTCAAGAAATATAAAAAAGGAATCTTTTTACGAGGGAGTGATGTTGGCCGGGAAATATCGTAGGATAATTCCATTCATTCTTTGCATGACAGAAGCGCAAACAAGGGACTGATAACTGAGTTTAATGTCTTCAATATGTAACTACTGCAGCACAGACTGAAGGATACTTGAGTAATTCCTAAAATACAGTGTTTAACAATTGTAATGACTCAAAAAAATAAGTAATTTAGATCAAATTATCTGCAAATGTTCATTTAATACTTCAAAGAGTCTCAGTAGATTTTACTTTTGAGATATTTTTAGGTTAGGAGTATGACAGGTTGTATTTTCTAATCAAATAACAGAGTCAGAGCTTTCCTCTGTAAAAAGTATCTCCTAAATTTCAAAAATACAACAGTCTGACTCGCAAAAATGAGTGAAAGTGAAGAAAAAGTTACCGTTAAGCGTCCAAGCTCTTGTGCAGATTCCTGTTAGTCCTCTCATTGAGTGCCAGGGATCAATACTGTTCACAGCCCCGAGTTGACATAGAGTGAATTTGGGGAGAAGTGCACATGTTTCTCTGCTGAATGAAAGCCTGCCCTTTTCCAGCAGCTCTCTCTCTGTCTCCTCTGTTTCTGTCCTTCTTCCTCTCCACCCCCCAACCCCTCACTCCGGACTTTTACTGGCCTACAGCCACCCTCAATTACCATGGGTGGAAAGAGAAGCAGATAAGGAGAGCATGAAATAGTGAAGCAGACAGCCCATCTCTGACAGTCCAGAAGGAAAATAATTGTAATGAGCACAGCCTCCTTCCAAGTGTTGAGGGATTGGATCGCGTGAGGGTTGCTAGGGGCACAAAGCAGAGAACATGGAGTTTTCTGGATGCAGAACAAGCACAACATCAGCCAGCGAGTTTTACTATACTGAGGGGCATACACTGCACACTGCACTGCCCATTGTTCCTCCTGGAGGACCTGCAAAGCTCTGCAGCACATTTCACGGCTCCTCTCTGAATCCCAATTCATCACTGAAATGGACAGCAGATTATGTTCTACAAGTCAGCAGTGAACAAGGTGTGAAAAGCTACTGCAGTGCCTTTTTCTGCACTCACAGCTGGAAGTTATTAGAAATGCAGAACCGAGTCTGCTATCTGTACAGCAGGCAGATCTCAGTTGGATTCACTCTAGCAAGTTTTATCATGTTTGCTCTCAGTGGCAGCCTGCTCTGCATCAGCTGAGAGCAGCCTGTGTGTCTGCAGGGTCTCTTCAAGTCTGGTAGTGAACGAGCACCATTAATTCAAAAAATGACTTCCTTGGAATATACTGGTCTGTAGTTTTTGAGAAACTGACAAGTAGCCAGAGAAAAACCTATTTTTGATCGCAGTCTAGCCATGTGAGTCCAAAATCTTTGTCAAGAGGTCAGGTGAGGACAGTTGTTGAAAAAGGTGGAAATGTTATGATGGCTGTGTTTGTGATTGTAATATTTCCTCTCTCTCACACACTCTTGCAAAAGAAAAGGTTGAATGATTATGTAAACCCTCAGATTTGTATCCTTTACTTTTTTGCAGCACTAAATACTTGGGGTTTTAAGACCCATCTTATTCATGTTTGCTGATGTGGGTCTAAGACTGCAGTCAATCTGAAGGCTGGTTCCCAGTTTGTGGCAGATGCAACGTCTTAATCACAGTCCTTTAATTAAGATGACAACACTGCATATGTGTGAACAATCAAGATTGAATCCAGTATTATGACTTTTTTCAACAAACCAGATGATATAATTTAATACAATAATGGTAAGTTATTAATATCATATTAATATTGATATTTAGTCAGGTTGTATTAAATTATTTAATACTACCTGACTAAATAACTGCACATAGTGGTCATTGTCTCTTAGATTTCTGTTGCTACACATAAAATCACATGTTGCGGTAATTTAATTCAGCTGTTGCTGATGCTCATTCAACAAGGTAAATTGCTATGGCAACTCCAGGTCACTAAAACCTTATTTTTCTTGACAACAGAGATTAATGCACACAAACAGGAAAATGCCAAGGGCAGTAATAGGCATTATGAAGCTGTTAATAGCGTCTTTACAACAACAAAAATACTTCTTAAGCTTCAAATTAAGTCATAAAATTGTAACATTTTTGAATCACAGATGTAATACGACAGATATTTCGAAAGCATCTGAAGCTAAATTGAGCAGTGTGTCTCCCTGATGACGGCCCGGTTGACCCTGAGCCTCAGCACACTCTGCTGGATCCCACAGGAACATACTGTGTTGGAAAAAGGAGCCTGGGAGGGGCCAACCTGCTGCTGAGAGTAGACTTTCCAATGCTGAGTAATTTTCTGTCTCTGTTGACTGTCCTCTGGTTTGTAACCAACACGAGGTGCACACAGAGGAAAACACGGGACAGAAAGTTGGTGTTCTCATTGTTTTTTCCAATAAGAGGCCACTTTAGATGTCTTCTGAGGCTTGAACATTCATCAATATGACTGGAGTGTGGTCAAATTTCCAAACGTGACATAAATTACATT